TGTGTGGCTGCACAACAACTTGTACAGCATTATCTTGGGAGAATTATGGGTAAAAATGCCATTCAGTGTCTCCAGGTAGATTTAAAAAACGATACATTTTACCCCATTGGCCTTCTGCCTTTCCAAACCAACATTCATCAGCATTTATATCAGCAAATAAACTCTAGACCGATTTTGACGTTGTGTGTCTCATGAGAAAATATTCCCACTCCAAGTAATTTAAGAGTAAAAACCCATTGCATATTCTAAAATGTGGAGTTGTGGCATAGTTGTAAGCACACTGCACTATGAAGCTGGTGACATGGCTTAGATTCCCAGCAATGGCTAACACCAGTGGGGTGTGATATCCGAACCGGTCCTGGGCCGACTTCACCAACACACTGACCCAGCGAGCATGAAGTAAAATCCAAACCCCACCCCGTGGGTGACAGCAGGCTTTTATCCAGTTGCATTGACGGAGCTGTAAATTGTTACTTTATTAAAACGTGGCTGTAGTTGTAATGCAACCAAGGTCCACCTCTCACCTTGTTGAGCCTGCCGGTGAGGTTGACGACAATCTTCCCTGCTCTGTGATCGTCGATGATCTCAAATTCTCCGATGTAACCTGGTTGAGCAGAGACATCAATAAGCACAAGTCTCTGGAGCCTCTTTATCAATTAACACATTAAAATATTAACGAGATGTTTCGTGCAAAAGCCATTGCAGAAATAAGAGAACATTGTTTTATGAATCACTAAGTACACTACAGTGTTGCTTCCGTGAGATAGAACTCCCTTCTCCAGTTATCTGTGCTGTCAACTCCCTGCCCATTTAGGTGTAGTCTCAAAAGCACAGGTTTTCGTCTGCTTACGATTGTCTCAACAAATTGACTTAATGTACAGCGACTTGTTATGCAGGCCTGCTTAGATAGAATTCCACATTCGATGGTAAATGGCAAATCCACAGACCCCCCCTTGAGTTTACACTAGTTCCCATGGTGTTTAAGGCAGCGATACACTTGGGAGATTACTACTGGCAAATTTCACTTGCAATAGTGGCCACATTGTCGTCTGTTGTAAAAAAATATAAATACATCTGGACCAATTTGACCACTGGGTGGACAACTTCCAATCAGATCAAAGTCAGGTCACAAGCTAGTGTGCTCTTGTTGACCACTGTTCGAAGGAAACCTCGTCATTGGCTATACACGTCGACACAAGTTGCCACAGTAAATGCGATTGTGCCAAAAAATACCCTCGTGTATCATGGCCTATGACAATTCAACTGGAGTATGCCCAATCTCAGAAGCAAAGCAGGCTTCAGCCTGCCTAGTGCTTGTGGGTTACCACGATGAATGCCTCGTTACAGGCTGTGGAGCTGTGTGGAGGCCAGCAATGGTCAGGGCAGGAAATCAGTAATTGTGCAGTACAACTCTGATCCCACATGTTATGCAGCCCCCTGCCTTGAACCCATACCTGACTAGCGTGAAGTATGATCAAATAACCTCCACGACCTGCAACTGCATGGGGGAAGGGCCTCATCCAGCAGTGGCCTGACACAGAGCTGTAATGTACATATCATTGACACTGCAAGATAATTACTTTTAAATTATTAGCTGTAAAATTATTTACAGCCAATAATTCCAGTCATCAACGTGGCAGAGGAAACCAAATAAATTTCACGTTGAGCAAAATGTACCTACATTTGCAACCATTCGCCACAAACTTACAAAAGCTATCACACGCGACGCTATACAACTAAAAAAAATATACATCCGCACAAACTATAGGTGACCACGCTCAGAAGCATATGAGGTCATCAGAAATCAGCGAAGAACGCAGATTATGTCTCATCATTGCGTGTTTGCGATATCTGGCACCCCTGTCCCAAACCGCTCCCTCATTTATCAGTGTATTGATTACCAATGTAGACATGGGGGGGGGGGGGCTCTCACCGTGCTTCATCATGACGGTGAGGAACTTGACGATGACTTTGGAGCAGGGCCGGATGAGCACCTGCCGCTTGCCACGCTTCTCGGCATTGTTGATGCTCTTGAGCGCATCGGCCAGAACGTTCATGCGCACCATATTGCCTGCAGGGGGCTGCACGCACACCAGGGACGGAGGGAGACACGTGTTCAAAAACAAGGCACCCCCCGTGACCCGCAGTACCATGCATTTTTATTGGAGGTGCGATGTTTGGATCTCCAGGTTTTAACAAAAACGAATTCGAGACAAATATCGCATCTCCTGGCTTTGACATTCCTCTCAAACACTCGTGTCACAATTAACCGCATTAGGACATCAAGAGGTGGATGCTGAACCACATCTTCATCAACAGGAATTAAAGTCGAGCTACAGTCGTGCGATTGTGGCCATCCAATCCCAACCATGGCCCACAGTTAACAGCCCCCCCTACCCCCGCATCGCCCTAAGACTGTAAGGGAGAATCCCTTAGCGAGCACCTATGAGGGCCAGTAGAGCACACGAGGGGGTGGGTGGCCAGCACCACGCCCGGCCGCCTTTGTCACCTAGTGGCGGTGTTTACACACCGCACCAGGTACTCATTTGAGGCCGAGTGGACCTATTTAGCGAACCCATACAGAGATACTCACAGAGACTCAAAGTCGAGGCCCAGAAACTGAGGTACATCGATTCAAGAGATCAATTACAGGACAGGCCAGTGCAATGCGACTGCGTCCATACAACCCAAACTATAGACAATGTCGTAAGCAACGGTAGTCTGCGCTCCGTCAACAGAAGACGAACAGCAAACTCACATAAAGGTTCTCCCTAAGCCCCTCTCGTGGCTAGACCTCGGACATTACAATTAAGCCCATGGACATATTGCTGCCAATACGTAAGAGCCGAACGGTGTGGGGGTGAAGGGGGGGCGCACGAGTTTCACTTCAAAGACACGCAGATCGTAGCGGCTCAACTCGCACGAAAAGCGGGGCACTAGCACGCAAACTAAATGTCTGAAAGCGGAGAAAATTCGTAAGCGACACGAGACTACAAGTGGCGACCACCAGCAGCAGGGCGATAGGGAAGCGAACACGTGCGGCGCGCCAAGGCCTTCTTCATTGTAGCTGTGGTCGCTTTCCGGGTGGTCGACCCCCCAGTGACTAGCCTCGTCCCCTCCCGGCATGACCACACATCCAGTAGCACGGCACGATCAATGCCCCCCTCCTCCTCCTACCCATCGCTGTGGCCGACGGCTCACGTGCGGCCTAACTCCAGCCGACCGAGGCGAGCCGGGAGGGATAACTCGAGTGAGTAAAATCAAGCCCCGAGTGGCGGAGGAGGCGGGTGGCGACAGAGACGAGAACGGACGGGGAGCAACGAGCGAGGAGGTGCGATTAGTGCGGCAGGGAAGGAGACAGTGTTGGAGCCGCGACCACCACCACCACCCCGCGCGCTCATCGCCGCCATCTCAAGCGGCCCCGCGCCGGCGAACTCGGCCGCCACCCTCCCCCCACCGCCCGCCGCTCTCGGCTCGTCGTTCGCTCTCCGCGCTCTCATCGAGCCGCCCATTCGCCGCGCGGACGCCGCGCCGAGGTGTTGGGGAGCGAGAGGGCGCCCAGGAGGCGACGTCGACGCCGGGATGGCCGCGATGCAAAGCGGATGACGACCGCTGTACTCACCGCGCCTCAGCGATGGCGGAAAGAGAGGCCGAGGGGCGCGCGAAGCATCACGGGAGGGACGGGAAAGGGGGGGGGGGCGGTCACCGACCCCGTGACGTCCCGAGCACACCCGCTATCGATTCGGATCGTATCGATTTCTAGCGATTCCTGTAATTTATTCGATTGCGTAATCGATTATAAGTTTTTTGCGGGCTGAGCTGGGGGTGAGCGTGGATGCTGCACGATTCGAAATCGTGAACGGGAGCATCGTATTAATCGATTCATCGTAAATTGCCTATTCAGAGGGAGCGGTGGCGCTGTGGTGAGCGCACTGAATCCGGCTGTTAGTTTGATTCCCGGAGCACGGCTAACATCAGTGGCGAGCGACACCCGGACTTGGTGCTGCGCCCCGCCAACCCCACTTCGCCGACTTGCATTGACCCGCGCGGGGAAGTATGGTCAAATGACCCCCCCCTCCCTATCAAACACGGCGTGGGAAGTTCCCAGTTAATCTTCTTGGTTCTTTCGGTAAAGTCACGTAGAATGGAAATAATAAAATAATACAAATTCTAAATAATAAAATAATTCTCACGACGTTTCGGCCACAACGCAAGCAGCCGTCCTCAGGTGGAGAACAGGTCTGTCGAGAAGACACCTGAGGACGGCTGCTTGTGTTGTGGCCGAAACGTCGTGAGAATTATTTTATTATGTTTTATTTTTATTATTTTATTTTTTCCATTCTACGTGACTTTACCGACAGAACCAAGAAGATTAATCCCTGCAGTCACGAAAGAAGCTTTAAATCGAAATTTCCAGTTAATATTTCACAATCCGCCACTTACTGCCCATCATCCAGCAGTAGATTGACAAGGGCTGTGAGTTAGGTGCTCACCCTCCCTCCCACGAAGTGTTCATTGATCGATTAATTTATAGATTGTGGGGGGTGGGTGGGGGGTGTAGGGGAGGGGTGGGGGTGTAGGGGAGGGGCGGGGTGCACGTCCGGTTTCCCTGGCAACAGCGACAACAGACGGAGCAGAGAAGGGGGAGATCGGCAGAGGAGAGAGGGGAGTGGAGCAGCGAGAGGGTACGGGAGAGAGAGACAGTGGGGCATAGGGGATCTAGGACAGAGGGGAAGAGGTGAGTGAAGAGGCGGGGAGGGAGGGAGGACAGGGCGAGGGGAGAGCAAGGGAAACGGTAGACAGGGAAGGGGGACGACATAGAGAGAGAGGAGGTGAGAGCGAAGTGGGGAGAGGGGCTCCCGTCGGAGGCCGGAGGGACTGCGAGGAGGGCTGGGTGCAGATGCAGCACTTGTCGTAGTAAAACAAATTGACACAGAAAACAGGGGGAACATAGACATAGAGTAGGGAGAGAGGGGGTAGCGAGAGGGGGTAGAGCGAGGGGGTAGAGGGGGGGGCAAGAAGGAGAGCAGAGCGTGGAATATTTCGTTAAATATTTCATTTAAACAGGGGGGGGGGGGGTGGGCACATAAAACAAAGCATTGAAAAAAAAACTAAATGATGAACGAAGCAAAGTGCCGACTACACCGAGCATCTTCTTGTTTCCTCTGATCGTGAAAAAAAGAGAGAGGTGGGACACGGGAGAGAGGACAGAGAAGCGATCAGAGAGAGAGAAAGAGGGAGAGAGACGGGGACCAGGGTCTCGGATCAAGGAGCAAGTGGGGTTTCTGGTGTTTATGGTCGGACGCAAGACCAGGGACAGATCACAAGGTCCCAGGGAGTGTAGGGACACCAGGGAGAGGAAGTGAGGGGGAGGAGAGGAGAAGAAGGAGAGCCAGGGACCAGAGGGAGGAGACATGGACACGGGGGAGCTGGGAAGGGTCGACGGAAGGGCATTCAAGGTAAGGCTCCCCCAGGGCAGGGCCCCCACCCACGTGTGTCCGTGGGGGGTAAGGGGAGTAGTCTAAGCAGAACTGGGCGGAGCCTAATTTATAAGGGGCGGAGTCTAAGCAGAACTGGGCGGGGCCTAATTTATAAGGGGCGGAGTCTAAGCAGAACTGGGCGGAGCCTAATTTATAAGGGGCGGAGTCTAAGCAGAACTGGGCGGAGCCTAATTTATAAGGGGCGGAGTCTAAGCAGAACTGGGCGGGGCCTAATTTATAAGGGGCGGGGTCTAAGCAGAACTGGGCGGAGCCTAATTTATAAAGGGCGGAGCCTAAAAAGGAAAGGCGCGGGGTGCGGAAAGAGGGAAGAGCTGGAGAGAGGGTGACGAGGCCCAATCGGGAAAGTGTAAAGGGGCCGTCCATAAATGACGTCACGCACCTAAGGGGGGGGGGGTCAGACATTTGTGACGATGTGTGACGAGGGGGAGGGGGGGTTTGAGAAATGTGACGTCACATCAAAATGCGCAACTTTAAATAAATATAGGCAACACGTTCTACTTAATTAAATAGACTTTTTAATAATTTTTTCTCCTACAACATCGGAGTGCAGCGCCACATTAAATACGCACTACAATGACAATAGTTTAAAGCGATTTGAAGCATGTTTTATTTTCAAAATGGAAATATTGTTTTGGGGGGGCGGCAGATCTTCATGACGTCATATTTGAGGGGGGGGGGTCTGACTTTTTGTGACGCCGTGTGACGAGGGGGGGGGGTCAAAAATCGTCAAAAAGCGCGTGACGTCATTTATGGACGGCCCCTAAGTGTCCCGGTAAATGATTCCCTGACCCGACACACCACATCATAGACGTGCCTCTCGCTATGACTGTCTACCACAGTCCCTGGGTTAACAGTGACAACGGCTAACAGTTTTTTTCGGTTAACGTTCCGCCTACCGTAGGAACCCCCATGGGGTTCGATGAATGTTGAAATGTTGATGTGACGGCACCATGTTTATGTTAGGGGCCGTCCATAAATGACGTCACGTGATTTTGGACGATTTTTTAACCCCCCCCCCCCCCTCAAATATGACGTCACAATGCTCTGCCCCCCCCCCCAAATTTTTTTTAAACATGCTTCAAATCGCTTTAAACTATTGTCATTGTAGTGCGTATTTAATGTGGCGCTGCACTCTGATGTTGTAGAAGAAAACATGTATTAAAAAGTATATTTAATTAAGTAGAACGTGTTGTCTATATTTATTTAAAGTTGCGCATTTTCATGTGACGTCACATTTCTCACCCCCCCCCCCCTCGTCACACATAGTCACAAATGTCTGACCCCCCCCCCTCGTCACACATAGTCACAAATGTCTGACTCCCCCCCCCCCCCCCCCTAGAGTCATTTTTGGACGGCCCCTTATGCACGCGGGCACTAATTTCGGCCAAGCCGAGTACTCGTTCAGCAGAGGCTGAGCAATGCCCTCGGCCAATTCACGACGCCCATTCGCCGTTTCAGACCACGACTGGCTTTGTTTATTTACATCGTGGGTTTTTTTCTTCGGATTTGGCAGTGGAAACAGCTCTCGTGCAGACTCACGTAATTCCTAAGAATAGGTTTTACCCTTTCTGGCGATAAAACAGGTGCTAAGATGTTCAAACACAACATAGAAACCTTTTTTTGTAAGGAATCATGTCCGCATTAACCACACGTACTTGGGGTGAACATGCAAACAAAAACATGTTCGGGTAATAATGATTGGCTTTGAGACTCATTAGTCAACACCAGAAACAGTCTTCTTTTGGGCAGAGTATCACCAGTGTCAGACCAGAGAACGCCAAAAGGCGAACACTACTATAACAGTTGAGTTTGTTCAAACTATTTCGTATTTTCCATAATAAAAGTTTTTTTTCCTTCCGTGTAATTCGATGAACAGTTGTTTCTGTCGACGGTAGTTGTCGTGGAACTGATTAAAAACGTTAACCGAGGTACTACTGCAGTCACGTGCCACATCTCCTGGACGAGATGTGACACGCGACGAAACCCGCGCGGCGCTGTCCTGGCTGCTTTCAGATGCGCTTCTGCGGCCGTCTGGAACGCTCTTCCTTCCGATATTATGCAGCCACTGGAGCTATGGCTCTATTTAAATCATCAGGATTGAAAACGAATTTCTTGAGAACTGCTCTTTGTGTTTAGCGCGGTTGGCTACATACGGTGCCAAAGAAGTTCAACATCCATAGTCGCAGTGAGCAGTGACCCCAGCCTCATCCTCAATCCCGCTCTGCTGCTGCTGTCGGTGCCGCTGCAGCAGCAGCAGCAGGGAAGCCGCGGTGGGGCTGTGAGGCCGCGTTGCGCCGCCGGGCTCGGCAGCAGCACCCGCGCGGCGCTCACGGACTCGGGCTCCTGGCTCCTGCTGCTGGAGGATGCGGAGTCGAACCGGTCGCGCGGACCTCCGGGGCTCGCGGACGGCAAGGGGAAGCGACGGAGAGCGCGGCCCATGCACGCCTCCACCCTCTCGCTTGGGGGCTCGTCGCTGGGACAGGAGTTCCGCACCAGTCATCGCCATGTGGGTGCCCTGTTTTGTCTCGTGGTTGTGGGCACATGCGGGCACAAGTGTGGGCAGTCATGCATTCACGGCCAGGACCCAGGAGTGCAAGGTCGCGGCCGAAAGTCACGAGACCAGAATCAGAATGTTTATTGAAACTGGAGGAATCCGATGAGCTCTGAAGCTCTTTTTCACAGATGTCCAATAAAGGCAGGTGCGAACTTTACAACAATACAAAAGCACGATAGGCGTGCATAGTATGGGAAAGATAAGCAAATCACTTTTAATATATAATAAACACAACTAAATTCTTTTTTTATACCAAATAAAGCCCAGTGAGCTACTAGCTTATTTTTCAGAAGCGACCTTTCAACAAATGATAGCTCAACGAAGCAGTTTATCATGTGTAAATGTATAGGAGCCAAATAATCCCATCTTAACGCATGTTTCTGCATTGGTCTCCCAACATCAAAATCCTCATGTGCCAGCCTGTGGGTGCGTGGTGGCACGTGGTTACACACCTGGAACTCAAGCTCTCGTGCAGTGCGACTTTATCCCTTACTTGGAAACGAACCACCATTGCCAGCACCAGCAATGTTTACATTCACGTGGTTATGCGCATAGCTTCCTTGCACGAGTTGTCATGTCAACTTGTGTCTGGTATGCAGTTCTACTCCGGCAGAAGCTGGGATGAGCGTCCTTTGCCGGCCCAGCCACGACCGGGAATGTTTCCATCTCTGCACCACCACTCCAGCGTTCAGCTGTCGGCCGGGCTACCCGATCAACCTCCACGCACCCACAACTGGGATGAGTTCAGACCCAAGCAGCTCACCTTGGTGTGCGGTAAAGCATTGGCATAGATGTAGAGGAGTAGAAGAGAGTGGATCCCACGGCTGGCGCAGAGGAGACAGCACAGAGGAGACGGCACAGGGCAACCGGCTGTGTCGGGACCGAGTGGGAACTAGCCCGGGACCTCTAACCCCTGGGAAGTGGTTCACCCCCCCCCCCCCCCCCCCCCACCGTGTGTTGTGTAGCCCTTAATAAACTTACGGCGAAAGCCCTTAACCTTACCTCCATCTCTGAGTGAGTCGTCGCTAACCCCTCTACATAAGCACGTAGGATTCTACAACCCATTATCTCAGAGGTCAGAGTGCTAAGCTGGCACCGTTGAGATCCTGAGTTTGAATCTATGTTTCAGCCATCTGTGATTAAATAAGGTTCTCAAGCAAAAAAAAATATCCATCAGGTAAAAATTTGTTGTGCAGTTAATGTCTCAATTTCAGCTAGGAGAATCAATGCATCAGTTTGAGTGTAATTTCATGAACATTCTGCATCAGGCAGATGAGAAAGTGCTCCTCTGCTGTGGGGATACCACGTCATTTTAATGGATATCAGGGATGACAGCAGTTCTTTGGAACATTCTCTCATACGGAAGGTTGCACTGCTTCGAGTGATGTGAATGGATAGTTTGTCTCATGACATGACACTGAAAACAACTCTAAAACCTCACGTTTGTCAACTTTCTTTCCAACATCAAAATGTGCTACCCTAGTACCACGTGCTTCGGCGAGCTGGCATCAAAAACTGGCAGCACAACACGACCGGCGTGGACATGTGGACGGTGACCACCCCACAGCGGTGGGCACCTCCGTACCGCACCACCTACACGGTGATGCACAGCCACGGCGATACGCCGGTTCGCACGACAAGCGCAGGCCTTCCTCTCCCACGGCACCAGCACAACATCCTCACGGGTAAGGCTGACACTGCGCGCAACCATTGCCAGCATGTCAAGGCTCACGCTTAAGTCTTTCCTGTACGTGTCTTCCACTTTGAAAGTTGTGCGTCAGCAGGTATTTATCAAGAAAAATCACACGTGGACATGCTTTTGTCCTACGAATAGCAAGAACTTTACGTTCCGAGCTGCATGAGATGTCACATGAAGTACAAAATTTGACATCGTTGCCTTTTTATTGGGCAATCCCCTTATAAATGGGCCGGTGTTCTATCCCTCAAATAAACTTCACATTATGTTCAAAGTGTATTTATATATGATCTTTATAAAGGATATCGTGAGCCCATGTTATATAGAGATGTATAAAATGTATGCATTACCTTTCAACCTTCGTTGGAAAACATTAAAACTGTGCTGCTTCACCCAAGTTATTTGTTTTAATTACTTTTCATTGTTCAAATTGGTGTTACTCATGCTGTTTTAACTGTATATGTTTAACCCAGGACAGCCCAAGAGATATATCTCATGTTTATGAAATACAATAAAAAAAAATATTGATTCATATAGCCCCTGTGACTGCATCTCGTTTATATTACAGAGACAGTCAGTCATAAGCAGAGGAATAAATATCAATCAAAAGTAACAAAACCAATTTGACTATTTAAGCAGCTCCCTCTGTTGTGCAAGCACACACGTGACATCATCTCTTGCCCTGCAGGAGAGGTGGTTTCTGGGAAACCCACCCGGCAGACGCAGAGGGTGTCGGGCAACATCATCCTGCAACAGCAGAGGCTGCACACGAGGCAGGAGCCGTCTGGCGACCAGTCCTAATGGTCTAGGCCAGCAGGACAGCTGAGGAACGCTCAGCCATGCCAATGGCACTTGCACTTTATACCTTTATTGAAAAATCCAAGAGCTGCTTTGCCAATACCACATTTTGAGACAGGAGGACGTAGACAATGTAACATTCACGAAACGTTTAATGTGATGCGATAAATGCTTAATAAAAAAAAAACCTTTAACAACCATGCTTTTTGATAAATGATTTAACAAGCTCACTTGATTTCTGCAATATTAATAGTAAAACTGTTGTGCGATAAAAAAAAAAAGCTCAAGAATTTCGTATCGCGTGAGCAGCACTGCAAAAGTGGTGCGGCAATGTGGACACTCGCGAAAGCAAATTAAATTACATCACCACATACAGTATATTAGCACTGAGTAGTATGACATGACTGTAATTAATACAAATTCAATGCATTTCAGATTGGATGGCTTTTTGTCTGACTTTATTCCATCTGTTGTGTGACAACTGGCTTGAAATGTTGGATGATAAACAATTCCTCGGGGCAAATCCAGCTCCAGAAAATACAAAACAGCCAAAACCTACCTGAAGAGTTACACGTGCTACGTTTTACTACTCACAATTAGCATCCACCATACATCTTTGGTAAACACAAATTAAACTGCACACACACCATTAAAAAAACTTTCTAGCAAGGTCTAAGCTATGGGTCACAAGGCTTTCTTATCAGACACTGGGATGTCCCGATTCTTGCCGAATGTTACGCGTGGCGATGACTGGTGCTGAATGTTGATAATGGCTTAACATGAAAATAAGCTGCAGAAGCTGGGTGGGGGAGGCTGGGCAGGAGTCCTTGGCCGGTGTTCTTTACTCACGCTTGGCATCCTTGCGTTTCAGCAGTGTGTTTATCCTGTCACGTGCCATGCCCACGTACTTGCTGAGCACGCCGTGGCGGTTAAGGCCAGGCAGCAGCAGCAAGGACATGACTACAGCACAAAACAGAAAGGGAGAGCATGAGACTTGTCTATCGCACACGTGAAGTCAGCAGGCAGTAATCACTTGGTGAAATGTCACTTGTTTAATGTATGTATACCAAATGAAGTTCTATGTGATACTCCATAACATGGGAGGATCACGGGAGATGGTGATGGCTTGGGGAGGTATTTATCCAATACTGGTTTGAGCACGGCTATGATGGGAAGATCCTGGATGACCAGCTAACCCAGCAGTATCTATATATTTAATTATCTACAGGTGCACTGTCATTATAGCAACTTCAAAGTCACTGTAAATACCCGAGGCAAGTATTGTACACAACCACTCACCCAGCATGTAGGTCAGGAGAAGATTATGGAATTGCTCCCCGATCCACGCCAAGACAAGCAGGCCCACGGTCACAGTGGCCAGGTACTGAACACCAATGAACAAGAGGTAAAGCAATGCATTTTACTTCAGTATGTTATACGAATGGTCAGATATCACGTGCAATCTCGCACAATGGATGTGTTTAATGAGGCTTCTGCAGACGTGCATCATTCATACATTCGCCCGCACACAGCTCAATGGGCTCTGCCCTCCTTGCATCCAAAATCCGCTGCTCCACCATTGGTGGATGGTCTTTTAGCCACTATGCCCCCCACCCCCCTCCCTAACCTCTTGAACTCTCTCTCAAGGCAACTGGCTGGTCCTCTGTCTGCATGCAAGTCTCTCCTCCAAACTGTCCTCTTGAACCGTGCTTTCACACCCATCTTAATTCCTTGTCTTCTCTCCTTCCCTCGCTTGGCCCTTCCCATTTTCCTCCTTCACGTTGTTACGTTAAGACTGCATTACAAATGTAAGTTGTTATCTCTATGAGTGAACTGTTCTCAGCATTTGCTTCATACGCAAGTACACAATTCCAGACGTTTGTACGCCGAGGAAACAGTGGTGTTTACCACGAGGGGTTTCTCTTCGCGCAGGTCTTGCAGCCGGAGTCCCCAGCCATACAGCCTGCGTCGCAGGTTTGCCAGCTGCTTGCACACATCATTGAAGTGCTGCTGCTTGTCCGTGGTCCTGGGGAGGGGCAAAAGCACAAACTAAGTTTCAGTTCTGCATCAGCAGTCACAGAAAGGTGGAAAATCCTCAAAATCATGCAAATGATACCGAATGTAAATTACAATTGGAATGTGGATTTATTAAGTGTCTGAATGCAGCCATATCTCAGGATACTGCACAGAGGTGGAGCAAGCACACTAGGCTAATAATTGATGTTTGGTTGAAGGGGATAAGGCATTACAGGGCAGAGAAGATGAACAGGTATTGGTGTTATGTAGTAAGAACATAGAACTTTGACTACTTCTACAAAGGTGTCTTGAGTCTAGATTTGAATACTTAAACAGGGAAATCGTCGTGTGGATAACCATGGAGAGAGAGTTCCAGACAAAATGGAGGAGCAGTAATGACCACAACCCATTCAATTGGTGTGTAGACTGTTGTGTCAACACTTGAATTGACCTAAGTGGGGAACAATGAGCTCACCAATGGTTTGGGCTGAGGAACTTGGAGGTGAGGGTGGGCAGCAAGAAATCCACAACGCACAGCGTCATCACAAAGGTGGAGACCCCAGTGAGGAGCGATGGATCCAGCCAGTAAATCACCCTGTGAATATTACATGAAGCATTAGTCAACAACCGCTGCAGCACAGTTGCATTGTATGTTGAACTTATTTCGTACATAGCCAACCGTGCTAATCGGAGGTGCGGAGCGATAGACCACACTGGTGCTCTTTAAACTTCAAATACTATAGCTATACGCATTACATTTAGAAGTAGGTTATATTCAAATAATAAAATAAATTTTGCCCAACAGCCCAATGCAGAAACATAATGCAATAAAAAACGGCTAGATAAATAACAAAGACATGTACAACAGCCCTTTTGTCTAAACATTGCTGGATGAAGGCCTGCCCACACATAGCAGTGTGGGTCGTAGCGGTAACGTGACCATAATCACGCTGGTCAATGCCGGTTTAAAGCTGGACGCAGATACGTGGAAGCATAAAGCACACGAAACAACAGATTTTTCTACAATTCCCTACTTGTTGGTAGGGGAGGGGATACAGTTGAATGACATTATGCCGATTACTACAGCATGGCTCAAGGAGTGGGTGCTCAAAGGTCGTACAGGAAAAGCAGGGAGACGGCCCCGGCGATGGCCACGGGGTAGACGGGCTTCTCCCAGCGCAGGGCTCGCTCTGCCGCCACCAGCACATCCCCCCAGCGCTGCAGCTGCTCCTCCAGCCGCGCCGTCTCTACCACCTCCAGAGGGCAACCACGGACATCGCTTGTTAATCTTTGTCGACCACACACAATACACACCGTCGTCGTGCACCACCACGGTCAACCCACTATCGACCACATACACCACGGTCAATCGGTATCAACCTGGGACGTGAAGTCAGGGGAGGTAGGGGAGGCAGAGGCCTCACCTGTCATACTCCAATAAAAATAGCTGTTACTAAGAGTAAAACAAAGAATAATCAAATCAAATAAATATTAAGATTATAAATGTAATTTTTGTACGATTCTAATCATTTTTTATAGTCAAAATCGCCACATTTGCGGAGCTCCGCTGCATATACAGGAATAGACGAGAGGTGAGGCAGCGACGCACTCAGCCTCCCCTCTTATTGCGCAACCCCTCAGTAACTGGATGAAGCGCGGGCAATAAGCGCGTGCCTGTTACTATCTCAGTATGCCACCAATGTAATGTTTGTAGACCCCTTCATTTTATGTCCTCAGCCTTCCATACTCCAGCTAACTTATATCACGTATGTGTATAACGATATTTAGGCTCGCTCGTCATGAAACTGCAATGAAAAAGCACCAGGGGAGGCAGCTATCACATCTGCCTCACTGAGGGTGACGTGTCTAACACGCCCCCCTCAGTGAAGACACGCCCCCATCCGTGAGGCCACGCCCTCCAGCGTGTGAATCTGGCTCTCACATGAACCAGTGCCTCCCCAGCCAGACCTCACCGCACGACACTGGCATCAACCACACAAAATGCGGTCAATTCTTATTGTAAAGCACACACCACGCTAAAAACAACTATACACTCCAGTCAACCACGGTCGAATATAATTAACCACAACACCGCGAGGTATACCCGCTTGGTTTTTTTTTTGCGTACATAATGAGCATTTAATACGATAGGGATTGGAATGATTAATGCAGTAAAAATAACCCACAGCTGTTGCGATTCTGCAAATCGCTGCAAATCGCGAGACGTAACGGGAACCGAAAATCGCTGCCGTCTGCAGCTCAAGGCCCGTGTCCCGTACGCGTTCGTTGGCGACCCAGAAAAACACAAAAAATATAAAGTCACCTTGTAGCTACCGCGCCCGGGTAGCTACACACCCACAACTGGAAACAAAATGTATGTTTTCCCCCCAAGGCGGGGAAAACGCCACAAGCACAAACTGCGGTGACTTGGTTTTTTTAAAATATATAAACCACGGGGAGTAACACCCGCAATGACGTCTGTAAAATAGCTTCAGAAAAAAAAGATTGCACGCATTCTCACAGCGATCTTTACTCGTGTATGACGGGCAAAGACACTCGCATCAAGACGCGTTTTACCCAACAAAATAAGAGGATATTATTTGGACCGCGTCTTTTTAATTTGAGAGCCAGAATCGACCGCCGCCCCACCCAGGTTGGCATTCCCACGCTGCCCGAAAACTGCGCCCGTCCTGGGCAGGGCGCTCAGGAAAACCGGTGGCTTCGGCCCGCTTCCCCCACCTACCCCACCCTCTCGGCCTTAAACGCAGCCCCGCGGCGCTCGCTCACCAGCAGGTTCTCCTTGCTGACCTCCATGCCGGCCGTTGCCATCGTTGTTGCGTCTCAAAGTGCCAAAGTGCAACGCGGCAGACGAATAAACGGAGATGTGAAGGGAGAAGCACAACAACGCCTCGGCCACGACCTCCGCGCCTACACCCCAACTGCGCCTTCAGAGCCCCCGCCGCGCAGCCAATCAGAGCGGCGGAGTGACGTCAAGAGCCCAACGGCTCAGTACACCCCCCCCCCTCCCGTGAGTGGTAAAGTCAAAGGACGTAGCACGCCCCCCCCCCAGCCAGCACTGCGAGTGGTACAGTCTCATCTGGAAACATTGGAGCAGTCCATGCTGCATCTACCGCAGGGGGGGGAATTATCCTCCCAGGTAAATGTGTGGCCCGGCATTGGGTGGTCGTCAAACTGGACGTGGTGTAAACCTCCAATTCCCCGTTATAAAGCCTTGCCTTCACATGTAGTTGTTCATTTTTCGATTTAAAGCTTTCGTGACTGCAGGGATTAATCTTCTTGGTTCTTTCGGTAAAGTCACGTAGAAGGGAAATAATAAAACATTATAAAATACAATTCTCACGACGTTTCAGCCACAACGCAAGAACAGGTCTGTCGGAAAGACGCTGTCTTTCCGACAGACCTGTTCTTCACCTGAGGACGGCTGCTTGCGTTGTGGCCGAAACGTCGTGAGAATTGTATTTTATTATGTTTTATTTTTATTATTTTATTATTTCCCTTCTACGTGACTTTACCGAAAGAACCAAGAAGATAGTTGTTCATTGTTTTACTTTAGTCACAGGACGGAGACTAAGTGATGCATTCTGTTAGCCCAATTCTCCACAAGGCATCAATACTGTAATCACAAGAGACCAGTAAGCTGGCGCGTCGGTACATGTGATTATCCTTTATTGAACATGTAAAACAGATTTAAGCGTAATTAAAGCCATGAACATATACACGCGCATTTTAGGCGACCGCAGCACAGACAGGCGCGACACAAAATCCCACGTGTTATCCACTTACAACCAAGACCAGCAAAGGCAGTCACGGATGATGTAAAACGAATTGCCATGCAGCATTGGCCTACTCAGCTCTCCAAGACACACACTCAAATCCAGAAAATGCGAGTAATTGTTTTGAAAACCATTCAAACTTAACCAAAATGAATCCGTAAATAAATTGTCTGCGATGTGTATGCGCTTGAATTAATTAGTAGCTCTTGCCATCTGCACTGGGGCGTTAAAATAAAAAAAATTAGGAGACATTTAATACATTTCAATTTGAACCTTTATAACAGTGTTGTTAGAAGCTGTTGAATGAACTCGGAATTAAATAACTGATAAAGCGTTGAGGCTGCAGTACATATTCCAGCAACACTCCAACGCATGTGGTCAATGTCTGTTGTTACGAAGGCTGGTGACATGGTGGCCTCTTGCTGTAACAACCACATGACCATCACGCGGAGATAACGGTGCTCCATATGCCAAGTGTCAAGATTCAGGAGGGGTTGGGTGCGAGTTAAACGAAGATCAACAAACAGCTCGAGTTACATTCTGTTACCAATCACTAACATCAAGAAGCTATGAGACCACATAAAATCAGAATTTTGCCACCATTGTACCGCATACAAACACAATGTCTACGAATATTTTTGTTGTTTTTATTTATATAAACGTTAATAGCTTTTGCCTCCTCACACGGCAGGCACCACCTTTTTATCACTGCCACAAGATGTACTCCCAGCACAGGATGGTTTACTTTTGCACTCACGGACAGACCAACTCAACAAGACCACTTCACAACCAGCAGCTACTGCGACCAGTTTCACACCGGGCTGTGTGAACAGGTTCCTGTTTAAAGAAAAGTTTTTTTTACGATCTGCTGTTCCACTGTGCCTGCCGTCTCCCCACACACACACTTCAGGGCAATAACTTTTTATATACCCTGTTTGAGCAGGTGTTTTCATGGTTTTCCCACTTGTGGTTTTTGCAAGTCGTCTTTGATGACTTGGACACCCCCTCATCACAGAATGAGTTTTCGCACCAAGAAAGACCTCAGGCTGAGCAGGACTACCCCTGTCTGGGTGACGGCGAGAGGGTGCAACGTGGAGGGGGGAGCGGACGTGTTGCCGTGTCGACGACGATCCCATCGCAATTTTGCCTCCTCCACTCCTCTCTCGTAGACGTAGCTTTCCTAAACTCGGCGTTCTGGGGTTTTGCCTTCGGCGTGACGAGCAGGCCGCACCAGCCTGGTGCTCTTTCCTCCAACCTCCCTGCGACTTGGCGGGAGAGGGGGCTGCGTTTGCTCTCCGCCGCCCTCCCCTTCCGAGGAGCCTGGGCCTCGGGCGCTGTGGAGGCCGGGTGTGGGGTCAGCGCGGGCCACACGGCCGACCGACCGACTTCTGAACCGACAGATTTTCGTTCTCCACGTTGATTCACACCCACGCTGTCCAGCCCTCATACAGCTGGGCCAAGTTATCCAGGCTGGTTGCCTCTTTGATGACATAGTCAACCTGTAAACACAGAGACACAGGAACCAAACACGTGACACGCAGGGGTTATTAGGGCCAAGCCTCCCGCTGAAATGCTGCGTGGCACAAGTAGCGTTCCGTTGGGTTCGGTGCTGCGCTGTCCTGTACCTGCTCCGTCACTGTCATCCTCCGACTGGGGTCCACATCCCGACCTTCGAGCTTGGCCTTCACGCGCTTCCACACGCTCACCGCGTACGAGTTACGCTCTTGCACCGCTGTAGCGACAAGTCACAAGAGTGGGCATGAGACACCTAGAAGGTCAAAATGCCGAATGCAATTCTTATCTGGAATAATAGGTTCGGTAAGAGGTATGTTGTAGTGGCTACATTTTCATGTTGGTGGGCCACATGACATCATGTCACATATATACACTGTCATTTAGTTTCAGAATGCCTGGAGTCACCATTAAAGTGCACCTCTAGTCTCCAGTTCTCTTCCCTCCATCTTGCTCATCTCACTTTGAGCACTATTTTACCTCTTGCCTGTAGTTCTCATCACTCTTTCTTTAATTTCACTCATCTGTATCTCTTTACATCTCCGTGAACCATATCGCTCAATGGGCCATAGCTGGGCAGGCCATTCCATAAGCAAATGCAGCACACGGCCCGTCAGTTGAAGAGCCCTGCTCTTGGCAGTTCTCAACGATGAACACGTTTAATTAATGCCAAGGAAAAGATTATGCGAATACAGTCGTTAAAAAACCAAACTGAAAAGGCTACGCGCTCGTACGGACCTTTCCCGGTTTTGGGGTCCCGTGCAGTCTTGCGTGGGCTGGTTCCGGCTGGTAGCTTGGAGCCGGGGGGGCTGTTTCCGGAGGCAGCTCCGCCCTTGTGAGAGCCGCGTTTGGCGGAGGGCGACAGCCCCTCGGATGGGGTCTTCTGCACAGGCGCAGAGCTGCTACGAACCACTGACAACGAGATCGCAACAGCATCACCGCCACTGCGATTCACCTCCTGCAGCAGGTTCATTAACTGCGCCATTGCCTAACCGACTGCTCAGGTGAGCACATCAACTGGTTTCATAGAAGAAAATTCGTTGCAAGACGCTGGGATGCTACATCGTGTGACCATCTCACCTGCCAAGATGTTTGGTGGGAGGGCTGGCGCTGGAGTGGGGCTAGCACACTCCGTGGCTCTGTCCGTTACCAACGGGGATGCGAAACTCACCAGGCCGTGGTACACCCTGCAGTGGAGGGCACACAGTGAGCGAGGCACGTTAGGAGTGCCGTAATCTTTTTCCCATTCCAATGACTTACGTGTACGTTACCAGAATAGAATCTAAAGGAAAAAAACTATAATAAATTATCTTGATCGGTACGTTTTCCAGTTGGAAGATATACCGAGGCTCCCAAGGCCATGCGGGAGGAGGGTGTGTGGCACAGTTTAGTGCCAGCTATTATAGATTGAGGTCGTGTCGCTACAGTTCTCTGCGGTGAGTACAAGGCGCTATGCCTCTCTAAATAAAATTAACGCGAACTGCTTGCGCCTTCCGCAATTTAGTGAACAGAACCCACCCTGCAATTTGCATATGTCTTGCAAGGGGATAGGGTTAAGATGCACCCAATTATTATGAGAGCACAAAACAGGTTTTCCAGGTTTCTGGAGAAGGCCATATTGTGTAGTGTGAAAGCAGCGCCAAAAAACAACTCCGCCAGGACAAGGTGGTTCTATATAGGACTGCTGATGGATATCTTACCCACACCCGGACATTGGCTTCATAGTCCAATCCTGGCCCCCAAACCAGTTCTGGATCAATTTCGAGATCTCAGATTCACCATCTTAAAAATTACTCCATGTTATGTTTCATCATATCATTTGTCACAATTATTGAAGTGAAAACTTTAATAATTGGCTATGTCGGGTGGAGGGAGGTGTACGACACATTTTACTCACCATTTCTTTATAATAACTTTTTTGTGTTTAGTTTGTTGCCCTTCCCCCACGCCTCTGATTACCATAGTTGGCCACGTACGGTGCGAAAGAAGTTTAACATACATAGGCAATCTAACCAAAAAATTTATCTAACAAATCATAAGTTCAAATTATAACGCAACTGCTTTTGGCGCGTAAAAGACTAACATCGATCGCCATTAAAAAAACTAAACACAGAATGCCTCAATAATAACCTTCACGAATGTGACAGCGTTCGATTCAGAAACAACGCACGAAACACAAGCACCGTGCGTGCGTACCCCTGGCTCTGTGCTGCAAGCTCCTCGAGGCTGGGCGCGATGCTCTGCAGCATCTCGACGTGCTCGCGGCCCTGTGCCTGATCGCACGCCTGCAGTACGGTGAACAGCACGGTCTGCATGTTCTCCTGCCACGCGCGGTGCTGCGCCAAAAACTCCCGCACGCTGCCCTCGTACGGGCTCGCCTCGCCCTCAGCCAGGGCAGCCTCCTCGTCCTTACATGGGGGAAGGGGGGGGAAGGGGGGGGTCAGGGGTCAAGCCCTGTATGGTTAGAAGCTCCTTCTTGAGGACGAACTACTGCCTATTCTGGCGCTCAACAGAGCTCTAGGAGCAGCCAAGACTAGGGTGAAAGTGCAAAGCAGTAAACACAACTGAAAACCAGTTAAGAAACACACTTCAAAAACAATTGGCCAAACATCCCATTGCACTACGCCCTTGTGGAAAATGTATCTTTGAATCTCAATGGGAGCTTTCTTGAATTTAAAAAAATTGCGAGCGATATTTTACATTCACACATCTCGACACCGATTCTTCACACCTCAACCCCAGCGGAACTCGCCTTACCTTAGCCATGGTCTTGAGCAAGTACTTGACGTCGGACAGAAGTTTGTTGTGGCCCGTGAGCACCATCTTCACCAAGTCCACGAGCTCCTGCAGGCCATCAAGTGCTGCGTCCGCCTCCTGCTCCTTGTCTGCCTGCGCCGTCCTCAACGCCGCCAGATCCGCCGACAGCTGCCGGTGTGCGGCTAAGAGCCACTCCCCTGAGCCCACGGGCTGGGGGGGGCTCGACATCATCTAGTGAGGGATGCACGGCAATCAGGAGGCTCATTGAGGACAGGGCCCAAGGGCTAAACGCGCACACTGCAGCAAAGATGCTTTGAAACATTTTAAGAATCGAGGTAAAAGGTTGCGTCAAAAACAGCTGGGATCTGAGATAGAGGCATGCCCACATCGAGACCAGAGTGCACATCATGCTCGCCATTGTCATGATAATCAGAATTAGTCAAATCCACTGCTGGATGAAGGTCCGTTAGAACACGGTTAATGCTGAGGTTTTGAGCACGTAACCTTTTCAGTTTGGTTATGAACAATGTATTTGCGTAACCTTTCCCCTTTGTATTTATAAAACGTGTGGGTAACTGCGAAAGGCAGGGTTTTTCAACTGATGGGCCTGTGGGCCACATTTGCTTGTGCAATGGGCCTGCCCAGCTCTGGGGGGGTGGGGAGGGGGTCTTGGTCGCGTTACCAGGCAACGCAGCAGCTGCAGTTCGAGGGGGGAGACGCTGTTGCTGCACTGCGCCACGTAGGAGCTCAATCCCTGGCAGCGCTGCAGCAGCTCCAGGCACGCCTTGTCCAGCACACTCGACTCGGGCGTGCGTGTGCGCAGGCTCTCAAAGTGCAGCACCGCTCCGCACAGCATCGTCACCTAATACACACACATTGCACATGCACAATAAGGGGCCCATGACTCAATATACGTTAACATGACAAAGGTCCAAGTTATTTCTTGCCCTAACGGACACTGCGGCCAGGGCCGGTGCTAGGGTGGTGCTGGTGTAGGCCCTGCACCACCAAATGTCCCTTTAAGAACCACCCAAATCCAATCACGAAAGTGATAAACCACTGTCATGGTGGTCCGCACATTAACTCTACTGGCCCACCCCTTCCGAGAGAAGCTGGAGCTGGGCCCGATTGAGGCGGTGCTCATCTCCTGTGTACAGCCCTGAGGCCAGTGGTGGAAATTCTGCATTCCTATTGCATGAGTGAGTCTTCCCAATAAGACCACAATTGTTGACTTCTGCAAACTTTATCGATCCCAGAAGGATGATGGGAATGAGTCAATACCCAACCAGGACTTGAACTTGGAACCTTCCGATTGCGAGCCGCTCACGCTACCGGTGAGCTAACCGACTGGTTTACATGACAACTCTGTGAATGTCTACGGTTCTGCCTGTGTGCTACTGCATGCGAGTGGAAAAAATGTTGACGTTAATGTGCTATTTCTGCGACCGAGTATGCGGTTGCTATGAACTCACTGACTTGAGTTAAATTCCCTACCATGGTCACCCACGTCGAATTTGTGACTTTGTCCTGTGCCCTTTAGGTTGAATCAGCTTGAATAGTGGTTGCCAATGGCCATTAGTCCTTTCTTGATCCTCGGGTTTGAATGAGTGTTTTATGTCTTTTTTTAGGAGGGAGTGGTGGTACAGTGGTTAGCGCTACAAACTCAGCGACCACGGTTTGATTCCCAGTCACAGCTAACATCAGTGGCGAGTGGGATCCGAACCGACCTTGGGCCTCTGCGAGGTCCACCCTTCTAACCGAGTACCTGGTGCGGTGTGTACACATCAGCACTGGGGGAACAGAGGTAATTGAGAGTAGTAGTGCTGGCCTCCCACGCCCTCGTGTGCCAGACTGGCCTTCATAGGTGCTCTCTAAGGGCGCTTGGCCCTCACAGTCACAGGAGCTGTTTACGACCTTAATAAAAATGAATAGTTGTACATAACGCCTTAATACTTGGATAAAATTCAGACGCTTTAAAGGAACAACTGTATAGGGTTAAAACAGTAGGTTGCTCACTAAATTTGGATTAACTAATAATCAGTTTTCACGAAGAGCACTTGCCTCAAGAGGTCCACAATGTTGCACGGAGGATCTTTCCTTTTTTTGTGTGCGAACATTAGTACGTACGAGTGCGCGTGAAAAAAACGCTTTATAGCTCATCGGATTCCTCCAGTATTAAATCAAGATTCAGATTCTGAGTGCGCGAGTGAAAGCGCGAGTGCACGAGCAGTTGGACAGGTGGAGGCCAAACCTTGGACACGCGCTCCTTCTCGGTCAGCAGGGTGCCGCGGCGCTGGCAGATGGTTGCCTCGAAGTCTTGCAGAACGGGAGCCAGAGCGGGGTTGGCCCCGCCGGCCCACTTCAGCCTCTGCTCAATGCTGCCCTCCAGCACGGCGACGCGCTCCTGTAAATGATATTACCACGCCCTTCTCACTACTGTCCCCCCCCCCCCCCATCTTCACGGTGCTGCAACTGCGTTCGTTTGTGCGCGACTTTCGAATTGTAAGGAATAATCCCATCCAATTTTAGCACTCGATTGAATCAATAAAGTACCAAAATGTCCCAGAATGCAGTTGTTTATCCTAGTGGACCCCCCCCCCCCCAAATGGAAGCTTGTTGCGGTGCGGCCACAAGGAGAAAATAGCAACGGCCTGTAAGTGGTCATTAGTCTACCAGTCGGGAGGCAACAGTGAAATTCACACTTGGGAGTTGCTGCAAAAGCAAGGCTCTGCACAGACATCTGGGGACAAGTCCAAAAGCACTGCGGCACGAAGAATATTCCAGCAACGGCCTCCTGCTGCTGCAGCCCCTTGCCCACCTGCAGCGCCGCAATGGAGGTCTCCATCTGGGTCAATGCGTGCAGTTTCTTCTTCATGTTGGCCAGCACGCCGGTACGGGGTAGGCCCACGGGCACCATGGGCTGGCCCCGGCTCATCAGCACATCCTCGTGCAGCCACTGTGACGGGGGGGGGGGGGGGGGGGGGCGAGAGCGGCGAGCGCGTTAAGCAGGGTGACGTAGATGCTCACGGCATCAAATCAAGCACAGGCGCCAGCCACTTTCTAAAACGTGGCTCTTTTCGCCTGCCGTTGTGCCGAGGCACCTGCAACGTCATCATCATCATCAGCTACGATCTATCCACTCCTGGATGAAGGCCTCCCCAAGCCATCTCCATTGCTCACAGTTATGCAATGTAACAATCTACTTACAACTGGCACCACAAGGTGATTGCAGACTTATATAATACATTCATTTTTTATTTCTTTATATTTTGTGACTCGCTTTCCTTTTTCTATATTTTGCACTTCTATAGTTTTTTGTATTGTTTGCCGTTGTAACTTGCTGACCCGCCCGTACTGATCACGTGAAAAAAAAGCTTCTCATAGCTCATCAGATTCCTCCTGCAGTCCAAATAAAGATTCTGATTCCATAGCTCCACCTCTCCAATGGACTTCCTCAAGGACGCGTTCCATTGCACGATCGCCACTGCCACTACACTCTTGGCCCATCGGCCATCATCCCCGTACAGCAATGTGTCCTGCCAAAGCTCGTTTCCTTTTCTCCAGTCAATAACGACGTCTCCAATTTGCGCGTGTTCCCCGATCAACGTACACATCTTTCCCCTTTCAAGCATTCACCTCTCTCTCTCTCTATCCACGCACATTGTTTCCTCATCTTTTGCGTGCTTTTTCAGCGTGCGGGCACCTGGAACATGGCGACGTGGATCTGCAGGCGCTGCAGGCCGTCCTTGCTGGAGGCGATGCCCCCGTCGAGGCGTCGCGCCAGGTCTTGCCGCTTCCACGCGGCGTCGAACGAGGCGGCCAGCACGGCCGCACGGTTCGCGTCCGGGGTGGAGAAGCGGCCCTGCTGCAGGCTCAGCTCCGCCACCTTCTTGCATAACTCGTCCACGGACACCTTGCTCTCTGCGCCAAAGTCGCGAGCCTCCACCTGCGATTGTTTAAAAGAACGGGGAGGGGGGAGGGGGGCAATGCCCTTGAAACAATTGTCTTCACTAGCACAGCACAAACACGTTAAGCCAACGGGAAATCTGAAAATGTATTTATACTGGAGGAATCCGATGAGCTATGAAGTTCTTTTTCACAGATGTCCAGTAGAATGATTGGAGCCGTGCTAGCCATCCACAACCCTTAAAGCCACAACATGATCTTGGGGAATTCTGGATTTGATGCGCAGTGCGCTAACGACTTGCCAAGGCTTCTCACTCCTTCAAGAACACATGCTTGCGTGTTCACAATAAACAACATAGCTCTGTAAATATGTACTTACATTGTGTGTATGTTGTGGATTGTCCAACAGGAGTCTGACGCTTTATCAACAAGATATAAGACTTCAAAGTTAGTTTAAAGCACGCAGTTTTAAGCCCGCTATTGACATCGCTCCCATGCGTTCGATAAGGTCAACGCAGCGGCATCCCCAATGCGCTGAGGCAGTCGCACCGGAAATAACATTTCAGTATTTTATGACTTAGGAAACATAAATCTTGTGTGAGACAGTCAAAGGCACAAAGGTCTACGCATGTAGCTACGTGATAACTACGTTTGAGAATGTTTTTCCAGGAAGCCACAGCCCTACACCACCACCGTAGACGCCCTCACCTGTGCCGTGACATCCAAGCCGAGCACGCCAAGGTAGCTGCAGACCGTGAGGCCCAAGGCCTGAGTGGGCAGCCCCACCAGCAGCATGCGCACAAAGTCGGCTGTGAACGCCTTCACGGGACGCGCCAGCTGCTCCTCACCGAGGCAGGTGGGTCGCAGGGCGACCAGCGCCACTTTGCTGGTAGCGGATAACGAAGGCCCGTTGAAGGACCCGGCGATGATACTACCGCCGCCCTCCTCCATGCTCCGAATGCCTGACACAACACCCACGATGCCGCAGCATACAGTCAGAATCTGAAGCCGCAACAAAAGCGTGGGGTTCACGCAATAAAGCTGGGCGACATTGGCTGAAGTCGTTTTTAATAACGTCAAAGTGGCCTTTTAACCTTGACCACCCACACAGCCCACACCAGGAACGCTCTTCGTCACAGATGAGTGGTCGGTGTGGCTAAGGTCATTGGCATCATAAACAGCATACGGCTGAGAGCCTCGGCTAGGTTGGCTGCTGGGTCGACTGCTTCCGGCCAGGCTGAAAGTACGTTGGGACACACACAAACTCGCACATACTAGCGTTGAGCAACTTAGCAGCCCAAAACATATAACACCAACGTCCTCCACTTCGTTCTATATATATGACCTGGACACTGTATTGGCGTCATACGTCACCCAGCACGATTACTCAACCGGCCCAATGAAAGACACCGTATCCAGTCCGAACGGCTGCGTCCACGCGGGAGACGCGTGCGCCCGGGTGTCCACACCTGCGAGGGTCTGCGCGTAGGCCCGGCATTGCGTGAAGAACTCCTGGATGGTCTGCAGCCGCTTGAGGAAGAACACGTCCTGCATGAAGCGGCGGTTGAGCTCCAGGTCGATGATGTGCGCCTGCAGCGCCCGCGCCTCGCGCAGAACGTCCACCTTGCGCCACGCTGCTGGCACCTCAAGTTGGACCAGCTGTTGGGCAATGGTGCAGGGGGGCCATGACTCTCTTAGCCAAACGCTGCCTGCCATTCACTTGGTGCAATGCTGCGCTTCTTCACTCTTTCACAGCCTGTGCATATTTCAATTCTACTTCACCCCTGCAGCCAGCCACGTTTAAACATTAATTCTGTAAACCTGGTCAGATTTCTATTTGGCAAAATAAACAGAATGCACGTGGCGTGATTTAGGTCAATATGTGCAACACTTTTCTGTAACAGACTTTGCCACATAATGGCGGCAAACATAACGCTTGTGGCCCACAAACAACACCAACACATTTGGTCACATGAACCATCAGGACCAGTCACAGCAAGGTGGCATCGCTAGGTTCTTTGAATTAGACCTGCTCTTTCAGATCTGTCCATCTCAAAGGTCCCCACGACCTCGCATCACATGCAGTATACCACTGGCTGTGGCTATTAGTCATGTGCCTACTCTCATCTACGAGCCACCCATAATATATATTCCATTAGAAATGAAGCCCTGCATATGACACACACGCAGCGCTGAATTTCACCACACCCACGCAGCGCTGAATTTCAGCACTGCGTGGGTGTGGTGCTGGAGAGTGGCTATGAGGGGCGCTCACCTGCTCTGTGAGCTGTGTAAAGGAGCTGTCCACTTGAGCAAACATCCCATCAAAGGCCATGAGCAGCATCTGTCCCGCTGACATTTTGGGGGGGTCCTCCACACCGCCATCGTGACCCCGCGGTTGGATGAAATCACCGTACTGCGCACGAAGCTCCCTGGCTCACAAGGAAAGTGGTAAACCGCCATGGCATTAAAACAACAAGTGACAGAGTTCATACAGCCAAACTGTCACACCTACATGGGTTTATTATTCATGTTGCGGATTAACCGATTGACGTGGTTGGCTACGAACGGTGCAAAAGAAGTTAAACATGCATACAGACAACCATGCTTGTGAAAAAAAAATCTTTACATATGCCATGTCTGAGTAACTACTCCTTACTTGGTGTGGGTGATTAACTCAGTGCCCACGTGACCACAAACGCATCAATGAAACACGTATGGTCAATTCTACACCCCCACCCCCATTTTATGGCGGTAAACAAATGCATCTTTACAGCCTAACGTTTGTTTGGCATTATCCCGGTTGTTCATCTCTCCTCTCGTTAACAACACTGACAGGACAATCACTCCATTTGTAATAAACGACTTCCACGACAAAATAGGACTCGCGAGGTTTTCTTCATTTTGACTGCTCGGCTCCGCATTCACTCCCGTTGGTTCCCCTCTCTCTCTCCCACTGTTCACGCGCGGCCGCTCCCTCGCTATGCCTCCCTCTCTCCTGCACACCGCTGGTCGTCGGCGTGCTGGGAGGAGAAGAACTTCGGCCCGAGACCGCCACGTGGCCGGTGGTGGGACAAGGAAACGGAGATGCAGCCCAGACTCTTGCTCTACACACTGACCCCGAGTCCTCCCGTTGCCTCTCCTTATATCCCCCTCGGCGGGGCAAGGCTCCACCTCTAACCACACCCCCCTCAGAACCTTCCCGATGGTTCCGGTGCGCTCCCCCGAGTTCCGCCCATGAACCTTGACCCAGATTTAATCCGTAGCCCTGATTGGCTATCCCCATTACAGCAGTGCCTATGAAGTCCTCCGACGCCCGTCGGTGTACTCTCTCATTACACATTCACTGAAACACAGCACAGGCGCGCGAGCCTCACGCCACCAGCTGAAGCTACCAACTCTGCTCGAGAGCGGTGGGTCTCTCGGCTGCGCTCACCTGACGATGCTGACGAGGTGCGTGCCGGCTTCGTCCTCGATGCCCATGGCCTTGTTGCGGAGGTGGCCGTGGAGGCCGTCAATCAGGGTCTGCAGCGGAGCTCCGTCGGTGGCCTGCTCCACCAGGGACCCGAGTTCTGCCAGGAGGCCCTCCAGGCTCTCCTCCTCGCGCAGCAGGCAGCGCAGAGCCTCGGGAAATATTATCTGCCGGAAGTTTGTGTTCAACTCCTGCCAGTGGAGGGGTAGAGAGCCACATTGTGAGAGCACGAGGTCGGCTGTAAAATATCTATATCCCACAGGCTGCATGCATGCGTGTACATATGTGTATGGTGGAGGAGTGATGGAGTAATGGTGAGCACAATGTGCTACAATCTCATTGACTTGGATTTGCTTTGCAGCCATGAATAACACCAGCTGCAAGTGCTTTATAAACCAGTACTAGGCCTCTTTTACTGGTAGGAACCTCCTGGTTACACCAGCCCACAGGGGATTATTGTGTCCGTCCGTCGTGCAGGGAGGGGCTGGATGGGAGAGGAGGGGCTGGGTGGGGAGGGGCTGATCACCCCGTGGTGCCCTTATAAAACTCAATGTTGAACCTACTCACGCCGGCTTGTGCCCGCCCTTAGTCGGGAATATTTGTGGAATACACCACGCCGCCGTTGACCCTGACCATTGACCGAGCAACCCAACGTTCCTACCAGCTCCCTCCGCAGGAATGTGTTGGCCAACTCGGCCTTCGAGGAGTATTCGGCATGCGATCTGTAACCTCATTAACATTGCCTTTGCGTTTGTGACTCATGCGTGCGCTCACCTGCAGGGAGGTGTATACGCTGTGCGCCAGGAAGACGGCGGTCGTGGCCTCGAGGTGCAGGAGAGGCGTGTCGAGGTCGCGCAGGGCACGCAGCTTGCACTGCGCTAGCAGCTGCACCAGGCTGGCAACGTTTCCGCTCATGCTGCACAGCTCCTCCAGGAACCAGTCGCCGTCACGCGACGTCAGGTCGGCCAGCTGGTCCCCGGCTCCCGAGGCCGCGCGCTCCATGTGGAGGGACCGCCTGCATGGTGGCCACAATCACGTGTTAGCCGTGTTCACACAGGACACGTCCGTGTGATTCTATGTGTGTGGGTGTTTCAGAGCCGATGGTGGGGTCAGTGTGTGTGGGTGGGGTTGGTGGGGCTGACGATGTGCGAAAAGGGTTTGGTGGGGTCATTGGAATTCGTGGAATTCGTGGAATCATGGGGGCCAATGTGTGCAGTGGAAGTTAATGGTCCAGTGAAATTGGTGAGGTCGGTGGGTGACGTGTGCGCGTTGGGGTTGGTGGGGCTGATGGCGTGCGTGGGTACGGTGGGTCAGTGGGGCTCAGTAGTCTCGGTAGGGCTCGAGAGTGAAAGCGCTCACCTGGTGAGGGTGCTGAGCGCCCCGACGATGACGCTAGCGAGGCTGGTGGATCCACAGCCCCTGTCCTCATCGAGGAAGACTTGGATGCAGCGCTCCACCTCCTTGGTGTGCTCCTCACAGGCGGCCGGCACCGCCCCCTCCTGCTTCAGCCGCTCACACTGCCGCAGCAGGCGCCCGTTGAGCTCGGTAAGCGCCAGCTGGAGCGCCGCCTCCATCCCAAAGACCCACTGGGCACGCGCAGAGCCCGGCTGGGGCAGGTAGGCGTCCTCGTAGCTGTGAACGCAAGCAAAAGTTTTTTTTTTCTCTTCGGACAGATATAAGAAGGAGACATTGTCCTGTCTATTTTGTACAGGGCAGAAGTCAATTTGAAGGGATCTGAGGTAGCTCTGTAACATCAGCTTCTGGGGGCAGTTTAAAACAAATGATGCACTGTTCTGGGACAGTTCTCAATGGGTACTTGGTATCATGGTGTGAAGCTGATAGCAAAAATTGGGTTAAAATTTGGGGATTTTTTTTTTAACTTTATAAAAAAAAACGCAAAAAATGTGTTTAAAACATTTTTGTTGCGGCGCTGTCACCTTGCGTAGATCTCCTGGCAGCGCGTGGGCGCCACCTCGCACAGAAGCGCCTGCAGCCAGCAAGCCCAGCGGTGCGCGCGGTGCGTGTTGAAGGCGGCGCGCGGGTAGTGCAGCCCCACGGCCGCATAGTTGTGCAGCGCCTCGAGGCAGCCTCGCAGGATGCCTCGCCGCTGCTGCAGCGCCGTCACCAGCTCGCACTCGGCCGCCTCGCTCTGCGCAATCACCTGCGCCTGCCCCGCGCTCTGCAGGAAGCCGGTGGCCGGCACGTAGCTGGGGGGGCCTGCGCGAGAACAGCAACACACAGAGACCAATGAGAAAGCAGCTTCTACCATCATCATCATCATGATTTGTATGTACATGTGTTGAAATTATTTCGCGCCGTACGTAGCCAACCGTACTAACAGGAGATGCGGGGGAAGGACAACGAACTAAACACCAAAAGCAGTTCTAAAAAAACGAGTTTGCAATCTACATGTAAAAGTGCATAGCTCCAGTGGCTTCATAATATTGGAAGGAAGGAAAAGTGCATCTGAAAGCACGCGATGCAGTGACCATCTTTGTTCGATGGCTAGCCAAACGCCGCTGCGAGGATGATTTATGATGTACACTGCAGCGCCCGTGCAGTGTACATCTCAATGGCCACTTCCTCATTATTCACAGCAAGTGTTTGAACTGGTTGAATGGAGGTTCCATTTAACGTTGTTAAGTGGCGAAAAACCGCCCCCCTCAGAATTTCCCTGCCCCCCTCCCCAAGAGCACACGTCGGCGCTAAAGAAGACGTTACCCAGGTCGATGGGCGTAGCAATGTCGTCCAGCAGAGCTCCCAGACGGGCGGCCTCCATTCCGCTGCTCGCCTGCATGTACTGTGTGCTCCAGGCCTCGCACTCGCTCAGCTTGAGCGTCACTGCCTCGTGCACCGCCTGTTGCTGAGTCTCCAGGCGTGCGTACTCCTCATACCTGCGGCACACAGAGGGCATGGGCGTGGCCAGCGGCACAACAGTGCCGTGTCCATCATCGTTGTCGTCATTAACACTCAACATTTAGACCTCGCCTCCCACGCACTACATCGAGATACCCTGCGGCAGTGGATGCCCAGTGGCAGCTGTCCCTGTGAGGCACAAGGTGAACATTGCACAGACCAGCAAGTCGGCATTGGTCAATCGTAGTAGGTGTTGCTATGTGGTTTCGCAATTAAGCAATTTATCAAATCTCACATATTTGGAACATGGCGCAAGCACAGGGCTAATGTTTTTCGAATAACGTCATGGGATAGTAAACATTCTTGGTAGTAAACCAGCAGTATTAACCAGGGTGACCACTGGGCTGAAGTGAATCTCTGTAACAAGAGGCAAACGCGCCAAGAAAGTGTTTGAAAAGCCAAAGAATCACGGTAGTCCACCACAGTAGACATGACGCACGGGGGGGTTAAGTCACCCTCTAGGCACGTGTGACCTCGTATGACCTCATGTGACCTCCCTAAATTCCCGAGAGCAGTTGCTGCTCTACGGCATTCCCCATGACCCGCTCCCGATCCACCAGTGTCCACCGCCCCGGGGCGGCCGTGTACCTGTTGTGCAGGGAGTGCGCGGGGTGCTTAGCATCGCGGCTGGCCTTCTCCACATACTCCAGCTGCTCCAAAAGCTTGTCCTGCAGGCACTGTCCGGTGGTCAGCGTGTCTTGCAGGCACACATAGGCCTCCAGACCGGACTTCAGCCGAGGCAACACTGCCAGCATCTCGTCACGATTCCTGAACCACGACACCTGCAGGGGGGGCAACACGATGGAAACGCGCTCGTGCTTATATGAACTCGCAAACCTTCCCGGTCAGTGCACTACTCGACCTAAACACGCTATCACTGCTCAATCCTTATTATCATAAGTCTAATTACATGTAACATGAAAAAGTAGTCATTGCATTTGTGATTGGAATCTAAATTACACGGTAAATAGGTAATTTAAATCTGCTTCGGTAATTTCAATATAGTTAAGATCACTGCGGTAGCAGGGGTAGCAAGGGTAACCCCACCACATCGGCGCTCACGCCATGCCGAGTGCCCTCCCCCCCCCTCCGTGCGGGGGCACCATGACGCTCACCTTGATCTCAGCGACGCGTGACGAGAAGAGGCTGCGCGTGATGTCGCGCTCCATGTCCCGCTTGCTCTGCTTGCTGTCTGGCTGCTGCCCACCGCCACCCCCGTACACGGCGCCGGCGAACCCGGCCTCTCCGCCGGCCGTCCAGTCCACGAGCGGGTCGTACACGAAGGCCTCCAGCAGCGTGAGCAGCGTCTCTCGCCCGCGCCGCATGATCTGCAGAATCTGCCCCGCGCGCGCTCCCCGTTACAAAAGCTCCCCACACCGAATCTCAAATTTCTCACTCGCTGCCTAGGCGGACTGATCCTTGCCACGATAACATCGCAGTGAGTAAGACAATGTACTACTTGGTGTTCACGATCGGGCTTCGTCTTTGGCAGGAAGTGTGGGTACCTGCTCGCAGGACAGCCGGAATATTCCCTCCACGCCCGTGACTCCCAGAGCTCTCTCGATGTTCTGCGTCATCCGGAATGGAACTTTTTCCGGAACACGAAGGCTCTTGCCTGCAGGAGGGACAGCGACCACGCGCTCAAACAAACTGCTGTCACATGCAAGCATTTAACAAACGATGCATAATTGGCCGTTTAACCAATCCCACTACAATGTCAAAGCAGTTTTCAAGTAATGAATGGGGAGTAGAAGGGTTTCTATACGGAACAGGGTGGTTTTACAATGTGGATATGCCTCCCCAAATTCAGTGGTCAAGAGCAGTGTGCGATGTAACTCACCTTTCTCAAAGCAGACATTGTAGTCAATGTGCACGACCTCGCCAGTGGTCATGTCAATCAGCACGTTGTCCAAGTGCCGGTCGCCCAGTCCGATGATGTAGCCCACCATTGACATCACGGCCGTCGACCTGCAGTACATCTGGAGCAAGCACACACACACGCGGTGAGTCATACGGGCAGCATGCGAGGCACCATCGCACACCTGTATCGCTATCGAGCATGACGAGGGGGGGCGGTGGGGTTTACTGAACGCGTGTGCTACGGAGGCAGGCCGTGCGGGTCACAGCGAACCTGCGTCACTCTCCACCACTCGTCAGGGCTGGCGCTGGAGCACCACAGCTCGCGTGCCAGCAGGTCGGGCGGCGTCTCGTCCATCAGCTCCAGCAGGACTGAGCGCATGGTGGACAGCGGCCACTCGCGCCGTGCCACCTCGCTGTTCAGGCCCGCCGCACGCAGCGCCGGTGTCATCTTTCCGTAGAAGAGGTCGCTGGGCCGGGGCACGGCCACGCCGGTCGGGGGCAGCACTTCACCGCCCGGTGTCTGCCGTGCCAACACAGGGGAAACGAACAACAGCATTGCCCCATTTTATTTACATTTTACATTGCGATGTTATTTTTTATCCACGAGTTACACGAACGCTTTTGAAGGAGCTCACCGCGCCATTCTCTCAAGCGTCTCAAATTCTAGAAATGTCACCAAATGCCTTAATTTGTTTCCGAGGATCCGCAAGCCTGATCCGGCTGCATGGCAGGAGCTCTACCTTGTGGCCAGCGTTGAGTGTCTCGCGCTGCTGCCAGCGCTTGTAGAGGCCGAAGAGCGGCGTGGCGCCGTCCACCCACTGGATGAGGCCTGAGCGCGAGCCCAGCGGCGTCACCGAGTAGTGGCGCGCGTGGAAGCGGTGCCACTCCCGCCCGTTCCCCTTCACAAACATGTTGTTGACGATGGAGAGAAATTGCATGATGCGCTCATCCAAGTGCAGATCCTCCAGACCTGCGGAATACGAGAGACACACACTCAGCATTTGAGACCACAGCTGCCACTGACAGCCACACTATGTATGTTGAACTTATTTCGCACCGTACATAGCCAACTGTGCTAATCGGAGGTGCGGGGGAAGGACAAACTTAGCACAAAAAGCAGTTCTAAAGAAATTCGTTTTCAATCTATATGGTGTACAAGTGCATTGCTCCAGTGGCTTCCTAATATCAGAAAGTGCATTCCAAACGGCTGCAAAAGCGCATTTGAAAGCGCGCGATGCACCGATATCCACACAACACAATTACATCTTCAACTAGCAATCCCACTCAACACAACACCCACTAGGGGACCCAAACACCACACCACATAGTGCTGGGCAGGCAGCAGCAGCAGCAGCAGTTACCTTTGAAGAGGTAGGTGTAGGTATTTCCGTCAGAGGCGAGGAAGGACAGCTTCTTGGGCTTTGTTTTGGTGGGCAGGATGGAGACACTGGGCGCCAGCGAGTGGATGCACACGGCCTCACGTGCGTGACTCTCCCCAGGCAGCGCCATCTCCGTGCCCGCCAGGGCACTCAGCCGAGGGCTCATCTCCGCCAGACGCAACAGGTAGCTGGTGCGCTTCTGTGCGCGCTGCTGCAGGCTCTGCAGCAGCTGCAGGAAACACAGGAGAGCGAACAGATTCAATTTAAATGCGAGTTTTCGGGTTGGGCTGTGTGTTCCCTTCAAGGTTGCTACGCGCTGCTGCGAAAGTCCTCAAGGAGCCGAATTCAATAAGCAGCTGTGAAAATGTGCATAGCGTCAGCAGTCTCTGTATTAATGTGTGTACAGTGAAGCATGCTTGGGCTTTTTGTTCCAATTATTTTCCAACTGTGTCGGTGTTACGTAATCTTGTGGATACATTTATGTTTAAAATACACACACAGTAAGAAATGCATTACCTTGTATGAGAGAACTGCCCAGCAAGATGTCACAAAACACAATGGTCACCAACACCTAACTGAACTTTTTAAATTCTTAGTGCAGGAATAAGCAGACGTAAGTGACAAACTGGGTTTAATTACGTTTTTGTGCAGTTATCAGCCCACGGAGATCATCAACTCAGTTAACCTCAGGAGGATGAGACCCAGATTTGAACCAACAATATCAGCAGTGCGGGCTCAACAATCCTCCTTACATAGCATTAACCCCCAGAACTAACCAGCCACTTCACAAATACCAGTTCTTACAAATGAAAAAGATTGAGAGAACCTCGACTCAAGCAAGACACCTTTTCAACGGGGTCCCCACAATTTGGGTAACGTTTGTCGTTTATTCAGACCAGGGATGGGGGCTCTACAGCCCCATGACTTCATTTGATAGGTGCGGGAAAAGCCTCCCCTCAATCCCTGTTGTGAGCAAACGAAATTAGAGGCCGCCACATCCCTTCAAAATCAAAGTCTTTATTTATACTGGAGGTATCCGATGAGCGATAAAGCTCCTTTTCACAGGTGTCCAAGTAGGGGGTGTGGCAACGTGAGCGAGGCATGCGCCGGGCGAGCAGGGTGCTACGTGTCCTCGCCGTACCTGTCGGAACGGAGCCCAGCTGGCGCCGGGGCTGGCGGGGTTGGGCGGGTTCTTGAGGCGCTCCAGGGCGGCAGAGATGGAGGCTCCGTACGTGTCCTGGAACCAGCGCTCGTGCGGAGTCTCCGGTGGAGCCGACGTGATGCTGTGTGCGTGTTCCAGCGCAAAGACCACCGGCTTCATCAGCGCCGTGTGCTTCTCTCGCATTATGGCCAGCTTTTCTTCCCTGTTCACACGAGCAACCGGGGCAAAGCACGAGATAACAAAAAATTAGTTCATAAAAATCACAGTTCAAATGCACGAATAGCTTTCCACCATGCATTTGTTTGTGGATACATTTCATCAACAGTACGGAAGCTGATGGGTAGCTGTCAGGACATACACATCTGCAATGTTCTTTAAGTTTCACGCCAAAAACCCTCTGATCAACTTGACCAGTTCCTAACAACAACTTTATTCTACAGGTTGGTTCGCGCTGAATCATCCTTACAAAAGTGCCATCCCCCCAACCTCCCGACCGTCACCCCGTTATGGATCGACAAATAGTACAAAGGCATTAATAATGATGCAGCAGACACCACACGATACTGACGATATCAGAGAAGGCGCGCGAGTCATGAGAGGTGGCCATACTTGCGCAGCGTGACGTTGGCCTGCACGCGCTTGCCCTCGTCTTCCAGCTGCTGCACCCGTCGCAGCGCCATCATCTGCTGCTGCAGCAGCACCCCGAGCCACAGCTCGTCCCACAGCACCGTGATCCGGCGCAGCTCTGACACCAGCAGCTGCACCTGAACACGCGGGACAAGTGCAGCGGCGGCTTCAACGCAGCGGCCTCAACAACGGCACCCACCGGGCAACTACTGGTCAATGGTAATGAAAAGGACAAGGCAACGATTGCTCGGGAGCACTGTGATGGAGGAAGGGCCTCTCACGAGAACAGGGGTCGGGGCAACCAAAATAACAAGTGCCATTTTTGGGGAATTCAGTAAAAAAAAAAGCCTCAATATTTCAATAGCCGCATTGCAGTCCTGAAACAGCCGCAGCTTGTCAACCCCTGCACTCGAGGAAGCTCGAGGGAGCGCCCTCTAAAGACGGTACTTTGGCCTACTCTTCCACACTGGCATCTTGGAAAAGAAAGCAGTGCCCACACACAACTCCACTGCAAAGTGACCTTCTGATCAACTGTGGTGTACACATTTACACTGCTGGGTGGGGACAGGCTGGAGGGGTGGGGATTTACAAAAACTTGCACCATTGTTTCAACCGCCACACTGGAAGATTGAACTGGTGACCTCCGGATTGCAAAGACCGGTGCGCTAACCATTAAACCATGATAAACATCTAACTCCTACTGGGAGGTAAAATGTATTTGCAGAAGAGGTTAGTCACACAAACTAACAGCGGTTGTAGATACACGGCTAGGGTGTGCGTTCCAGTTTGTCCCACAAGAATTTGGAGCTTCTTTTGTGAGAAAGAAAGCAATTTGTTCAATGGGCTGCGCCTTTGTTTAATCGAGAACACCTCTCCCGCTCCCCAATGTTTGTGTCTGGACATGGTGCTGCACGGAACCTGTGAGACCATGGTGGGGCTGCTGGCCATCAGCTTGTCCACAATCTTGCTGTAGCAGTCTTGCATCATGGCCTGGTCCTGACTGGATGCTCCCACCAGCGGGGGAAGCGCCTCCGTGCCCTCCCCGTCTGCCTGCGAGGGGCAGCTCGCTGCCCCCTCGGGTCCCGAGAGGCCGCCCTCGCGCTCGTTCAGGCTGCCCAGGAGAGACGGCAGCGCCGACATGCGACCGCCCACTGCGAACACACGGGGAGAGAATATTCGTCATTCATTAGCGCGGGGTATGCAAAGACAAAGATCCCTCGCATAGCCTTTAACAGACTGTTGGGGCAAGTACTGTAAGCGAGCACCTATGAAAGGCCGGAACGACACACGAGGAGGTGGGTGGGGAGCAGTAGCTGCGCGACGAACCCGGCGTCCCGAATAAGATTCCCGCTCACGGTAACACCGGCGACAATTATCTGAACCGGTCAAGGGCCTCGCCTAGGTAGACTCAGCCTCAAATGTGTACCTAGTGCGATGTGTAAACATTTCCACTTGGGAGACAAAGGCGGGCAGGCAGAGTATACAGCAGAGGGTGCGACACACTTGTTCGATGATTACTCAAACAAGAAACAAGCAGCATGCACGTGCATGAATTCTGTCATGCTTTCAAAACATGCATTTTTCCTTGAAAGTATTTACCGAATGATGAATATGTTCCCTTTCGAGAGGCGCACCATGACGTGCAACATCGCGATAGGGTGTGACATCAACGCCTCGGCCGAAAAGGCTTATCCATATAATGGTGTTGTTCTGTTTGTTCATAGCCACATTTTAGACAGCCCTTTCATCAATTGGCCATTTTTTATCTTGGGAAAGTCTCACCAAATTTTTAATTTCTATTGGATCTTCATGAGAGTTTATCGTGGGCCCATGTTACAGATGAACACACACACGCACGGATCTAAAGCATCAATAATGAAACCGATGGTTGAATGTCGGCTCGGGGGGGGGGAAGCCTACCCGAGCCAGGCGCGTCACCGGTGAGCGAGACGGAGCCTACGATGGCAGGGTAGAGCACGAGGTGCGGAGAGTCCTGTGCCACGCGGCACAGCAGGTTACAGATGCTCTGCCTCACATACGCCTCGGGGTGGTTGAGCCGCGAGAACAGCTGAGGGATGATGCCTGCAGGGGGTGGGGGGAATGGGGCGGGCAGCACCGAGGGAACCACGACGCATCACAAACTGACACGATCCACAGGACAGAACATGCATACGTTTGCTTATACAGGAAGGAACAACAGTTCCACACTGCCCACCAGGGATTATTTGTCTGTCTGTCGTGCATAGCCACGCTCAGCACCACGTGACGCGCCACCCCATGCAGCTTGCACGTGACATGGATCACACTAATGCGCTGTCCAACCAAGTTCCTACCTGCCCACTCCGAAGGAACGTGTTATTAAGTGAGCATTTTACTGCCCTTTTGAGCACCCCTGCTGCCGAATCAGGCCTTAGCACGCCGCGCGGGTTGTTTATATGACCATATTTTGCCACGCTGGTCAGTGAGGGTTTGTGAAGGCTGCGAGCGGAGATGCACGAGCATAGACTTAGAAAAATTATGGATTTTGCCGACCTGCCCTCGGCTACCCACAACACAGCCCTAAAATGGAGCGAACGTACTTGGCGATAGATCAAACGCTAATTGGCGATGTGTTAAATGCACTTGCAACACCTTCCATGGTAAATTTACGTGTTTTCTTTGCGATTCTATAACAAGCAGTTTAAGACATTCATGGTCAACGCATTCGAGGTCTTAAAACAGGGAGGGGCCGCTCGTCCCGAACTACAGGACCTCGGCAACACGCGGCAAACGCGCAATCACCCAGTCGTGCGACCGGTTGGGCTGGGATGAGCAGTCAGGATATGGGTGGCATTGGACCCGAACGAGAGGCTCACCGCGCCAGGGAGACGTGGGCGTGCTGGCGAGTCCGTGCTCCAGCTCCTCCCGCAGCTCCGCCGCGTGCTTTACCAGCAGCCGCAGCAACCGCAGCGTCGCCATAACGATGAGGTCATCTCCACTCTGCTGTCGGTTGTCCGGAGCGGCCGTAGGTGTCTTGGAAAGATCCTCTCCATTGGCCCCCGCCTGTGTTCCACACGGGCACGCCATTATGTCGTGCAGCGACATTGCCGACGGCACAGGAAAGGTGAGGCGGGCGCCCGCGATGACTAAAGGGGAGAAACTTTATGAAGCGTGACACGAACACTTCTGGTTACGTAAAACTAATCGCCCAGAAAGCATATTGACCGTGGGAGCTCAGCAGGTTTGATCCTGGATAGTGCTTGGATGGGTGACCAACATGCACAGCACGTGTTATAGGCAGCAAGATTACATTGTGGGTAGCAAAGCACAGACCAGAAAATGCTGTTGTTGTACTCATCTTCTATGCGCCCAGGATCATGCATCAGTTTATTTCCGGTCAATAAATGGCAAATGGTCTCGAGACATTTTTGATGACTGTAGAAAGTCTATGTAGCCACTTTTTGAAGCGAGTTTGGCAAATTCCCGCTTTCAGGAGATGGCAACCCTGACGCCAACCCATATGAGATGTGGATCACCGCGGACCTGCCCAGCGTTGAGCCTCAGGAAGATGAAGTAGGCACGGCAGGAGAGCTTGTAGAGGCCGAAGATGCGGCCTGCGACGGCGCGCCACACGGACAGGAGTCCGTCGAGCGCCGGTTCGGGGTCCTCGTCGGCCAGGGCTGGACATGCAGCCAGTAAACGGCGCCGCACGGCCCCCTCGCCCTCCCCTTCCGCGGCGCCCTCCACAGCCTCTGCGCCACCTCCCTCATCACTCTCGGGAGTCTGCACCGAGAGCTCCTCATCCTGTGCAGTGGGGTGGCAGTGGCAGTGAATGCGAAGCCGCCAGCGAGATGTGCGGAGGCAAACCCGCCTTTACGAGGACAGTCTGACACAAAGGTTGATAAAGCCGTTCGTTATCCGAGTGTGGTTTACAAGTTAGCTCACCTGCTGAGCATACCTCGCACTATTGTGGGCATCTCTAGGAGAGATCCTCAGCACGCGGTCTATCACGAAAGATCACACTTGTTTTATAAGGTTCAGGCTTTGGAGCTATGGAGCTCTTTTTCACAGATGTCCAGTAGGGGCGGGTCAGCAAGTTAGAGATTTAAGGAGGGACCAAACAAGTTGGCCAGGGACCACTGCCTTCATGAGCCCAAGCGATGCACAATTACAGTAGAACCTCGGAGATCGAACGCACCAGAACTCGAACAAATCGGTGTTCGAACAATATTTCCGAACATTTTTTGCCCCGGAAACCGAACGAAATTCGGAGGTTGAACGGGCAATCGCGACTTGAAAGAACCTGTACGGCTGAGACGCGTACGGCCAGCGTGCATGAAGCTTGCCCAGACAAAGGTTTTACCACCTCCTCCTCCTTCTCACCACTTTCCACTCAAGCTGTCAACTCTCCTTACAGGTAAAGTGAAGTTCAATGTTCATTTCATTTATTCCATATATGTATTCATTTATTCCATTAATTTATTGTTTCGTGTTTTTTTGTATGATTTTATGCATGTAATTACTGTCAATTTCGTGTAAAATATTTTTATAATGAGAGATTTATTGTGTCTGGAACCAATAAATGTCATTTACATTCATTCTTACGGGGAAAATTAATTCGGTGTTCGAACAAATCGGTGTTCCGATGACCTTCTGGAACGGATTATGTTCGATCTCCGGGGTACCACTGTATAAGACGCATCAACACTGCTGCTGGTGATGGTAATGCGCGTGTGGGACGGTCACCTGCAGGCCGGTGGCCCGGCAGACGGCCTGACCCAGAATGCTGTAGACAAGCGCCCTCTCCTCCTCTGGGATGCACGCCGGCAGCAGCGTCTCCACCTCCGCCTTCTCCGTGCCGAGCAGCGGGATGCTCGCCCCTTGGCTGCAAGACAATCACACAAGCTCACTGTGGTGCACACACTCCGACCAGCACCAACAACCAGGACCAGCTCGTCGATGACAAATACAGATGAAAGACTGCTGCTTGTGGGCTCATGGACCGGGCTGCCTCCATAACAGCTGGGAGAGAAGAGTGTTCACACTTGACTGTGTCGGCACCTGGAGTTGTCGACGACTTTTCGTCCCCAGCGATAGGCCCAGCTGCCCAGGGAGGCCCAGGCTTTAGCCGATTCAGGGGCGCGCATTGCCGTCAGTTGATAGAGCTGCCCCATGATCACGTCCGACTCCCCCACGCCCACGCTCACTGCAAAGAAAACAACCCGATGAAACTCGCCACACTCAAGGTGCAAATTGAACAGCGTTCCGTTTCTCCGGCCACGTCGAGGTGAATTGAGAGTGCCGTCACCTGATGTCTCGGGCGTGAGGCGAGGGCAGGACGGTGCACGGTCTTCTGTGGGCGGTACCGCGCGACTCGCCTCCGCCAGCGCGGAGATGTTGGTGCCGAGCGGGGAGAGCGCTCCGCCAGCCGCCTTTACCAAGACACACGAGAAAACTAAGCTATAACCTATTTTTATTTTACCAGGTAAGGCCAACTGAGCTATACAGCTCTTTTTGAGGAGCGACCTGGCCACAAATGATAGCTCAACGAAGTGGATTATCATCGTGTGGAAATTGATATCAGCCAAATACTCTAAACGCATAATAGTAGGTTTTTACCCTTTTAACTGGTACAAAACTGACACCTTTATTCAAGGCATCATGTTTGCAATGACCACAACACAAGTAGTCAAAAAAGCAAACAAAAAGAAGCAACTCTGATAAGGATGATAATATGCACTGTCCTTGAAGTTGATTGGCCCACACCCGAGACGGCTTTCTTTAGAGCCTAGTCCCCATTGGTGTAGGGCCAGATGACTAGGCTCTAAAGAAAGCCGTCTCGGGTGTGGGCCAATCAACTTCAAGGACAGTGCATATTATCATCCTTATCAGAGTTGCTTCTTTTTGTTTGCTTTTTTGACTACTTGTGTTGTGGTCATTGCAAACATGATGCCTTGAATAAAGGTGTCAGTTTTGTACCAGTTAAAAGGGTAAAAACCTACTATTATATTTTGCCACTGGTAAAAGAGATCTCATAGTGTAAACTCTAAACGCATGTTTCTAAATGTGGAGGGAAAAACTGGAGGAGCCGCAGGCCTGGCTCACTGGCCCGCAGCAGTGAGACAGCGCACAGGGGCTCAGCACTTCCATTGAGTGAGTCGTGCAAACTCCAAATATTGAGGCGTCAGGGTCAAGATCGAACCCACGACCTACCAGGCAAGATAGTTAATATCTCGCCACCGAGAGATTGTGTCACCCTGCCCAGGCATAAGATCCCTCACTTGAAGGGAAGAGCTCACCCGGTAATGTGGAATGCGTGAGAGATCCCACACATGCACGCCACCACCCAAGGTGGCCGGGTGGTTACAAGAAGCCGATGCCGTGTAAAAGTACCGAGTGAGCACTGACAACACCACCGAGTTCAGATCCAGTTAACCCCCGCTCATGCGTAAGCTGGGTTCTTAAGTTTAGCGAGTTCACAGTCTCAGCCCAGACATCAATGACTGCAAACAAAATGTCAAATGAAACGTAGTTAATCACTTTCAGGATTAAAACAGTTTGTTTACTATGTGATGAATATTCTTTGGAGACCATACATACAAAAAAAGGTGTTTCCTTCGAGCAAAAAGAGAGGCCTAATGAAGCAACTTCAATAATTTGTAACTACTTTGTGTTTAGTTTGTTGTCCGTCTTCCGCACCTCCGATCAGCACAGTTGGCTATGTACGGTGAGAAAGAAGTTCACAGTAAATATATACAGGTAGTCCCCGACTTACGATGGAGATGCGTTACGACGACCCCATCGTAAGTCGAAAATATCGCAAGTCGAAGATGGCCTAGCCTACCCAGGAGTCTTAAAGAATGGTGATAATTTTAGCAAAACAGAGCAATTTACAGTACCGTAATGTATAAACTATATGCGTACAGTACATCCCGGCAGCGTCCCAACGTACAGTATCGTACCTCATACGCTGTTGCATTTGCCTGCCGCGCGAAATGTAAAATATCTTACAATTTTGTCATATCGCTATCGCCATCGTAAGATCGATATATCGTTAGTCGGACTATCGTAAGTCGGGGACTACCTGTATAAGGTGGACTGCTTGGCTGCGATAGTTGCAAATACACATTTTAAGCATTTTACAACAATATCATGCCAAGAGCTACGACTTAAATAAAGAAGTTTTTATATATGTTGGTGAGGGCACCTCCAGCTGAGCTCGGAAGACCTGGCGCAGGTGGACCGAGGCCTCCTTCCAGTCGCCGTAGAGCCACTTGGTGAGGGTGAGCAGGGAGCGGGCGCAGGCCTGGCTCGCAGGCCCGGAGCAGTGCGACAGCGCGCACAAGCTCAGCATTTCCATGGCGCGAGTCGTTTGGCCTGCACAGCACACATGCGGAGCCACAGCGAGCACTCAGCGCCTTTCCTTTAAGCAAGTAGACCGAGTTAAAAGCTCTGAAATTATCGCGTCAATCACGAAAAACTAACCGCGAGAGAGCTACGTCATAGGACACACACCCGTGCCAGTGTTGTTAACCTAAGCCATTTGGTCGCTAGATCGAGCAACTTTTGGGTTTCCCAAGCAGCAACATTTTTGTCAAAGCGATATACGACAAAGAGCGATTTTCTATAATGAGAACACAATGCAGAATTAGGACAAATTACCGGAATATATTAAGAATGCTTCCAGTTTATGTGTAACACTTGGTAAATGGTATATTTACACTTTTTATAGCTTTGGGTCTAGCTAGCAACACCTGACAAGTTATTGAGGCTCGTTTGGCGACTTTACGCTTCAAGAAGTTGCCGAAAACTGACCCATGCAGTACAGGAGTTTGGCCTTCTCAATGTCCAGCTCGGCCACCCATTTCTCCATGCCCCCGTGATCCTGCTTCAAAGTGAGCCCAGACAGGAGATCGGCCAGGTCCTGAGTGCCAGCGATGACCTCTCCGGCCACACCAGCATCCTTCCCCGCGGTGTTATTTGACGATCCGGCAGCCTGGGTCAGCAGCCGCGTCGCCAGCGCCACGTTGCCAGCGCTTGCGCGCGAACTTCGCGGCAGTGAGACGCAGCTCCGTGACGTGGAGATCCACCGGGATGGTGGGGCCTGCGGAGCGAGTAGAATAGAACGACGATCATTCTCTCATAGTAATAGGTTTTTACCCTTTCAACTGGTACAAAAACTGACACCTTTATACAAGGCATCATGTTTGCAATAACCACAACACAAGCAGTCAAAATGCAAACAAAAAGAAACAACTCTGATGATGATAATGATATGCACTGTCCTGAGTTGTTTCTTTTTGTTTGCATTTTGACTGCTTGTGTTGTGGTTATTGCAAACATGATGCCTCGTATAAAGGTGTCAGTTTTTGTTCCAGTTGAACGGGTAAAAACCTATTACTATATTTTGCCACTGGTAAAGGAGGTCTCATAGTGATCATTCTCTCCTTACCTACACCCTGGGTACAGAGCAACAGTTACACGTATGAGGGCGACCGCCATGTTTTTAAGAGTTCCGAGTAATTCACCATGAAAATCATCCGGAAAGCACCCAAGCTTCTACATTTCACCCTTCTGTTACTCCATCAACAGCTGCAGGCAGCCCATCACGATGCGACATCATGCCACGGCCGAGCCGTTAGCAGCAGGGACGTGGAGCTCCGTCTGACCTGTGAGTGTGAGGTTGGGCGCCAGCGCCTGCTGAAAGGAAGCGTAACGCAGGGCCTGCAGCCACGGCCGCACGTCCTGCTGCTTGCAGGACTTGCGCACGCGCTCGCTCACAGGCACCAGGCACTCCTGCACAGGCGCACACGGCCACGCGTGGCCACACACCGCAGTTATACCAGGGCTATTGTAAGGACATGTTAACATTCACCATCTGTCATGTAAGTATCGGGCATAGTGTTATAGTGTACAGAGCAACAGTTACACAAGAGCTACAAATTTGGACACAGTGCTGCTATAGTTATCATTCCTACATTACTGACCATTTGTAGATTTAACACTGATAAATGTTGGTTGTCACGAGCAATGAAAATAGGCCCCGATTTAAACTAGTTACAACGCTGCACAAATGAACAGCTGGGTATACAGCCGAGTCAACGAGACGCAATGAAAGTAAAACAGGCTGGTGAAAAGTCAACTGAGCATTGTAAGGTATTCCACATTTTGCGTGTAATGATTTACAGTGGCGAGATGTTAACTACCTCGACTCGTATACAGGACGTGGGTTTTATCCCAACCCTGACACCGGTATATTTGGAGCTTGCATTTATCTGGGTCCTCCAGTTTATCCCTCCACATTTAGAAAATTTGGCTGCTATGCATTTCCACATGATGATGAATCGTCACTTCGTTGAGCTATCATTTTTGGCCAGGTCGCTTCCGAAGAGTCAAATAGCTCAGTGGGCCTTACTTGGTAAAATAAAAAATAATTTATAGTTGAAGAGTATTATTTGTAAAACGTTTCAAAAGGGTAGAAACAAAGTGGACACCCCACCTTGGTGCCCATCTGATTGGCGATGGTGTTCTGCAGGCTGCTTGTGGAGTAGAGCTGCAGCGTGGGGAGCGCCGGCAGCCAGGGGCGCAGGCTCAGCAACGACAGTCGCAGCGGCGTCACCGTGAGCTTGGCCGTCTGCTTCAGGTACTTGGACACTTGCCTGCGGCGGCAGAGACGCGGCAGGGTTTAGGGCGCGGCGTTCCACGGCATGGATCGCGCTCCGCGTGGGCCCACCCTGCGAGTGTCGCGTCGCAGACTCACTCTGTGACAGCCGCGAGGTGGCCCTCCTGCTCTGCACCATCGGACCGCGCGGCACCCACGTAGCACGTGGCCGCACGCATCAGCTGCGTCTCCACCGCCTTGTGCAGCTCCGTCGGGTCCGGACTCAACACGCTCGGCAGCAACTTCTTGAAGTCTGTGCACGCACACGACATTTTTAGGAATTTTTCCTCGATTTTTGTCCACAGTGTGCCGTTTACTACGTGTCAAAGTATTCGTTAGCATCTCTCGTCGTGCGTTAGATATTATCACAGCTGGAATTTAGACCAATTAAGTGCAGAATCACATTGAACCTGTTCTTTTTGCAGTTATTGGTGACCGGGTTGAGACCATCAACTCACTGCACTACAAAACCTGGTTTAACCACGGGCTGCAATCGAGCCCAGGTTCTCAGCGATGCAATCTCTGCACTCTGAGCCACCACACCCCTCAACCCCACACACTGAACTTTTATAGATTTTTCTAAAACTCAATCTGGCACTACCCTGATTTGTACAAATTCAGTGGTGCCATTTTAATGCTTTCATGATGTGTATATGTACGTTGAACTTCTTTCACACCATACGTAGCCAACCGTGTTAATCGGAGGTGCGGGAGAAGGACAACTAATATGCCGTACCCATACTCTTAGGTTTTTTTTTTTCCGGTAAAGTCACGTAGGTAAAAAAAATTAAATTAATAAAAGTAAAATAAAACAAATTAAAAAATTCACGACGTTTCGGAGGCAACACAATTTTTTACCTACGTGACTTTACCGAAAAAAACAAAACCTAAGAGTATGAATCCTTGCAGTCACGAAAGCTTCAAATCTAGAATTGATGCCGTACCCATCTTTTCCTTGACGGTTTTGGGCGTGATGCTCAGTCCTTCTCCGGGCAGAAGATCCAGTTGCTCCCGACATCCGGTGAAGTCCCCGTCTTCAAAACGGCTCAGGGCACTGTGCGGTCCATACACAACCGCAAGTTATAAAATAACTAAAAGCGCGAACCTACGTTTTGTTTACGTGACAAACCTCACTGGCTGTGTCGGGTGGTGGAGTGTTACGACACATTTATACCTACGCGATCTAACCAAAAATCCTTTATTATGAATTGTTACCAATTTTTTCCAATACTTGGGGTTCCACTCCCAAAAGAACGGTCACGATATGCAGAACACGAAATATCCGCTTACGTTCTCAGCTTGGGGACATGATATACGGCAAGTTCTCGCTCAGCACATTTTCACACCATGGCGTTATCGCTATAACACTTTTTTTCTCCATTAGGGAACACTTTGGCACAACCGGGAACACGATGAGCGGTCAATGACCAACTACTTTCTTGAGCTGTGCAGCAAAACAGTGTGGGAATGGTATCCGCGTGAAATTACATAATACGCAGCATACCCTCATCTCAGTCCTTTGTCCCACAATTGGATGAACTGAAGATTGATTATATAAACCAAATGTGATTACATTTTGCATAGTTTTTATTTATGCACCGGAATGTTTGTATCTTAATTCCCTCGCTTAACGCATTTTCGCTTCACACGGCACTTTTCAGGAACGCGTCTACCGCGTTAAACGAGCAATTACCGCATCGGCTATAACAGCAGCATCCATAACCCGGCAAACTGACGCACCCCCTGACCCCCACTCTCGCCAGTTTCCCCAGGCTAAAAAGACGGTGTTGTACCGAATGTAGTTCATGTCCACTTTGAGGGCCAGGGCAGCTGCAGTGCTGGGCTTGAGGGCGGCCGCGCTGGTTTGCCACTCCTGCACGGCTTGCCAGTCGGACAGCGCCACGTAGCACTCTGCCGTCCTGCTCGCCAGGTACCCGACCATCTCCCACGGCGGCTCGCTCGGTTTAGTCAGCACGGTCTTCTTGCCTTCGCCTGAAACGGCAATGCGCATGCCTAGAGCAGCAGCAGCCACACAGTGAAGGCTTAAACAAACGAATTCTCTTTGGCGCTTCGATTACCAAGTTGATAAGTATGCTGCACTTCTTTTGCACCGTACGTATCCAACTGTGCTAATCGGAGGTGCGGGGGAAGGACGACAAACTAAACATAAAAATACGTAGATAGATGAGTAAGCGTAAAAACAGTGAGCTTTATCTTAATATTTGTTTAAATTTAAAGCTTTCGTGACTGCAGGGATTCATATTCTTGGTTCTTTCGAGAAAGTCACGTAGAAGGGAAATAATAAAGTAATAACAAAACCGCCACTTTTTTTCAAATTTTCTTGCTGTGGTTTTCACACCTGATGATGATTGCTTGTGTTGCAATCGAAACGTCGTGAGAATTTTAATGTTTTTTTTATTCCCCTTCTACCTGACTTTACCGAAAGAACCAAGAATATGAATGTTTGTTACTTAACTTGATCTGTTTACATTCCCTATGGCCACCAAGTTTCATGGCCTCTACTGACAAGTCCTGTCAACTCATGATTATCCAGGATAATGTGGGAAGTGGCCCAAACAACAGATAATACACACAAATTTAAATTAGGCGATAACAGTTTTAATTGTTTTCCTATGCAGAATGGGATGAAGATGTCGAATGCGATGTCTCTTGTTATTGTTACTTAAAGTGATCCGTTTACTTACGATCCAACACGTTTGCGGTCACGTGAGCACTGAATCACAAACCCTCGATAAGTGGTGAACAGCTAATAACAGCGCATATGTAATCATAATTTTTTTTTCACAAGCACGGTTAATCCGCAACACGTATAATCCACTCACGCAACATCGAGAGTTAACATACACACGTGTAATATATGCGCGTGTACACGTGTAATGATTGCTACAGCGTTAATTTGTTGGTGCTAGTGCTGAAGTACCATTGGTCATGTGCTTGGGGCTTGTCGTGCTGGTGCTTGGATTCGCCAGCCGCAGCACAGCCTTGTCCAGGCCCCGGATGCTGCAGTCCACCCCGGTGAGCAGGCACACCTGCTCCTGGTAGTCCATCGCTGCCTTCTCAAAGCTGAACGCACAAATTATATAGCGTTGTTCTTACACTCACTCTTCAATTGACAAAATCAGTCTCTCTTGCACAGGTCTGCAAAGTGTTAATGTAATCACACGCCAGGCTTTCTTTGAATTTCCACTTTCATTTACGTTAAACTTATTTCGTACCGTACGTAGCCAACTGTGTTAATCGGAGGTGTGGGGGAAGGACAACCAACTAAACACAAAAAGCTGTTTTATAGAAAATAGTTTTCAAATCTAGATTTAAAAGTGCATAGCTCCAGTAGCTTCCTAATATCGGAAGAGCGTTCCAGATGGCCACAGAAGCGCATCTGAAAGCGCGCGATGCAGTGACCGTCTTTGTTCTATGGCTAGTCAAAAGCCGCTGGCCAGGATTACCGGAGTTTGCGTGATGGTTTATGTTCCTTGACGAGGACAGCAAAGTATCGTTGGTTCATTTGTGGCAAGCACTTTGTGTGTAATGAGTGAGACCTTATAATGTATTAGTCCGGCAACTGGAAGCCAATGCAAGCTCGACGAGCACTCGACGGACAAGGCCGGATCTCTTTGCTGTACCCATTGATATGTTGGTGTTCACCAAATTCTGTTGCCATTTCTTTGAGGTACGAAAGACTGGCCAAACAGCTATGCCAAAACGGCCCCTTCTCAGAGCGATTCGACTCAAAAGGAACCATGGAGTGTAAGTGTCAGGCCCAGCGTGGGGGGTGGTGGCATCCTCACCGGCCCTCTGCATGCAGCGCCACCGTGCCGATCCACTGTAGGTTCTTGGCAGCGAGGCCAGCGCACCACACCGCCATTCCCGTGATAGCGTCAGGGCAACGCAGGTCCCGCAGGGCCTCCACAACCATCATCACCGCCGATTCAAACTCGCCTCCCTGCGAACGTCGCACAACCAGGGCCACGACGATGTACAAACACAGCAGCTCAGCATTAGCGTCACTTGTCACTTACAACCATGACACGAACCCTGTCCTCAACTTAAATATTTGCATCATCACTATCATCTTCAGCCATAATCTATCCACTGCTGGATTAGAGTCTCTCCAAGCCATCGCCAGGCCTCGTGCTCCGGCGGTGCAAGAATCACATGATCCGTTTTCATCGCTCCTTTATCTGCCGCTGTCATTAGTCTGGACCACTCGCCATTATTCCTTTTCAGACATGTCTGGTCCAAGTCCACTTATTTAAAATATTAATATATTTCAGTATTAAAAATAGTTATCTATCTATTCGTTTCCTGTATTGTTTGTTGTAACTTGCTCACCCGCTCCCACACTGAGCATGTGAAAAAAAGCTTCATACATAGCTAATCGCAGAAACATCCAGGAGGGGAAGTTAGTTAACAAATGAGTTTCACTATTATCAAGACTTGCATAGGGAAATCGCTTACCAAGCGCTAACACGTAGCCAACTACGGAGTCGCGTAAAAGTTCCCTCATGCCCCCGGTGTCGCATCACCTGTGTGGTGCCGCCGGCCTTCATCTCAGCCAGCAGGTGGTAGCCATGGCGCACCGTGACGGCCGGCTGTCCCGCCAGCAGCCCCACGCGCATTGCCGCCAGCCGGATCCGCGTCAGCCAGTCCTGGCACGTCTGCCGGTTCGTGAAGAAGAACGTCCGGATGGCCTGCACGCACGCGGCAGAAGTGTCCAACGTGGTGAAATGTGTGGGCCAGCGGAAAGCATGCCTTTCCGTAGAGCTGCAGCTCAAAAGCTTAGAGCAAAAGACCAGATTTGTTGATAAAACTGTATATAAACATGTACACTCCTTTTCTGAAGCCACCGCTTTCCCATGCCGTGTGGGACATGGGGGATATATGACCATACTTCACCGTGCTGGCCAGTGCTCGAAGGTGAAAGTGGGCATCATAGAAGTGGGAGCATAGAGGTAGAGTACCATAACAGATGTGTTCCACTGCTCTCTGCTGCTCACAATGTACCCTCCACAACCAACAGTGCATGGTGGTCGCCCATTGAAGGACTATCTATTCTCAACCCTGCTTATCAACTAAAACCACGATACCAGTGATGTCACAAATCCCAGCCCATCACACACGTGGAGCAATATTTATTTTTCCCCAACCTATTTTCCCGTTGTACAATTAGCGGAGTAATTAGATAACCGGTGTATCGCTCGATTACAGGTTTCTCTGCTGCACACAGAATGCAAGTGTTACCTTAGGCGGGGGCATGAGGGCGGAGGCACAGCCCTCGTAGGCGTTGTACATCAGCTTCTCCAGCGCCTCAAGGTAGTGCAGCAGCAACGTGAGCCGCAGCTGCGAGTTGCTGTGGCCTTCGTCGGCCTCGGCGTGCGTCCACGAGCCGCCCCCGTCGCCCTCGGGGTTCAGAGCCACTCCGGCGAGGCTCCGCACAGCTCCTGCAGCCCCCCACGATTCATCGTTAACAATGTGGGATTACAGAACGTCTAAACGCTACCGCATCACCCAGACGCCGCACATACACAATTACGACGACGATTGTGCTGATCGAAGTGGTAACGGTGGGAATTATAGTATGTACAGTGATACACTGCCTATCTTACAGTCAAGGTGATCAATGACGATTATAGTCGTGGGGTTGATGATAATAGTGATATTGATGGTTATTATGCTGACCAAGGTGTTGGTGAAGGTAGCAATGGTTTCGATTATAAATGTGCTGGATTAATTTCACTGGGACAGTGGGTAATAAATCAAGAAGGGTTATATTATATAGAAGATATATTTTGTAAGTGTTGATAATGTTCAACTTTCCATCTCCAATTAGCACGGTTGGCTACGTGCAGAGAGAAATAAGTTCAACAAACATAGTCGTAACAAACCTAAACACTTAAGTAGACACCCAAAGACTTGCGTGTGTGATGTTGCAAGATGACTCGTCAAGAACTGCGCTATTACGGTATGCGTAATGACGCCATCGCCTTGACTGCAAAGTATAATCCTCTTAGCTGGTTGTTATTGCCACGTTTTGGACAACCCTCTCGTCAATTTCACCGGTTTTGCATAGGGCAATTCCATAACAGCAACACTTTATACTAAATTTTCATTCATGGTGGATCATCTTTACGAGTAATCGTGACTCCACTTTCCTGACAGATGGACAGGGATGGTGCATAAATATGTTCTACCGGAGGTGGAAAGCATTAAAAATATACCAATGGAAAGAAAAAGCCAACTGAGGTCTGCAGTAAATGAAAAGCACACTGAAATACAAGTGTACTATAAGTAATAATCAATATAATTGGGGCAGTAACGTGGCCTAGTAGCAGCCTGTTCACAGCTTGTTGCAGACATTCACGGGTGGAATCCAGCGGCAGCCCTGATTAATACTGTGGGTGTAATAACTACAATAAAAATAATTAGCTTTCTTCACGGTGGATGTTAAAGATAGTCTGAAGTCATTCGAAAGAGAAGGCCATTTGTCTGCTGGCGTCAGGATCCAAATTTGCCAATTCCAAAATTACCCAGAAAATTATCAATTGGCACTATACAAAGCAATCACCACGCCCTACTGGCAGACCAATGCCCCAGGTCACTCTTGCAACAGATGTATGTTGAACTTCTTTCACACCGTACGTCACTAACCGCGCCAATCAGAGGTGCGGGGGGAAGGACAACAAACTAAACGCACAAAAAACATTTCTAAAGAAATACGTTTTCAAGATACTCTCCTGGCCTCTCGAGTTTTCACCTGATTAAACAAAACACTTTTGAAAAACGACAGAAAAAGAATCGGCGATGCGCCACGAGACCACTTGTGGAACGCGCGCTGACCTTCGATGGTCTGGAACGTGTCCTGCGCGCGTCCAAGAGGTGTGCGCAGCTTGGAGAGAACTGTGAACTGCGCTGCCTCCCACACGGCCCACAGCCACAGTGCCGCCTCGCAGCGCAGCAGCCGCTGCTGCTGCGTCACACCGGCACGCACCTCCACCTTGTCCTGCCGCTGGCAGCTGTGATACAACCGCTCGAGCCACGGGTCCTTCCTGGAGCCGACAGTCCACGCGCAAGGGAAAGAAACGTGGAAAAGATTGAGAAACAGTACAAGCTGGATATGAGCACGCAGCTTGAGAGTAAGTTCAGGTGTACAGTAAAACCTTGGATTGTGAGCAGAATTCGTTCCGGAAAGGTGTTTGTTATCCAAAACACTCGTATATCAAAATACTCGTATATCAGTTGTGATCACGTGACGCTCGGCAGACAAAGCGTATACACGTACTACTCATATTGCAAGACCTCGCTCGTTTATCAAATTAATATTTATTTACAAATTTTGCTCGTCTTGTAATACACTCGCAGACCAAGTTATTCACAATCCAAGGTTTTACTGTACTTATATCCCAAGTGTGTGTAATGTAAATAAATGTTGTTCATATAAGAACTGTGCTTAAATCTAGTTTGTACTATACAATTAAACCCATGTTTACAGCACGCTGCAGTCCTCGCTCCCCAGACACATGCACCCACACCAACCTCCACGTCCCTGCGACATATTATTAAAGCCTGGAGGTGAACTGCATCACTTCACATTTCGGGTGAAATAATATCGGTTAAGATTATTGGTTTAATTTTTAAGAGTAATACTCTTAGGTTTTTTCGGTAAAGTCACATATGTGAATCCTTGCAGTCACGAAAGCCTCAAATCTAGAATTTTAAGAGTAAGTTTGGAGGTATGCCGCAAGCCGGATTAAACGTGTCGGCGAGCCGCCTTTGGCCCCGTGGGGCAGCAGCGCGCACAGCCCAGAAGTGGTGGACGTCTACGGCGTTCGTGGCGGGTGACAGGAGGCTTGGTCGCCGTTTCGTACGGACGCACCCGGAGCGGTTGAGCGTGCCGTAGAGGATGAAGGCGAGGATGTCGGAGAAGTCGTGCGGGTGGAAGGTGCCGCTGGCGGGGCGAGCCATGTGTGCGCGCAGCCCGAGGGACACGCTCTGCACCTCACCCTTGCAGCCGCCGTCGTTGATGCTGCGTGCCCAGACAACCCACGGCGCATGCCACGATCCGCTCACAAACCCGTATTTAAAAGTTGCAAAAAGTAAAAATCTTACGGAAAGCATAGTTGTACATTTTATCTGTTAAACATGCTGTTTATGCTCCCAAAGGTTCACTGGCCAAACATAATCTGACTTATGTCATTGTATTACTCATGTCCTCCTCCCGTCATATTCCTTTTGAAGGGTACATTTGAGAATAAGTTAGAACAACTGCTTCTCCGCCGATGACCAAATTAACTGAAATGCACTCGATCTCATCAGATACCAGATGTCATGCAGATCTGTGCCTGGATAGTGGTTGGATGCAGAGGCAGCAGAGGCAACCCAGAAAAATCACTCCTTGTACTGGGCTTTGCTCCAATGTCTAAGCTCCCTGCATTTATATTATTGGTTCTTTCGGTAAAGTCACGTAGAAGGGAAATAATAAAATAAAACATAAGATAAAATTATCACGACGTTTCGATTGCAACACAAGCAATCATCATCAGGTGAAGAACAGGGCTGTCGGAAAGACAGCGTCCTAAATTAGGACGTCCTAAATTTTATCTCATGGTTATTTTTATTATTTTATAATTTCCCTTCTACGTGACTTTACCGAAAGAACCAAGAATATTAATCCATGCAGTCACGAAAGCTTCAAATCGAAATCTCCCTGCATTTGCCAACCCACACTGACCAGCACAGTGAAGTATGGCCAAACAACCCCCTCGACCTGCATAGGAAGGCCCCCGTCCAGTAGTAGACGGGGGAAAGGGCTGAACATACACAAATTCTCCACTGAGCGATAGACCTGATGATCGGGAATCGCCATCCCTGGATTTTTATCTCAGGATTGATCGTAGACACCCCCCCTTTTCTCACCAAAGCACGATGTCGACGGGGAGAGCTTTGAGAAGTTTCCCAAAGGCCTGCTTGACACGGCCGGCTGTGTGGAAGAGCTGCACCTGGCAAACCCCGGCACACCTGCAGGTGGGAGTCGCCCAACAAGGAGAAGGTAGCAGCAACCAACAGCGCATTAACCACATGCCAAGCGGCACCCTCATCAGTGAGTGGAATTACAATAACCTATTTTGCACAGGTGACAAAACAAGTGTGTCAAGATGTCGTTTTTATAATTTTGCCCCATTTCATCCCGATGATGCAATCGGTGCCAAGTCACAAAACAAATACAGAAAAACCTTGGATTGCGAGCATAATTCGTTCCGGAAACGTGCTTGTAATCCAAAACACTCGTATATCAAAGCACTCGTATATCAGTCGTGATCACGTGACGCTCGGCAGACAAAGCGTATACACGTACTACTCGTATTGCAAGACCTCGCTCGTTTATCAAATTAATATTTAATACAAAATTTTGCTCGTCTTGCAAAACAAGTTACTCGCAATCCAAGGTTTTACTGTAATCAACCTGGAACTCTCACAGAGAAGTGACCGCTTTCAAGTTCGAGAATGGCCCCATTGGAGGCAGATACCAGGGAACAATTTTTGAGATCTCTTAAGCAGCCTCAGTTTGATATGTTAGGGAAGGGGGGCACAACTAGTTTCCACTACCAATACCACAGAAGGTATGTTTCTTGGAAACGAGAGTTAAACCTTAGTATTTAATTCTCAAAGCTGCAATTAGTCCTGCATAACCACATTTAATGCGATGGATTTTTATTTCATTCATGAACGGGCTGAGAACGCCCTACACTTCAAACATCGGGTTTAAGCTACAGGTTGGCCGAAACCTAGATTCAATCATAGGATGTCAGCAACGCCAGCTCTGTGGCCCTTTACATCTAACACCACCCAGCCACCTCCGTGTTCAAATGTCCCCAATTCTCACCGTTGCATTTCGTCATGGGGAAGAGATGAGGCGAGGATCTGGAGGCTGCTGCAGCTCTGCAAGCAAAACGATGGCTCCTCGTGCATCGCTGTCAAAAAAATAAAAATAAATGCTCTTCATACAAAGGACACAATTATTCAGGCATGCTGCTTCACTTTACATGCACGAATACAAGTTGTCATGAACCCACTGAGGCACTTACCAGTGACTAGAAGTCCTTTGACAAAAGTGTGGAAAGCCGAACAGGAGAACAAGGGGCTGTAAGTATCGGACTTTTTCATGAGCACTGCAATCTCCTGGGCCCAGGTCAACAGCATCTGCCTGCACAACACGAGAATAAAAGATAATTGAGGCGGTGAATGCACAGACACACCATACACCTCCTGAAACAATACAACAAAAACTGTATTCGCATGGATTCTATGACACTTCCCAATGCGAGTTTTTCCTCAAAATGATTTAATTGGCAGAAACGTAACCTCAAGAGCAGCACATTTAACGCGGCCATGGTAAAGCGTGTAACATCATGGCCATGGCCAAAAGGGATTATCCATTATCGCAAGATTTTATCACCAAGTTTTCGGCAGCCCTTCGATCCAAATAGAAACACATTACATTCAAATGTTATTTATATTGGAGCACCTTACCGTGAATGGCCAAACCCCACCCCCCCCCCGCTAGACAGACAAACAGAGCTGATGCATTAACGCTTTCAACCTGAGTTGGAAAGCGTTAAAAACCAAACGCACTCCCCAACGGTGCCCGCGAGTTCAGGAGGAAGCAACGTGTCGCGGCTCGCTCGCATGTGGACCTGCTGTCGGGGGCCAGCTTGTCGCTGCACAGCAGGGACCCCAGCAGGTTGATGATGGTGCTGAAGTGCCTCTTCGTTGCCATGGTCACCGTGCTGATGACGGCGCCGTCAAAGAGAGACGGCGACAGTGAGCTGAGGCTGCTCGAGATGAAGTGCTCGTGGCTGAAAACAAAGACAAAGATTCTCGGTATAGGCTTCACAAATATGTGGGACAAGTATTGTTAGTAAGCAGCTATCAGGGCCGGCACAGCACACGAGGGGTAGGTGGCCAACACCTTGCCCGGCTGCCTTTGTGTCCCCAATGCTGATATTTACACACCATATCAGGTACTAATTTAAGGCTGAGTCGACCTAGGGGAGGCCCAGCACCGGTTCAAATATTGGTCGTGAATGGGAATCGAACTCGGGTCACCGAGTCCGTAGCATAGTGCGCTAACCACTACACAACCGCTTCGCCCAGAAACACACGCACAAGCATTACCGCTTTACAAACAGGACCCTGCGGGGTGGGCTGGTAGGAATAATACTTAGTACCGGTACAGAGATATCGACCAGGTATAGAGGAGTTAAATAAAAAATTACTGTATTCTAGTGTAACGTTAATTAAAAGTGTTTGTTTTGACAAGAAACGCTGTGAGATTTAAAGACTCGTAGTCTTTCATTTCCAACACCACCCTCAACACCACCCCTCTCACGGACGGACGGACGGACGGACGGACACATTAATCTATTTGGTGGTCTGGTCCACTTCGTTCCTACCAGTATAACAAGCCACTGTATTGACAAATAATGACAGACCGTGTATCAACTGGGCAAGCAATGTCAAAGAATGGACCAAGAAATGGAAACAAATCAGGGATGGAAACGTAAAACAGAAAAAACAACTCGAGATGCAGCAACATACCGAGGAAATGAGAGCAGGAAAAGATTTAGCCCCAAGGTTGTGAAGACCAAGGGGTAGATAGAAACAGAAAATATATATCCATGTGTTGAATGCATTTTCTGAGTGTGCCGTGCCTTCAAGACGCTACAGTTTGTGTGCGGTGGGTTTCTCCAATTAACACACACAGAGGGCGGTCAACACGCAGGCATGCAGTTAACACACACAAGATTGGCAGGGTGAGAAGCAGGGAGAACTCACCGGGTGCAGTGGGAGTACAGTGTGTAGAGTACAGCGTACTGCACCGCGGGGAAGTGCAGCGCGATGTTCAAATGCACGACCGTCAGGTTCTCGCTCAGCAGCGCAAACACGGTCGGAGACAGTGCCCACATCTGAAAAAATACGCAAGACATGACCGAGGTGAGCACACCAATCTGCCGCTTTGCACTTACCAGTTCAGTTGTGCACAAAGGTGTTTTGCTTAATTTGCAATTATATTCCAACAGTACCATTGGTGTCGCAATACAAAGATATTCTTTCCGAAACCTCACAGGGTATGCCCACGAACAGTGTTCATTGCACACTGACCAAACCAAAATGTTCTAATTTTCAGATATGGAACACGCACAATCAATAATCTCAAGACCCTAGTCCCCTGAAGCTATCCCCACCACATCGACCCCTCATTCTTTAACTTCGTTAACCGATTCCACGAGTAGAGTCTGAACAGTAGAAGCGCACTCACTGGTGACAATCTCGATAAAAAGCGAACGGGTCACGCAGGCGGCAATAGGACTCACGCCAATGATGGAATTTTTGGCGTTGCCGATGGTGGTGAGAGCACACAGGTTGAAGACCAGCGCTGCCTCCGCCATGTCGGCACTGAGCACAGTGCCAGCGAACGAGGGGTGGAGGAGGTCGACGCAAACAGAGTCAGTGTCTTCCGCCCCGAGTGACGCCAGCAGGCTCTTGACGGCGCACGCCACCTCGCCCAGGATCAGCCGGTAGGCGCTCTCCAGCACCGGGATGTTCTTGAGGCCAAGCACGGATTGGTATACGGAGAGGGCTGCCTTCACCACCTGGCAGCGACAGCAGCGGGATCAGCAATAAAGCGACACGACTCCTTGTACTCTTTCTGACCCTCAAGGGATATCATTCTTGAACAAATTATCGCTATTTTTCGTTGGAAATAAATTCAACATTCATTTTTTTTACATTCTAGTGAATATAGCACCTCTACAGGCTGTATGGTTCACATGAACCCGTAATATAAACTAATTGAAAATAAACAATTCTTACACGCACAATTTAATAATGTATTACGAGCGTAAGAATATATTAATAACTGTATAGTTACATTGTTCAACAAGACAATAAGTACACAGTAATTAAGACTTGTGTACCACTGCCTTCTTGCAGGTATAAATGGCAAAACAAATAAATGTTTTCAAGCAAATTTTAATACACCTTCTTATCAGCATTATAAAACAAAAGGCAGATGAGTATGTGGCACAAAATGTATCCTACTATACTATTTGTTGGTTTTGCTCAAGTCATTTTTGGTGACGCAGATCACTCTTGCAAAATGAGACTATCCTGATCTCTGGAGTTCTCGCCTAGTAAAACAACATAGAATTGAAAGTTGAACTTCAACACTGTCCTCCGAGTGTTTCCCAAGCAAGTCGTGTGTTTTGAACACAACACTCCCAAGTGATTCCCAAGCAAGTGTGTGTGCTAGCAGTTTCAAGTCTCATCCGTGAATGTAGCAGCGCTGCTGTTAACGTTACCTGGTTGTCTCTGTGCAGTCGTAGCTTAAGCAGATTTGAGTCACGAGAAAACAGCTTCTCCACAAACGAAGAGGGAAGCTTACTACCAAACTGTTCCACGATCTACACAGGAAAACAGAGAAATAGCATTGGGATTCATGCTCGGTGAATATATTAGACTTTACCCATGATGAATGGTAATCTACTACACTTAAAGTTGACGTCAGAATGTTGTACATATTCATGAAACATTCTGACATTACAAGACATTCAAGCGGAATAAAAAGACAACAGTGCTCTTGTGAACTAGCATTACTGGAAAAAAAAATCGCAAACACTGCATGAACATATATCAACATAAATAAAAATACATTTCCTGCAATGAAATATAGCTTGGATAGATTACTTTTAAAAACCTCTTCCGAGTAAAATTAAGTAGAAGAAACATTAAAATGGAATGAGGGTGACTATTGCAAGTGAAGCTTATCATACAGCATCGACAGTTTAGCATCAAATTGCGATTAAGACAGAAGAGTAAGAGATTATCGATAACAAAGAAAAAAAATAACACGAGCGATGACGCTCCTGCCGCTGTGTGGCATGGGAGGGGGGTGGGCTTTCTCTCTCACTAGGGCTATGAGGTTGAGGATGGACACGGTGTATCCGATAGCGTAGGTGTCAGGCTGCTCCAGCTGGCTCAGGCCGAACTCCACGGGGCCCTCCACCGTGCACGCGAGCTCGGGTTCCAGGCTGCCGAGCAGCACGCACACGCACTCGTTCCCCGCCGTCATCACCGCCTCCGAGAAGTAGGCCTGCTTTGCCACGCTCACGCATATCACCACGCGCTGCAGGATCTGCAGCGTGGCCAAGGGTGGGGAGAGGGGGCAAGGAAAACGGAAACCGCTCGTTAAACGGTGAAAACACCGACTTGAAAAATCGCAAAGACCTCAGGTTGCCTGGATTTGAATCCAGGAAGCCGAAAATGACTAAATAGAGTTCTTCACCGCACCGCACAAAGAAATTATATTAATATGGTCAAGCAGTTAAGTTGCCTAAATGCCAGCACTGATCATTAAAAACATTGGTTTGACTGCCATGCAACGAACATTATTTTCAGTGGCAGAGCTGGGAGAAAATGTTGTGTGGACCAGAGGTTACTTAGGGATCTCAGAGGTCGCTCTGTAATATCCGCTTCTGTGGGCTGTTCTCCGACAAATGGTTGCACAGCTCTGAGAGAAATCCGAATGGATTGTCTCATTACACGACGACACCACAACTGGGATAACAGGAATTTTAAATATGAAAAGACAGTTATAAACACCAAAGCAAAGAAATTCTCACTGTTGACGCACCTCTGTGACGTAGGCCTCTGTGATGGGAGGGCCCTTGATGGGGTTGAATCGCTCCCCAATGCTGCGCACCACTGTGCTAAACACTCGGAGCAGCGCTGCCAGTTTAGGCAGTGACACGGACGGCGGAGGAACCTCCTCGTCCATCGAGTCCCCGCTCACAACATGCCTCAAATCCTGACACCAGAATACATTTCTAAAATTAGTACGCCACATTGAAGCAATGCATCACTCTATTATTAATTATCAATGCGCGTAAATAAGTGGCCTGCCACAGGAGAAAGTGATTCGTATTAATTATATGAACACCTTATTAATAATGTATATTCTTGCGTATGGCAATGTTCCATTATTAATCATGTACAGCCCTTTGCCAATGCACTGCTGGATGAAGGCCTACTTACACAATGTGGGGGTTATTTGGCCATACTTCACTATGCTAGAAAGTGCAGGTAGGTGAACGGGTGTACCCAGAACAGGTTCAAACATAATTTGCCCACTAATGTTCGCCGTGGTCGTTGATCGAACTCAGGTCGCCAGTTTTGCATCTTGTTGACATGACAAAGGGGTGCTCCAAACAGCAGGAAGGCACCAACCACTCCCACCGTGCCATTCATGCATATGAAGTGACCACCACATTACACGAACAATGATCTCAGCCTTGTCTAAGCCACCAGCCTGGAAGCTGAATAATGTGGTCATTAATTCTACGTGTTTACAGCCTGCACATATCTGCCTGTTGCGATGGGTTTTCTCATCATTTATAGAAAATGTTAAACTTGGACTCTAGTGAACAGCAGTCAGTGTGAACAATAAACCAACGTTACGAATGCCGCCACCACCCAAGACTTTTGATCTTCTACCTCTGCATAGGCCTCCATGTCCTCGAGGAATTGCCCAAGGAGGGTGATGGAGAAGGCGAGGTCGGCCACCCAGAACTGTTCCAGACACTGCAGCCAGCCTGGCAGCACAACACAGACATTAGCCACACACACACACGGTGGTCACGAAGCACTTAATTTAAACATAGCAACCTCTTGTTTCAGAGACACATCGTCTACATGTGCTGCCCTTTTATCAATCCACTGTTGGATGAGGGACTCCCTACGCCGCGTGGGTCGTGGGGGTTTTTTGACCATACTTCACCACGCTAGTCACTGCAGGTTGAAGGCGAGAAGGAGCATAGGTGTGGGAGTATAGAATGACAGTACAACAATGGATTTTAATGCACTTCATTGCCTGCCATATAGCCACACTGCCCTATGACAACTTATCAGTGCACGATGGCCACCCGCCCAAGCACAATGTGGACTTAGCCGTGCTTTTAATAAAAGATCTGATTTGATCACATTCTGGATGATTTGGTCATAGGTTTAATGAAAACCAAAACTAAACAAATCGAAGATACAAATTGATAAAATAACATGCTTAATAGATTAGTCTTAAAGTAACTCTTACCAGAAACCTTCTGTGTGAGGCTGCTGGTCTGCGTGTGGTCTATGTGCCATCCCACCAAAATATCCACCGTGTCCTAAAAGTGCGGCAGAGGGAAGCGAAAAACAACAAAACAGGTGAGGACCAACACCATGCTGGGTTGACTATGATGATGCATATTCAGGTCATCCAAGGACGTGGTTTGATGATCGGAACGATCAGACGGAACGGCGTTCAAGACGGCGGGGGCTGCTATTGAGTGACGGTCCTGGTTCATGGTATGCCATGGAGAGCTCTACCCTGAGTTGTAGTGTAGGGTAACAGGATTGAAGAAATATACAATAGATGACCGAAAGAAGAGGTGTGGTGGTACAGGTAGGTAACCTTGTATGTGACACCGCTTGTGACTGGAAGCCAGTGGAGGGAAAAGAGGGAGGTGAAGGCATCTAGCTGAGGATAATGGAGGGGGTGCTGAATAATTGATTGTGTATTCATCTTGAAGGCACAGGGGATAAGAGAACTCACCCTGAAATTAGTGCTGAAGACGTGCGGGTAGCTGCGTGCTAGCAGGAGGATGCAATGCACGCAGTGGCAGAGCAAATCAGGGGGGTCCACATTCTCCAGGATGGACTGTAAGCTGCTCATTACAGACTGAAATCACAAATCACACAAGGTATAATACCAAGGGAAATGCTTTTGATGCAACTGTTATAAATATTTATACACATTTCAAAACAAATATACAAGGTATAAAGATGAAAATTCGGTGAACTTACACTATTAATAAAATGTTAAATAGAAATCACACGGATATGTACTGGAAATAAATAACTTCATAAATGTCGACCAATGCTTCGATAACCTAGTTTCCTTTGCGATAGAAAACATGCTATTAAAACAGGAAATGAACTTATATTTAAATGGCTATTAACTCGTGTGTAAAGTGACGTTGTCGAATCAATATTTTAAATACAATGAGGCTATATGCCACCAATGTAGGGGAAAGGACACTGACCGGCATGACGCTGGTGAAAGTCTTGCTGTCGCCGGCAGCCTCCAGGCCCCGGTGCACAGCGCACAGGTACAGCATTTTCACATCGTCTTTGCTGGACAAGTCAAACTTGCCAAAGATCCATGTAAAGACCTTCTCAGCATCGTAGCCCAGGGTGCAGCAGAGCAGCCCTAGGCAGGCAGCAGCTTCTTGGCGCAGTTCCAGCAGCAGTTTACTGCTGCAAGGGTCAAGGGGAAATATTTGGACTCCTCAGCACCTGGCCAGCTACTGATGATCAAAGGTCATTAAATTGTGACAAAGTGACTTGAGCTCCAGTACATACCTCTCATTAACGACATCCTCAAGGACTGCCAAAACATTGTCGAGCTGTTTAAAAAGAACCTGAAATAAAACAGACAATTAATCATGTAAACCAGGGAGGTATTTGTTGGCTTTACGAATGGCACTTCATTGAGATTGAGCCACTTCAACACACAGACGGGTTTATGACTACTCTTAGGTTTTTTCGGTAAAGTCACGTAGGTAAAAGTAAATAATAAAAGTAAATAATAAAAATAATAGAAATAATAATAGAAATAAAATAATAAATCACGTTTCGGGTGCAACACAAGCGTCCGTCAACAGGTGGGACAACCACAGCAAGAAACAATTGCTGAAGTGAGTTGCTGTTGTTCCACCTGATGACGGACGCTTGTGTTGCGTCCGAAACGTCGTGATTTATTATTTTATTTCTATCATTATTTCTATTATTTTTATTATTTATTACTTATTTTGACCTACGTGACTTTACCGAAAAAACCTAAGAGTATGAATCCTTGCAGTCACGAAAGCTTCAAATCTAGGGTTTAATGACTCACCAGCCTATTGTCTGGCTGCTGGATGAATTCTCTCAGCTGCCGGGCTGTGTTGAGACGACGTTCCCTGTCATCTTCCCGAGACACTCTCCGCAGGAGATGAGACAATCGAGAGTCCTCAGAGTAGGACTGACGCTCTGAGGCCACGCAGTAGAAGAAGCACAAATTAATTCATGGCATGGAGGGGCCCACGTATCTTCTATACTGCACTCTCACAACAGTTTATTTCCCTTGTACAACCGAATCAGATGCAAAACAACCCAACCCTGAATATATTCTTACTATAATAAAACATTAACATGCAACCGAGTGCATCTATTCTAATAAAACATTAAGGGAGTGTTAGCAGTTATACAAAAACAGGTGATGCTTGTTTTTTAAGTAGACAGTGTATATATAATTACAGACCCTGAACATTCTGTAACATGGAATTTCTGATAATTATTATAATATAATGATATTATAATATAGGAACCGGATGATCAGTCTGTCGAGTGTTGCACAAAAAGTTGGAGCCCACTGGTGCGCGGACCACACCGTGATGTCAGAGGCCGGTCCATCTCACCTAGTGGTTTCCTCATTTCTTTGGAAGCAGAGGCACGGTTGCCATGCTGTACGGTTGTGGATCCCTCGGCGTTCACATCCACACCCCTCAGCTCTTGCCTCGCCGCCCTCCTCTGGTAGGAGCTCTCTCCTGGGCCCCCATTAACCTCATACCTCCCTCCTGTCCAGCACGTTAAACACAGGATGCATAAACCACGCAGAAAACACGTGAAATTTCTTCAGAGCACTTAGAAGAGCTTGTGTTTGCAGAAAAGAAGTGTCCACCTTTGCTAGGTGGGAAAACATTTAATTACTTCCTGTTGCAATTTGGTGGAAACGTCTTCTCCACCACAAACCCCAAGTCACATTTTGGTGAATGTTCCTTAAGCCCAATTTTTGAAGGAGAAAAAAAACATGCAGACACCTTCATCACGAATGGGAAGGAAAAATAAAAAATGCCAGCTATATATTACGGTAATTTCATAAATAACTTAAACATGTTTTGTCCACTATATATGATCTCACTATACATCATTGAACAAAGAGTTCAAGAAAAGCATACGAGTCACAACAGGGTGGCGTTAGGAATCCCCTCTACCCCAATGAGTTCGATGGCGTGATTGCAGACAGATTTTAAAATTGGGGCACACCTGATTTAGAATTATGCGTTTAGTGTATTTGGCCGCTATAAAGTTCCACATAAGCCACTTCGTTGAACTATCATTCGTGGCCAGGTCGCTCCTCAAAAAGTGCTATTATAGCTCAGTATGCCTTACCTGGTAAAAAAATTAAAACATTTTATAGTTGTTTTATAGTTTTATGAGGGGAGTAAATAGTTACGTGACTGTATAGGGGACCCCAAGTCCAGGGGATCTCCAAAAAATGCACGATCATTTGGGAAGTAAATGAGACACCAGTATTTCCTGAAATTGGTTTTAAAATGTATTATTGCAACTAATGAAACAAGCCAAGTATAAACCGAGAACAAATGTACGTGATTTATAGTGAATACAAGACTGATTGATCCAATATAAATACAGTGACTGGGAACAGATGGGGGCCCGAAGCCCACATTATAAACGAGGGAGCCCAAATTAAGAATTAGGGTCCCAAAGATTTCAAAGGACCATGGATAGGGATAATAAGTAATATTAAAAAAAACTTTTTTTAAAACACGCTTTAATGAAATGTACCCTACTAGTAATGGAAGAATTCCACGACTCCAGGAAGTGGCCCCAAAGCTTGCCATAACGTAAGGAACCGTGGTGATTTACAGCCAACGTCAGTTGAGCGTGGACAATTAGACCCAAGCCGAAACAAAACATATAAAAAAATGCTTTAAAATATGTTTATATTTTTTTATGATAGAATATAGTATTGTCATCAGTATGACATAAGTATACCAAGTTTGCAGTCGATACCATGTTGGGAAGTGGGAAAAATTGAGTTACAAGATTTGAGGATACAACAACGACAACAGACAGAGTGAGTTAAATAAAAGTGTGTAGAAAGGGTCTTCCTGTCCACCCTGTACAACACAGGAACATCTTGGCCCCATCGCTTGAGAGGCAGCGATGGGTAGAGCGCTGTGTGGCTGAAATGTCACCTCTGTCGTGACTGCGCGACTCAAAGTGGCCTCGGCCGGACTCATGCTTCTTCCACGCCTGGTGGGATTCGCCAGAGAATTGTGGCGTAGAAGTTCCACTGCTTCCTCGCTCCCTGTCCCTGTCCACAGACAACGATTATGGTTGTAATGTAGTCCTTCACACACTCGAAAAGTGCCGTTAATTTTACCGCAAGACAAGTATCAACTCGAACACTGCACCATTCATAGGACATAGCATATGGTGTCATCATAATACGGTGCCATGCAACACAAACTATGGACCATATTAGTAAACCACAAAAGTCTGCGCTCCTTCATACAGAGGAATACAAAATATACGAACTCTCTCCTAAAGCCATCTCGTGGCAAACAGCCCTCGACATTGATATTTAGTTTAGCTCCTGAACATATTGCCGACATCGGCAAGAAGAGTATACAAACATCATATACGCAAACCTTTCACCCCATAGGGGTTTACCAGTACAGTATTCTTGTACAGGGAAATAAATGTTTCAGGTCCATACGGCGTACAGCCGTTTGAATACGGGCAAAAAGAATGTATGTCTATTTGTTTGTGTTTCTACACTTGTGATGGGACTTTGTAGGACGAACGCTGAGATGTATAAGGGCGCGGGGTGACTAATAAGGTCCGAATTGGTCTGTAATAAGTTAGGCGCTGGTAAGGGGGTGACATGTATGTATACGAAGAAAATTGTGGTGGCGCAAGGCTGTGATCCTCTACTTTGAAAGCAAGGGTTGATGGATCACAAATTATATTTGAAATTCCCAACCGCATTTGGATTGCAGTGGCCAGGAGATGGAAGTACACCAAGTGGGTTCATGAATCCGTGTGTCCAGACGCTGACGGATTATCCTCTCGCATGATATCCCAACGTGGCAGGACCCTCTTGGAAGAACAAAATGTTGTGTTTTTTTAGCTACTGCGCTAATAAGAAGCCGGCAAACTCGAGTTCGATTCTCGGTCACGGCAAAGATACATGACGAGTGAGAAATCCTCTCCCTTCACAAACCCCCACTGAACAAAGTGGAGTTAAGTAATGAGCAATCAACAACCCCTTACCACCGACACGGCGTGGGGGGGGGGAGAAGAGACCTTAATTCAGCATTGTAATCACAAAGGCCGTACATTATTATGAGTTCACAGCGTCATTACTCGCACACGTTATTTTTTTAAACGTTAAAAGATAAAAGCAATCAATGCCTCGTTAACGTGAGCCCGATCTCCACTGCGGTTCGTGCGCCAAGTCCCGCCAACAGCCCTTAGTCGCACATCGCTAATTGCACGGAGTTCTCTCACACTAAAATACCAGAATACTTTACCGATGACAAGAAGTATTTTATTTAATTAAAAAAAGAACAGCACCGCCCTCTACAGAAGCCACAAAATACGACTCGAAAAAGCGCCGAGAGGGTTAGGCCCAGAACCACGGCCTCGCCTAGCCGCGTAACCGAGCAAGCTCGGTCGAGCACGGCAGGCGAGGTCGAGGCTTCGGCCTCGCTCGCGTTGCGTCTCGGGGGTGGAGGTCTGTGGGAAGATGGGGAAACGTGGAACAACGAAGCGTCCAACACTCACCTGGGCTCCCACTCATTCCAGCGCTGCGGCTGCTGTCGCTTGCTGCCGCGAATGCTCGCAGCTCTGTTGCTCATTACCCGCGCACACGCATGTCCCGCGGGGCGCGACAACAGAGGAGCGGCCTCCTCCTCCTCCTCCACCGGTTCCTCTCCCCCTCCCGTCCCTATCTTCGTTCTCCACCACCTCTACCACCTCCTTCTCGTTTCACTTCGTTACGGGCGATGCCACTGGTAAGTTTGAAGATGAAACCCGCGGTAACCGCACCCTTCTCCTCGTCTCTTTTATCGTCTTCTGCTTGTCCTCGTCCTCGTCTCCGCTGGACTTAGAACCGCCGATAACAACGTCGTGGTTCCGCCCGTGATGGAGGATCTGTGATGTCGTGTTGGTGGTGGTTGACGATGATGGTGGTTGGTGGGTGGGTGGTGGTGGTGATGTTGCTGATGACGATGTTGATTATGATGTCGCGTCACTGCGATGTCTGCCCCCCCACCCACCTACTGTGCCGTGTTTGTCCGAAGCGATGGTCGAGCGCCTCCCCGGGTTCAATGAGGGGAGAGCAGCAGCGGGCAGCTTCACACGTGGGGGATGTGGGGGGGGCATGCCGTGTCAACGCACGTGGTTTGTGACCCCAGTATTCTTTCTAGATTTGAAGCTTTCGTGACTGCAAGGGTCCCATACTCTTTGGTTTTTTCGGTAGTCACGTAGGTAAAAAAGAAAGAAAAAAAGAAAAGAAAAATAATTGTATTTTTATTTCTTAAGAAAATAAAAAATAAAATAATTTTTTTTTTAAAGAAAATAAAGACATTTATTCTTTTTAGCTTTTAAGAAAATAAAAAAACATTTATTTGTATTTTATTTTTTACCTACGTGACTTTACCGAAACCCCCAAAGAGTATGGACCCCGTATTCTTGTTTGTGTCCCAGTATTCTTGTTTGTGTTTCTCCCTTGTGATGAGACTTGATGAACGTTGAGATTAATAATACGGGCACGGGGTGACCAACACGCTCTGAATTTGTATGTGATAAGATAGGTACTGATAAGGGGTTGACAGGAATGTAGTGTATAGTGTACCGTAGCATCAACCCATACGCTTTTTTGTACAGGTAAATTTAGTTTTAAGGGCCATACAGCGTACAGCCGTTTCGATACGGCAAAATAAAAAAAAATGTTGGTCTCTTTGTTTGTGTTTCTCCCTTGTGATGAGACTTTATGGGATGAACGTTGATATTAATAAGGGCACGGGGTGACCAACATGCTCTGAATTGGTATGTAATAAGATAGGTACTGATAAGGAGTTGATAGGAATGTAGTGTATAGTGTAGTATATAGTTACATACCTGTCAACCCATACGCTCTACCCTTTATTCTTGTACAGGGACATTTCGTTTTCAGGTCCATACGGCGTGCAGCCGTTTCGATACGGCAATATAAAAATATGTTTGTCGATTTCTTTGTGTTTCTCCACTTGCGATGGGACTTTGTGGGATGAACTTTGAGATTAATAAGGGCACGAGGTGACCAATAAGGTCTGAATTGATCTGTAGTAATAAGGTAGGGCACTGATAAGGGGTTAACAGCTATGCGTTGGTGTCAATCCACTCCTATACAATGTAGGAGGTTGTTTGACCATACTTCACCACGCTGGTCAATGCGGGTTGGTGAAGGTGGGTGGGAGGGTGGGCGCATAGATGTACAGGACAACACAACGGGTTGTGTTGTATTGTTCGCAACATATGTTCAACTATTAAACTAAACTATTTTAAATTTCACAAAGTAGGGCCCACTGATCTATGTAGCTCTGGTTCAGAAGCGACCTGGCCACAAATGATAGCTCAACTGCAGCGACTATCATCACCACGTGGAAATTTATAGCAGCCAAATACTCTAAACGCATGATGTTGATTTTAAATGTGGAGGGAAAACCCGGAGGACCCGGAGAAAAATCCACGCGACCACGGGGAGAGAAACACGCAAATTCCAAATATACAGCAGGCGTCAGAGTCAGGATCGAGCCCACGACTTCCTGTATACCAGGCGAAGTAGTTAACATTTTACCACTGCGGATTATGAGCAGCCCCACCAACCACACTGGTCAATGCGGGTTGGTGGTGGGTGAAGGGGCTCATAGATGAACAGGACAACACAACGGATTGTGTGACACTGCTTGCAACGGCGGTCGCCAATTCAACCACAATTCAGGCTAAAAACCCTGCCTGGCTTGAACTCTGAGATCCACCGGTTTCGTGATTTGGCCAACGTAAACCTTTCAACACCTTATCAGTTGCCTTATTACAGACCAAATCGGACCTTATTGGTCACCCCGTGCCCTTATACATCTCAACGTTCATCCTACAAAGTCCCATCACAAGGGAGAAACACAGACACATTTTTTACTGGTAGGAACCACCTGGTTCCACCAGCCCACAGGGGATTATTGTGTCCGTCCGTCGTGCATCAAAACATGGGAGGAGTGGGGCTGGGTGGAGAGGGGAGGGTGGGGAGGGGCTGGGTGGGGAGGGTGAGGTGGGGCTGGGTGGGGAGGGACTGGTCACCCCGTGGTGCCCTTATAAAACTCAACGTATAACCTACTCACGCCGGCTTGTGCCCGCCCTCACGGTCGGGAATATTTGCGGAATACACCACGCCGCCGTTGACCCTGCAGGCCATTGACCGAGCAACCCAACGTTCCTACCAGCTCCCTCCGCAGGAATGTGTTTGTTCCTGGAAATTCCGGGGCCCGGCACACCGCATCCAGTATACTTTCGCGCTCTGGCTAAGGCCACTCCTGGTCACGTACCACCTACTACTTTAGTCTTTTTAACAGCGACTCTGAAAATATTAAGTGAGAAATTAAGCCCCCCAAATTAAGGAATTATAGCTTTAGTAAAGGCATGTTTCATCAAACTATAACGTGGCTTTAAACCGTAATAGATGCGTGGCATGTCCAATCACTTCTATTTTAAACCAACTTGAGTGTCGTATCGCGCAGGTGTGTGGCTGAACATAACCCTCATAAAAATACCTTTGGTGTCAACCACGCATTAACTGACACGCATCACCATCAGCTCTGTCGCTGCAAGACGAGACCGAGCTAAAACGAGAAACACCGCTGCCACGTGTCCGATGAGTGCGGCTAAGCAGATTACAGAGCGACGGATATCATTTGTGGGCCAGTTTTCGAAGTGATCGACCGGATTCAATTAAGTCGTGGGCCGGATGAAGTGAAGTTGAGGGCTGTTTGTTCATAAACCATTATTACGTATAGACTCTGAACAATGGATAAAGGACCTGCACAATCCGGCTTGTGGATAACTGACGCAGGCTTGTTTTGCACCAGCACTGTTCATTGTCTGCGCGACACATTAACCCCCGTTTCATTGATCATTGACTGCGGACGGCAAGAGCAGTACGCGCCACTAAAATTGTTTACATCAAAGGCGCTATTTGTGAAATAAATTATGGATGTGTGTGGATTCTCGAGTCTGGACACGTTCATCAGAAATGTTCCCCTTTGCAGTGCCCTATGACCCCCGATCACCGGCACTCAAAATGTGTAATTACTTACACGGGCTACGTGGCATAACACACACGCCTGATTGCTCTTACTATGGTTGTATGTTGAACTTCTTTGGATACTGTTACCATGAGCTTCCCTCGTCGATTCTTCCACCCATAATGAAGACTCAAAGTCAACTCAGACAATAATGGCGAGATGTTAACTACCTCGCCTGGTATACAGGAGGCCGTGGGTTCGATCCAGACCCTGACACCTGTTGTATATTTTGAGGTTTTTTTTGCCCCCAAGTGTTTTATTATTCAGGTCCACACATGATATGAAAGGGCTGTATATTTTAAGTTTGCATGCTCTCCCCATGGTAGCATGGATTGTTCTGCGGGTTCTCCGATTTTTCCCTCTACATTTAGAAACGTGCTTTTAGAGTATTTTGATGTGATACATTTCCACGTGAATAGCCACTTCGTTGAGCTATCATTTGTGGCCAGGGTCGCTTCTGAAAATAAGCTAAATAGCTCAGTGGGCCTTGGTAAAATTAAAAGTTTGTTGAGTTTGATTGAATGTTAACCATACCATATTCAACCAAACACTTCCGGTCTAACCGATTCTCCGTTTCCCTCGCACTGGTCAATTGGGAATCCTCCCATCGTTTCTTTCCCCCAAGTTCTTATAACCTTGCAAAATTTAAATATACATTTAGAGATTATAACTTTCATACGGTAGTGTTGTTTGTTGCTGGCCACGTGGCATTTTGGGCCTTTGTACAACCGTGAGTTTAACCTTGGCTACATATTCTTAGGTGTTTTCGGTAAAGTCATGTAGGTAAATAATTAATATAAGTAAAATTAAAATAAAATCACGTTTCGGAGGCAACACAAGCTTCCGTCTTCAGGTGGAACCGTCACAGCACGTTTTCTTTTTTTTTTTACTTGATACAGCAAGCGTGCTGTGACGGTTCCACCTGAAGACAGAAGCTTGTGTTGCCTCTGAAACGTCGTGATTTTTATTTTATTTACTTTTATTAATTTTAATTTTTTACCTACGTGACTTTACCGAAAAAACCTAAGAATATGAATCCTTGCAGTCACGACAGCTTCAAATCTAGAATTTAACCTTGGCTGTTGGTTTATTAGTTAACCTGGGGCTGTAAGATGGTGGGTGTCCACCGCGCCAGTTTTCATTAAATTCATGTTGATTAGCATCGAACAGATATTTATTGCGTCAGAAGAGGACTAAATTAAATATATCTCTTATGCAAAGTAGACCTGTGGAAACACAAGGTGCAGACTAATGTTAAGGACTTAATTTTTGCTTTCGGCCACGTAATGAATTGACCAAATGCATCACCAAATCCTCCAACTCGAAACTGAAAAATGCAATTGTCACATGTACACATCCAATTATGCATCATATTGGCAATGAAAACCTAAGTGTTATTATACTACTGTGGAGGGTTTCCATAAATTAGTTTTAATTCTGTACAAATCTATACATTCCACGCAGTTTATACATACTGCATATCACATTGCTTATCTTGATCTTGAATGCAATTGATCATTTACACGTAATGGGGTAACTAAAATACACTTACTTTAATTTAGAAATGAAACATATACATCATGAAATTCACTTTGAATGAGTACAGCACTTAAAATTGAAGGTTCTTAATTTGCGCATTAAACTGTCAATCTGATTTCATCACATGACAGTCCTCATTTATATTTTCTGGCAGTAATATAATCCACCATGGGATATGAGAAATAAACTCTTACTGGAGCCTTTCACAAGTTGTACATTTTTTTTACATGTTTACAGAGTTCTGCTGGCTCTGCTGGAAGCCTGTGAAGTGGTTCATGACCACGTTACGGTGTGTGCTCTAGTGTGTGCTAAGGTCGATTCGGTGTGCTTGCGGTGCGAGTCCAACAGTCCGCCTCATGCTAGTTATTCAGGAAGAAAATCCGATCGTAAACAACCCTGCAAAAGAGAAATGAACACAGGTGATAGCAAGCAAACCATTACAATGAAATGCACAAAGTGTGAGATTGCGACTGTCCTCTGGAAGGCAGTTGGCTGATGTGAGGAGCTGAATATTTCTTCTTGGTGGAGGTTTTGTCAAATTGGATGTGACGAGGGGGTGTTGGCTTGTGATGGATGGTTGGTTGGATGCTATGCTCGGATTGTGGGCTGAAACGACTGGCCGGAAATTTGCAGTCTTGTTTCTCGATATTCCAAGGACATTCACCAACACCTTCTTTCGTACCATTATCCGTGTCCCACATGTTTGTTTGCATGTCTCATTTTTCTGCCTTCGACCGTGTGCTTTGTGTTGTCCTATTGGCGCTGTTCTTTAATGTCTGTCTTCCTTTCTGTATATATTTCCTTTTATTCGCCCAGTGAAATTGTATTTCTAGGATGAGTACGGAAAGTGCTTGTAAAATACTGTTTGGACATCAGCTTAAAATAAATGTAAATCCTAATTGAAAACAGTGAATACCATGGGAGTACAATTTTTTTTTAACTGAATACCAACTTTGAATAACTATAATACATAATTCATGTTTTATAAGTCATTGTTGAAGAGACATGGCCATTTATTACACTTAAATCACTTTTTATTCTACCAGGTAAAGCCCACTGAGCTATTAGTTATTTTTCAGAAGCGACCTGGCCACAAATGATAACTCAACGAAATGGCTTATTTGGACATGTATATCAGACAAATACTCTAAAACTCATGTTTCTAAATGTGAAGGGAAAAATCAGAGGACCTGGAGAAAAATCCATGCGACCATGGGGAGAACATGCAAACTCCAAATATACAGCAGGCGTCAGGGTCGGGATCGAATCCACATCCTCCTACATACCAGGTGATGTAGTTAACATGTCGCCACTGCGATGGTGCTTCATGGAAGCTCTTACCCAGCTCTCTTGCATCCTTGACGGCCCAGATCAGGCCGTAGTGCTGCAGCAGTTGCTGCAGCAACTCTCCCTCATCCAGAAACTCAATTTTCTCCATCCTGTCCAAAAATTCCAGACGCAAAGCAGTGTTCACTATTTCATAAATCTTGGCTGTACAAATGAGGTTTACCTAGTATATTGCCATTACTCGCATCTGATATTTAACATTGCAAATCTACCAAATAGGTAATGAATATTCTCTGGGTCTTTCGGTAAAGCCACGTAGATAGAAAAAATAAATATCACGACGTTTCGTCATCAGGTGATGACGATTGCTTGTGTTGCGATCGAAACGTCGTGATTTTTTTTTTTCTATCTACGTGGCTTTACCGAAAGACCCAAAGAATATGGATTCCTGCAGTCACAAAAACTTTAAGTGAAGGTAATGCATACTTTAAATAGTCTGTCCAGGTGAAAATATATATAAATGATAATATGCAAGCCATCTGTATGGTAATCCCAGGCTGACCTATTACTATATCACTGGGATGTGCTTGATCTCATCAGAACTTTGAATCTAAACAGTTGAATCTGGATAGTGCTTATGTGGGCAAACACCATGCATAGCATCGGGATTTGTATACTGCTGTGGGGCTACATTGTCAACAGAGGGCAGTGCAGCAAAATACATTGTCATACTGTACCATGCTCCTGCATCTATGCCCCCTGCCTTTCCCAACCTACGATGACCAGCGCAGTGATGTGCGGTCAAACAACCTCCGCAACCCGCACAATACGGGGAATGCCCTCATCCAGCAGCGAGTTAACGGCGGCGTTTTACAATTAAAATGCCGTGCCAGTGATTAGGTCTCAGTGGTTGTGTAACGGCCGTGAAGCTGAGCTACCTTCTCCTGTCGGTGTGTGGTAGGCAGTTGTAGACCGTCATCATGTTCAGGGCATCTGCCTTCTCCCAGCCGTTGTCAGAAAACCGCGCCATCTGCACCGAAACACCAGTTTACATGCGGAAACCCTCAGTCGCCAGTGTCTTCAAACGTAGACAAACCACATGTCATTGGATGCACTGCAGCATGGGCTGAAACTGCCAAGTCAAATGTCGCAATGTGCAATTGTCAGGTGGTTGCCATATGGAAGCACATACTGAAGGCAATAGAACTTGTGTGCAACTGAAGCTTGGGTTTTCAGTTCCCTCTATAAAACAATCCCCGACTTTAGAAAATATGCACTTAGGAACGAACCGCCTTAAGATATATATTTTTGTTTTAACCATCCGACTTGCGAAAGTTCGCTCGTGCTTGAGAACCGAATCGTGTGTGGAGCAGTAGTGTGCTACGAACCCGGCAACCCGAGTTCAATTACCGCTCACGACCAATAACAGTGACGATTACATGAAAGAGTCTTGGGCCTCGCCTAGGTCGACTCAGCTTCAAATGAGGACTTGGTGCGGTGTGTAAACATTGCCACTTGAGAGACAAAGGCGTCTGGGTGTGGTGCTGGCCGTCCACCCCCTCGTGTGTCGTGCCGGCCTTTATAGGCATTCGTTAACCACACTTGCCCCAACGGTCTGTTAAAGGTATACGGGGGACCGTTGTCATTGTTGTGCGTCTGTGTGTGCGTGTGTGGTGTGTGCGTGGGTACGCGCGCGTGCCCCCGTGTGTGTGTGCAATTGTGGAAACTCATTAGGCCCCTTCTGACAAGAAAACTAGCATCAGGACTCGAGGTAAGTGAAAATAAAACGTGTTTTTTTCATTTTATGCTACTTTTTTATTTTATTTACTATATAATATTACAGTATTCCATGCAAATGTTCAATATTTATTCTTATTTATGAGTCTAACAATGCGTCAATTTTTTGTAGAACAATAACATATTTTTTGTACAGTATGTACACTACATACAATTAAATAATGAGTTCTAGAGGTACGAACAAATCGACTTGCGAACGGGTCTCAGGAACGGAACCCGTTCGTATGTTGGGGGCTGCCTGTACAGAAAAGGACTTACCATAATAAAAATGAAGAAGTATTATGCAAACTAGGCAAGAAAACAAATGCAGGACAATCGTCAACATCGGGAAGTGTTTATTTGTTCTAAAGATTTAAATCTCACTTGCTAAGCAGAAAAGGCAGGTTTGACCAGAGTTTCCCTTACAAGACAAACTTGCAGAGGCATTTTACATCATCCTCTGCAGACAACCTGACAGATACGCCGAACGTGAAAGGCACATCTCAAAGACAGCAAAATGTGTTGGGTTTTGTACTTGCCTGCGTCTGTAGACTCCGGCAGGCAGTCACGCCAGCCAGAGAACACTGCCTGTGCTGCAGGTTCTCAATCATCACCTGCCCAAACCGGTCCTCCATGTTCACCTGCCATAACACACGTACCATCATCATCCGCCATGATCAACCTCAGCTGGATGAATGCCTCACCAGGCCCTCACCATCTCTCACAGTCCGGAAATGTAACAAAGCAATAAGTACGTATGGGCTCAGATTTGTCCACCGCAATATGGATCTTAAGGTTGCAGGGTAATTTCACTCATGATTAGAAATTACATTCATTTTCTTCAATTAAAGAAATTAGTCACGAGGCCTAAAATCATCCAGAATGAGCCTGATCCCATAAGATCTCAGGAGCCAAAGCGGAAGGGGGGGGGGGTTAAGCCTGGATAGTGCTTTGAAGGGTGACCACCATACACAAGCATGTGTTATAGTCCGTAGGCTATGTGGTAGACCGCAGTGAGCAGTGCAGGAAAATTCACTGATGTACTTGACTCGATGCTCCCATGTCCATGCTACCTGCCTTCAACCCTCACCAGTGCACCAGGGTGGCTAAGTATGATCAAATAGCCCCCACAACCCACACAGTGCGGAGAGGCCCTCATCCAGCAGGGGACTGACATGAGTTTTCCAAGGGTGTCTTATCAGTGGACTTCATATATTGTTGTGAAGCATGGTGGAGGATAAGCTGCTTCTTCTTCTGTATTGCATGGGGGGGAGAAGGCGAAAGCAACAGTTTTTATAGATGTCATCGCTGAATGTTAAGCTCCTTCAACCAATCCAAAGCGACAGTAAGCGCTGTATGGATTGCAGCGATACCGTCAGGGTGTGCGCGGTGACGTGATTATGATGGTTTGGGTTTTGCTACAGTCAAGATAGGCGATTCTTTGATTTAACATCCATGGAGAATAATGATCTCATGCAACAGCTGACATCCAATCACTGGTGGAAGCAGCTCCATCTGGCATCAACAACCAACTTGCCCGCTCGCTACTCTGCGCAAACCACACCCTGGGTGGTTCTCACCTCCCAACAAATTTCCTCAACTGCCCCTGATGATACATCTATCTCGGGTTGGTGTGAGCAACGTTGACTTGTGAACATGACTTAACGGACACATTTAGAGCGAGGTCTTTAAAAACACGTCAGTATTTTATGACAAGAGGGCTCGTCTGAAAAATACCAGCCATTTATTTTTCATACAAGTACGAGTTATGTAAATTCTTGGCCACGGTGTAGACAGAGCACAAACAACTGATAAGGTTTTGCTTATTCTGATAAGGTACAGTGTGGGGTATTTTACATGCATCTGCAAATTCACATTTTATACAAATACTCGTGTATTTGAAAAAGTTTTGCGTTGTTCTCGGTAAACAATACCGTTTACTTTGAAAGTCGGTACTATAACGAATGTTATTTGTATTCATATTTTATTTTGTAAAGTTTTAATGTAATACATGGCAATTATATTTTATTGCTAATGTTTTTGGTACATTTAGTTTTCCTTGGCCCTATTTTGGACGGTCTTTGAAAATTACCCTTTAAATTCTGGATCGCATCATGCTGTTAGGTACAACATTGTCTTGTATTTATATATTGCATTTCACCGTGTATGTATTTACTGTGACATCCAAGGTAGGACAACAATTTGCACTAGAATATGACTTTCCATTAAATGTTTTTCTTCTCCAAAATATGAAGAAGTATCCATTCTGATCTGTCAAAGAAGAGTGTGACCCTTCGTGTGAAGAGAATGGCCCACGGAAGCAGACACGAGAGAGTTACATTTGAGATCCCTTCAAGTGACCTCGTCCTGCGATGGAGAGCGACGTTCGGTGCATGATCATCAAACGTATATCTGTAATTCTCCGCGCTGGAATTTAGCCAGTGTGACCTTCCTAAAGGCATTGCTCATTCAGTGAGACATTATCAGGGTGACAGGGTGGCGCAGTGGTAACACCTTTGCTTCAAAGCAAAAAGGACCTGGGCTTGATTCCCAACTCGGGCACCATTCTGTTTAGAGTTTGTATATTTTCCCTCGGTCCTGCATGGGTATTCTCCGCATTCTCCAGTTTCCTCCCATAGCAAAAAAAAACCATACAATGTGTAGAGGAGTAAAATGGGGACGTGACGTCAGGTGTGCCGTTCAGTGCGATGACGTCAAGTCTCCTAGGGTACTTAAGGGAGACCCCGTGACGAAAGCGAGGTCACTGTGGGAACGGGTAGAGTAGGAAGGGTGGAGAGGGAACCAGGGGTAGAGAGGGATCGAGTAGTGAGTCTGGGGGGGAAACCGGTGGTAGCCGATAGAGGTGCTCTCTCTCCGGTCGGTAGGAGTCGGCAGAGTCCCCGATCCGACACGAGAGAGAGAGACCGGAGCTAGCCGAACAGGGACCAGGACTCAGTGTAGGACCCCTAGCCCCTGGGAGTTATGTACCCTTGTGTGTTATTGTTCACCTTTAGTAAACCCTTGGCGAAAGCCCATAACTTACCTCCGTCTCCGAGTGCGTCCGTGAGAACTCCTCAACAAATGTACCTAATATTGACCAAATATCCAATTGCTGAAAAATGCACTGAATTTGGATTATTGAATTGGATGAACAATTGCAGAGGAAGGGATATTCTGGAGGTGACGTCCACGTGTTCCATTGATCCACCCTGACCCGAGTCTCCCAGAATAGAGTTTCCTCTTCACAAACCAACCAGGTTGGTCAATCCTGCACGGATGTCTCTGATTCCTTGGCATAGCGCCAAGATATTGTAAACAGTGCTCTTCATTGCAAGGCTCGTGGGCCATTGGAGGCCCCTGGTGGCCTTTAGTGCGGCCCCTGACGTTCGGCCCCCGACACTACGCAACTTCTGAAAAACACCCCATAGTGTTGTCAAACCCAATAGTTTCAAATGTGTGGAGGCTCTCACACTGATGCCTTATTGGTGAGGAACACTGACGTACAATGTAACTGTAGGTATTGATGGCCAAACATTGAAATGCTGAAAGATTACCTGGAAATTACTCACTGGGGATCATACATAGCAGCAACGTCATCCCCTACTGTAAAAAAAACTTGGCAGGACACTACTGAAAACGAATCTGAAGACTAAGTGAGGCTTTCCTGGGTAAAAAGGCATAATTAATTTGCAGTGAAGCTACAGAAGCTTTTCGATTTAAAGCTTTCATGACTGCAGGGATTCATATTATTGGCTCTTTCGGTAAAGTTACGTAGAAGGGAAATAATACAAATTCAACAATTATTTTATCATTATTATTATTAAAACAAGCGTTTATTTTTATTATTTTATTATTTCCCTTATACATGACTTTACCGAAAGAACCAATAATACAGAAGCTTTGTCAAAATCACTGCGCAATGCCCGTGGCTAGAGGCGTGAGCTGGAATCGCACACCTGCTCGTAGTTAATGAAGAGGGCAGTGGGGAAGGTGTCCGCTGCCCAGCGCACGAGGCGAGACGAGTGCTCCAGCGTCATGTACACCAGCACGCACTCGGCCACCAGCACCGTAGGGAGCCTGGCCCGGGTACATGCGCACGGACACGTGCGAGCTGACACGCTTGGGGAGTGCGCATGTGTATGTTGTGGGTAGTGCAGTGGTTAGTGCACCAAGCTATGAACCCGGTGACCCAGGTTTGATGGATGCCACTCACAGCGAATAACGGTGGAGAATATTTGAACTGGTCCTGGGCTTGCCGTAGGTGGACTCACCCTTGAATTAGTACCCGGCGCAGTGTGTAAACAACAGCACTGGGAGGCAAAGGAGGCCAAGCGTAATGTTCCACACCCACCCCCTTGTGTGCAGTACCGACCTTCATGGGTGCTCGCTAACAGCACTTGCCCCGACAGTCTACTAAAGGCTATACAGAGGATCTCTGATGCGGCAGCAGAGAGCAGTGCAGCAAACACCATTGTTGTAATGTATTATGTTCAGGACTTAATTTACCACTGAATATTTTCTTGGTTGCTGATAGACTAGAGATGGTATGGGACTAGCAGCCACAGTCATGTAAACAGAGATATAAAACGATGTGGTGATATTGAAAGGTGCAGAAACATTTCCAACAACAGGGGTCCGTCAACCAAAACAACAATAATTATTTTAGAATTTGGGAAGAAAAAAAACATTTCAAGAACCGAAATGCATGTGAACACGAGACGGTCCTTAATAAACAACGTCACGAAACAGCTCTTAATGAGCCACATGCATCTCCGGAGCCGCAGGTTGCTGACCCCTCCCCATGGTAAACCGGACTTCCATGGTCAGGGGTCGGCAGCCAAAATAACAAGAGCCATTTTTTTCCCCAAATTTCAAGAGCTGCACTACAATCCTTAATGAGCCGCATGCAACCCCTGGCCTAAACAATATCGGCTGAAATGAAGCCCCGACTACGCACCCACGTCTACGCTCCCCGCCTTCACGAACTCACACTGACTATTACTATCGTGGTGATGTGCGGCAAAAATAAACTCCACAACCCTCATGGCGCGGGGGAGGTTCTCATGCAGCAGTGGCCTGATCAAAGGGGCTTTACATGTAACACGTGTGTGCACACGTGTGTGCACAACAGCAGCAGTGTGGGCACGCTTTGTTGGTGCTGTACGTTTGCGCTCACTGTGGGTCGAGCCCAGCGTCTCGCAGCTTCTGCTGCACGGTGGCCAGGTCCCGGAGATCCACTCCCAGGATCGCAAAACGATCCGAGTTCAGATTGGCGCCATCTGCAATAAAGGATGAACTACGGTTTTAAAATCGACAAACAGTTGTCAAATCACAAACGACAAGTGAGCATAATGTCCATAATTCAGATGGATTTTTTTTTTTTACTGAAATAATTGAATCTTTTTTCTTTCTAAAACACTTAAAATTCAGTTAGAAATAAAGTAATATTCTTACCCAGGGCCAAGCTGTCAGAGGAATGCGTCTCCAATACAGCTTTGGACAGTGGTGCTTTTGTCCTGAAATCAGTCCAACAAGAAACAAGCGCAAGCATCTGAACACAACGCCACAAGGCTTCTTCCTTCATTTGGAGCCATCATGATTAAGTCGTACAAGCTAACTTTCGATTAGCTGCATCTATGTAAAGCTTACGCATTTAAAAATGCTCATATATTAAGGACAGTACCAGTCTTCAAGTTTCATTCAGACCACAGCAGAGAATACTTTCACTCCAGAACCGTGTTAGCATATTGTCAAAAGCAGTTAACAAACACCATTTTGCCGCGTGGTGGACAGCAGAGGGCAGTGTATGTATGTATGTTGAACTTATTTCACACCGTTCATCGGCAAGCGTGCCAATTGGAGGTGCGGAGGAAGGACAACAAACTCAACACAAAAAGCATTTCAGCAAGATCCACTGTTGTACCGTGCTACGCTCTCACGTCTGTGCTCCTCACCTTGCACCAACTCGAACTGAACAGTGTGGTGAAACATTGTCAAATAACCCCCACGACGACTTGCACGGCATGGGGAGGCTCTTGCCCAGCTACGGACTGGCAAAAGGCTGCGCATGTACATTGCCACCTCCTATAAGAAAGCATTGTTAGCCTTTTACAATGACAGCTGTTCTGTGACAATGCCAGTTCACAGTCTGTTCGATTCTGCCGTGCCCCCACCCCATCTTTTCCCACCCCTTGTGTGTTTATACTAAGAAAAGTTTAGCCAACCCTATGAAATCCCAACAATCAGCTCTGTAAATAAGAATGCACACGGACCTGTAACACTGGACCGTATGTTTATTTTTAGGAATGTGCCATGCAGTCGGAAATGTAAACAAAGAAAATATTTAAGAATAAATATTTTCGATTGTCATCATCATTGTCGTGCCTGGGACACACCATGTAGTCGTACATCAGTGTGCTTGGCTACACAGACACAGCGGGACTTGGATCTCAAGGTTGGGATTGGCACCACGTGTGCCCTGCTGCTTTCAGACATTTCCTCTCGATCCTAGAAGCTTCCAGGAAAAAAATTAAATAACTCTTTGAAGTAAATTTATAAGACAACTACGGCCTTTGTTCTCCAAACACTGAGAAACGACGTTTGAAGATGAGCTTTGCAATTTTTGACGATCCAAAAAGCCAGTAACACATGGCTCAGTCTGATAGTAACAGGCACCTGGATGCATCCATCTATTATTTCCTAAAGAGCTCAAATATTCTAAGTTCAACCGCTTGTGCAGCCGTATCGCTAGTCGCCCTCTCGTGGTCACAACTGAAGGGAAATCTGGCCAATACACCACAGCTCGTCTTGAAAAGTGAAGCTTCTTTTCCATCGCACGTGACACCAAGCTTAACATGCTTGTCATCTTCATCATTGAAATGCTGTTTCACGTTTGTAAAGCACATTATAACAGAGGCAAGATCAGGACACGTGAATGAGTATTTGTTCGTCGGTTTAAAATTGTTCCACTCAAACTAAAATGCGTTAAAAAAAAAGTTCGTTTCCTTCCATACATGCATAGACACTGGAAAAAGAGTTTGGCAATGTTCCAAGCCAGGCATTCCCATAACCGCAGTTCTAACGCCTGGCACATGGCCACAGTAAATGCATTTTCAGACAGGGATGGTGACAAGGGCAGCTGCCGAAATTCCCAAGACAAAAGTCACGTGATTTACTGTAGCGTAGGAGTTGGAGCATACAAAACATTAGAGTACCGTGAAGGTATATTTGTTTCCGTTGTCATTGAGATCAAATTCGTAACTCATCGCTCGGTGGGGCCCGAACATATTTTTGCCATGGTTCTCATTCTGTCGCCAGCATTACTGCGCTGTTCAATCTCCATCATTTTCCTTCTATATCTTTTACGACTTCATCTATCCATGAGATTTTTTTCCCATCTTCCCCTACTTCTATTTCCTACCACAAGTATAACTGTGCACAAAGTCTCATTTACAACTTCCAAATGGCCTACATGGTCGAGTTTCATAACACTAGCAATTATAGAGACAAGACAGAATGGTTCCACCCAGGCTTAGAACTCTCTGCCAGTGGAACAGCTCGCTCTTGATTGGATTTAGGCACAGGGAGACACATCAGATGCAGAACACGAGCAGAGTAAATGCATACGCTTCACTAACGTTGCTCTACTGGCCGATGCGGAGTCACAATGCATTGTTCTTAAGTTTTCCATGCAGGGGGTTGGGACAGCTGCACTTATATTTTGAAATGCTCTGGAGGGTGATTAAAGTGGTTTCCTTTTGCTTACATAATGACCTGTAGGTCCGTTAGACAATATTCTATGTAACTGAGCTATTAATGAGGGGATGCAAGCTATACGTAAGCTTTCTACTATATTTAAAGCATGCCTCTTTTTTTCTACTAAATACACGACTAAATACACAGACAGTGGACCTTAAACAACATCATTGATGTTTTACATCTTAAGAAGAAGGGTCGCCCAAAACGTCACCTTATATACTTTTGCTATTCAGGCAGTGCTACTGATGAATGTGTTGACCCGCCTCTACTGGACATGTGTGAAAAAGAGCTTCATAGCTCATCAGATTCTTCCAGTCTAAATAAAAATTCTGATGAAGATTGTGAACCTTAAGCAACGATGTGGATGTGACTGCCTTCTGTGACCCTCACTCAACAACAAGTTAAATAAAACCCTTGAAAAACTTACAAACTGGACGCTTTGAAAAGCGGTCACAAAGTGTTCTGAGACGTTTTGGTAAAAAAAAATTAGCGCATTATGACCATTAAGTTGCTTATTGCTGCTTATGATTTTCGGAACATGGCCGTGGTGTCCTAAAAGTGTCCGTCAGTGCTCCACGAAAATCCTTCAGTCTCACGTGGGTAGATCTGCGCGCCAATGGCGAGCAGGGCATTATTTGCGTTGGCCAAGTTTGAGCACCCCCCTCCCTGGGAATGACTCCGGCTGAAACGCAGTGGAAAAACACGGGGAGGCGAGTGCCCAAAACGGGGAAAACATGCGGTAGCCGTGGAGATTGTTTACGTGCACCGCCACAGTGCGCGCCACACTCACGCAGCAGCCGACTGCCGTTCATCGGAAAAACCTTAGGAAACGTGCAGTCATCAAAGGGCTCACATGTTTGCTGGCTTGGATAATTTTCAAGGAGACACGTGTTTACTTTGTGAAACCGTATGTCTAAACAATATAAGTTACCTGGCCACCACACGGCCGGGATAATAAGGCGATTAAGTCGACTAATTGACTATAAATTGCCATCGACTACTTCTTATGTGGTTAATTACTCAGGCCCTCTTTTTAAAATAGTGGTTCACCCCACCAACCGGCCTCAGGAAGGTGGGAAACCCCCGCCTAGCCACACCCAGCATGATGCAGACAGTAATGCTTATTACATCACAAAGTTTCCGCCCAGCACCTCCAATCCAGTGACACACATGGGAACAGAGGTGAGACATTTTCGTGTTTCGTGTTTCCCAATTATAGTTGAATAATCGATCCTATAATTTGTAGAGCAACCGATTACGGCTATAATTGCATAGCCCATCTCTATTCATGACAAAGTTGAGCCAAGACAAATACATTTATTGTACAACTTAGATGGTAAATTATAGACAACCCGTTAACGCTACTTGCTCGGTTTCAGCTTCACGCTCGGTCGCAAAGGTGTTTGCACACACAGCAGCGCGCACTGCGTATTATGCGCTCACTTGATGATGTGTATTTTCCTGGACGTGATTGCAGGGAAGTCGAGCTCAAAATATTTCCTCGGCAGAAGGTTAGCGTCCTGTGAAAATAAACATGACTTTAGCATGAGAAGGCACAAATCAACTCACAAAAAACATTCTTTACACTGTACTGCACCGTTTAAATATTACTCTAGAACAAAGCAGTGTTTATACAAGCTTCAGTGATTGTACATTATCCCCCCTGTCTGCACAACATTAAACTACAGGCTACATTGCCAGGTCTATTCTATTAAATAAGTCAACCCCAAACACAAGATATTAAACAAAGCTTCACATTGTACAAGCATAAATGTACAACCTTTCTGTTCATTCACAGCTGGATGAGGGCCTCCGGATGCTGTATCAATTGTGGGGTTATCACCACGTTAATTATTGTGAGTTGATGAAGGTGGGAAGCATAGACATGAGGGCACAGAAGAACAATGGATATATCTGCACTCCACTTTGGTGCCCACAATGTAGCCCTGCAACCTATGACACCTGTTAGAGATGGCGGCCACCCACACAAAAAACTATCAGGCTATATCCTGCTTAGTTTCCGAGATCTGATGGGATCAGGCACATTCTGTGTGATATGATCACAGGTATGTGACGTTTAATTGGAGTGAATCTAAAACACAAACTCCTGAACAAGGAAACTATATGTCCAGCAAATGACCTCAAAGATGCCCTTGGAGCGACACACACCTTCAGCCTCCAAAACGTTGTGTCTAATCCAGCACCGATGCCAATCACCTGGCACTGGCACTCTGTCTTCTTCATGAAGCTCTCAAGTAGTCCCCACACGCCATGCACCCTGGCGTAATAACCTGCCAACACCAGTAAGGAAAACATTCCTTCCACTGTGTTACAAGTTCCAACATCCAGTTAGCAACGCATGAATGAGCAAAAGCAAGACGATGTTCAACACAAGACGAATAAACACAAGGCCCTATGAAACACAAACCCAAGACACAACAAGACCATGGTTTAACAGCAGACTACGAAATAGAAAATACAATATCCTAACCCTAAAACCAAGAATATAGCAAACACAAAGCACCTATCAAACACAAGACCAAGAAGCAGCAAACACAAGACCAAGAAATAGCAAACACAAGACCATGTCCAAAAAGGCACACAATAGAACAGAAGTTGGATAAAAGCACACCCTTCAGAGGGAGGCCATGTGTGCTTTACCCGAAGTAGTGCTTGTATCAGAAGCTGCCCTTCCATTCCCCCCCCCACCAGTGTAATGTAAGCACGTGTTGATTATTTCAGAACTGTGTTTATACAAGGCATAATCATATCCAACTTCTAACTGTAATATAAAGTGGACATTTTACCTCTATTGATTTCAGGAGCCTTCCTTTCCGACTTCTGCCGTACCATGTGCTGGATGTAGGGGTCCACCCAGTAGCCCAGGTTCACTGCAAATCTGTGGGAGGTAAACATATAGACCCCATTAGTGTCAACTATCCCCAGCACGCACATCAACCCAACAGGACACATCCACTCGTCAGTACAGGTAGTCCCAGACTTACGATATTTTGATCTTAAGATGGCTATAGCGATATGACAAAATTGTAAAATATTTTACATTTCGCGCGGCAGGCAAACGCAGCAGTGTACAAGGTACGATACTATACGTTGGGACGCTGCCGGGATGTAATGTACGCATATAGTTTATACAGTACGGTGCTGTAAATTGCTCTGTTTTGCTAAATTATCACCATTCTTTAAGACTCCTGGGTAGGCTAGGCCATCTTCGACTTACGATATTTTCGACTTACGATGGGGTCGTCGTAACGCATCTCCATCGTAAGTCGGGGACTACCTGTATAATAAAGGCTTAATTTATAAATGGGTCTCTGTCCACATCCGAGACATAGAAACCATATCCGCACCCAGCACACCACATCCAATAAACCGCTCTTTAAGGCTGCAGCTACTTAGTCAAGTGCCTACTTAAGTCTACCAGTGACTTTGAACATATTCTGTGAGAAATTAAACTAATCCTATCAAATTTCTATACAAAAGATGACACGTACCAAATTATTATTTTCTTTCGTCAGAATCAGAATCTTTTTTTAATACCGGAGGAATCCAACGAGAAATGAAGCTCTTTTTCACACATGTCCATACCATGACGCCAATGCACAGATGCCCTTCCCATGAGAAATTAGCGGGCAACATCATACAGCAATCCTTGTAAATACACAATGGGGGGGAGGTTCTGCCGGTAAGATAAAGCCACGGACAGCTTATAAATAATCATCTAAATAATTTTGTCTGTCCACTGCTGGACGGTCAAGGGGTTTGTTTGGCCATATACCCATCACAGTGGTGATGTGAGCCCGTGAAGGTTGGCGTTAACCACTGCACCACCCGGTGAGATACAATTGCAGCTAAAGCGCTCCCTGCTCTCTCGGGGCTTGAGATGAGTTAAATGTTGCGAATCAGGTGGCGTGAGACGATGGGGGGGGGGGGGGGATGGCAAGGCATGACAATCGAATTTAAATCCCATATTTGCATGTAGCAACATTCACAACTCAGCCATTTGTGTCACCGCAAGAAGACAAGCGTTAGAATTATAAAACAGTGCTGCTGCCAGGTCGACATTAAACACAAATATCCCCCACCCACCCCCCTCTCTCTAGTACCCAATGAGTGCGGCTTAAGACGCATGCGGCGAGGGGACGCAGCAGCCACAATCTGACCTCACGGAAGGGCCTTTGAGCCGCCGCGTGAAATAAAATAGCCGGGGTGACATTGCGAGCTGAAGTCGTGGGTCGAATTTAATCCACATGGGCCGCACGTTCGACCCCACCGACCCCCCCGAAATATGAACATCGACGGAGTTCAAGAAATGGGGGGCTGGCGAGCAATTAGGGCAGCGGTCGGGAACCTATGGCTCGCGAGCCATATATGGCTCTTCCGGTGACGGCATATGGGCTCCCAGACAATTTTGAGTTGAAAAAAATAAAAAAAATCAGTTTGGAACTGATTTTAAAATACTTGTGATATTGCTTAATAATATTTGTGTCATTTAAAAGTAAACATAAATTAGTTTTGAAGATAAATTTCACGGGTCACGCCTGCACGAAGCTCAACCTCACCACGTACGAACCAGACTACAAGGCCAACAGCAAAACCTCGCAGCACCAGAAGTCGCATTAAAAGTAAGACACATCTAATGTATTATACGTTAAAAATACTATATGGCTCTCAATGAAATATATTTAGAAATATTTGGCTTTTACTGGCTCTCCCAGTCAAAAAGGTTCCCGACCCCTGACTTAGGGGAAAGATGCGGAGGAGGGTAGCAGGAGCAGGAGGGAGCGCGGTTGGGACCTCTTGCAGGCGGTGGCGTCGTCGCACGTGGACCGCACCGCCTCGTCCCCTTCGCCCCCCTCGGTGCTCGGGCCCCTACGCCGGACCGGGACGCTCATGGCACGGGCAGAGGAGAGAGCGACGGAGAGTGACGGAGACTCTGAGGGGAGCGGCGGGGGGGTTCGAGACAAACACACGCCGGGGCTTGACAGGAATCGATTCGTCGATTCGCGGCGCTTCTGTGAGCGATTCGGAATCGCATCGATTCTTGTTGATGCGTTAGGGGTAGCAATGCGTTTACGATTCAATGGTCAATGTCACGTGGTTAAATCTTGACTTGAAGCTTTCGTGGCTGCGGAAATTCGTGTTGTTGTGTTTTGCGTTCGAAACATCGTGGTTTTTTGTTATTTTGTGTTATTTTCTTTGAAGTTATCTCCGTGACTTTATCGAAAAACCCAAACAATGTCACGTGGAATTTTTTTTTTACTTAGTAAAATTGTACGAATGATAGGATGTAACTAAAGACCCTGCAAATTAGACTGGTAGTTTAAACAGTGCAACAAACGCACAATAAATGAGTCAGTATACACCGTATAAATGACACTGATAGTGTAATTGATACTATTGGTAGAACAAATGAGAGTACAGGCGGGCCAAATGTGGTAAATCAATAGAAAGTAGAAGACACATTAACACAGAAACTACCAAAACAAATAAAATCGATTCCTGAATCGATTCGTAGATTATTCGACGCCGTGTTGGAATCGCGAGGCGCGGATCGGGGCTTCTGTGCACAACGCCTCGAAATCGGCGGCCATCTTACGTAAGGGCTGGGGGTGCTCACAGAGCCCAAGCGACGTCGTATTGTGACGACGTCACCAACATTTCCCCTGACCAAGATGGACGACTCGCCCACTGCGTCACAGCGGGGGCGGGGCGGGGGCAGAGAAGCTCACAGAGCCCAAAGGACGTTGTTGTATGATGACGTCACCAACATTTATTCTCGGGGGGTGGGGGGGGGAACTCGGGCAGCTTTCCCCTGACCAAGATGGACGACTCACCCATTGCCTCACAGTAAGGCGGTGGGAGGGGGGGGGGGCAGAGAAACTCACAGAGTACACGGAACGTTGTCGTATGATGACGTCACCAACATTCATTCTCGGGGGGTGGGGGGGGGGGAACTCGGGCAGCTTTCCCCTGACCAAGATGGACGACTCACCCATTGCCTCACAGTGGGGCGGCCGGTGGGGGGGGCAGAGAAGCTCACAGAGCACACGGAACGCTTTCTTGTGATGACGTCACCAACATTTCTTCTAGGGGGGGGGGGGGACACTGGCGGCTTTCCCCTGACCAAGATGGACGACTTGTCCATTACGTCACAAGGGCGGGGGAGGGGGGGCAGCTTCGCGTGGTGATTGGCTGGTGGTGCGTGCTACGGAGAAAAAAGCGCGAATTTGATTGGCGCGATCAGATCACGTGCATCGCCTTCTTCAGCTGGAGGGATTGCCATGACAACAACGCGCTTGTCACGAGCTTGGCAATGTGGTTGGGTTCTGCGTGGAGGTTGGTGCCGATTTAAAGTTTCCAAGTTTCATTTATTAGGTTTAGCCCTGTGAGCCATTCGGCTCTTGAATAGGGTGCAACCGCAACAAACTAAAAACATGAACAAGAAAACATCTTAAAGTGACTATGTGACTATGTGCAAACAGAAAATCTAAGAAAAGACAATAAAATATTGCTGAAAAAGCACCGTACACCAACGCTGTGTGCAAAAATCCCAGTGGGATGCAAGTCAAACAACAACAACAACCACAAGACAACTTAGATTAACTCTGTACTACAACAAACAAACATGGCCAAACCAAAACACTTTTCGAAAATCACCAAAATAAAGACATAAAAGCAATGAAACAGTGATCATAGGAACAATAAACGACATAAACAACATGTACCACCAAACCCTGCAGCCATAGCTGGCTGCATTAGTCACTCCACAACAGCACGAGCATCAGTCGGAGAATCAACATGTTTCAATGCACCTTTAAGATCAGCACGTTAAATCAAAACACAGGTCATACTTTGCAACGATCATCCATGGGTGGTGGGCGCTAGTTGACACAGCAGGGGGTACAGCTAGTGGCGCATCTACAGCTCATCTCAGTCAGCCAACCCATGGGCACCTGTTGGGTCTGTCCCGAGATCTCCTGTCAGCAGCGAGCCTTCGACACTTCACGTGGCCTCAAAGTGCACCTGGCCTGGCACAGGCGCCGTGGTGACAGTGACCGACACTTTTAAGTGGCGTGTGGCGGGGTATTGGTATTGGGCACTTGTTTTTCCTGCTGCAGTGGACTGCTGGTGGGGGGCTGCGTGAGCCCCCCTAGGCTGAGATGGGATGACTGGGGGTGGGATCCGCAGGAATTGAGCCCGGCACGAGGGCACGCGGGAAGCACGTGGCAGATTGTCACGCGGGCCGGTGGCACGTTCCCAAAGGGGACACGACGACATTCAAAGCTGAGTGACCCCAATTAGGGTCAAGGTCAGAGCATCCCTCCCCCCCAAATAACGTTAAACCAGGTGAGCTGGGGTCAGGGTGGCGAGATGTTAACTCCCCTCACCTGGTATGCAGAGGTGATGGGTTCGATCCGGACCCATGCATAGCAATCTAGGTTGGCCGCATGAACGATGATGAGGGCCAATGCCTTTTAGGGTGAGGGTTAGAGCATCCATCTGCGGCTCTTTAAGGACCGCTTCGTGGCGTTATTTATCAAGGGCCACCTCATATTTACATGTAATGTTGAGGGTTTTTATTTTACCGAATTCTAATAAAATGGCTCTTGTTGTTTTGGTTGACGACCCCTGGGCAAGACCGAGAAATGGTTCGAGTCATCCTTGTGCTGGCCAGTGGCCGATTGCATACAACGCCGTTAGTAAACATCTCCTGTGGCAGGGCCTAAGGTATAGAGCAATTTGCGTTTTATGCAACTGACCGCATAACCTTTGGCGTAACCGTGACCTGGGATAACCACCTGAGCTAGCGTCAAGCAAATACTGAGGTTCACCTTGTGTGTAAGGTTAGGGGCTATGTTATTGCATGTTAGGGGCGCCACAGTGGCAAAATGTTAACTACCTCGCCTGGTGTACAGGAGGGCGTGGGTTCAATCCCGATCCTCACACTTGTATATTTGGGATTGGCATGGTTTTTCCGTGGTCGCGTGGATTTCTATCCGGGTCATCCGGTTTTCCCCTTCACATTTAAAGTCAACGTGCGTTGAGAGTATTTGGCCGCTTCAAATTTCCACGCCATATTCCATTTCCTCGAGCTATTATTTGTGGCCAGGTCGCTTCTGAAAAGTTCTATATAGCTTAGTGGGTCTTACCTGGTAAAATAAAATATAGTTTTACTTTACTTTCATTTCCTAGTGCATAGCCATGAAGTGGGGTTAACATTGCGTCACTCGGGTCAGATTAGGACATGACCCAATGTATAACAATGACCCAGGTAAACGCATTGCGTCGAGGGCAGGGCAAAACTCTGTTAGGCTGGAGTCACAAATAAAGTTATTCGTGTCTGGGCTTCTCACAACGGCCGTGCACGTGGCATTCATAAACCTTAAATTTAGACTGGTAACTTTACAAAAGCATCACATTACGATATGCAAACAATAAGCTAAGGTCAGGGCATGCAAACATGTCACGCTCGTAAAATGCATGTCTCTCAAGGGGTTGAGTTGGGGCGGTATGTGACATCAAACAAAACCATAACAAATACGTGAACGTGAAAAAAAAGCCCTTGACAAGCCAGTTCTTTATACACTGTACACGTCTCTATATCCGCTAAGAGCCGCAGGTTTCTTGTTGTAGTGATTCTACTGACCACTACATTACACAAGAGAGAGAGAGCTCACAGCTGCTAGTGACTCACCACTTTTGGATGAGCGCAGATGTTGTTGGTCGGTATTTTCCAGATAAAGCTGATATTTCTTTTTTTATGTGATTAAAAAAAATGTGCTTCGTGAGTCAGGTTATATGATGTGGCCGAGGACGTAAATAAATACGGCACCATGTGAGCAATGAAAACAAAAGGGCACTTCCCTACCCAGCCCAGGGTATGAGCCAGAGAGCCAGAGAGCCACAATCCATCACCCACGCTTCGCTCCTCCTCCTCCTACGTTGCAGCTACCACCATGAGCAGTATCAGCCACGGTCAATCCACTGCTGAATAAAAGGGCTTCCCCCGAACCAGGTCGCCATATTTCACAATCTTCAGATGAAGGTGGATCACTGAATCCCCACAAACAATGGTGAAGATACATTCTGAACGTGGTTGCCCTTCATGAAAGCCGGCAGCGACATTAACATTCAAAAATCATCACACAAAAAAACACACAAACAGGGCTGCCAGAGCTAACATGCAGCAGCAGCAGCAGCGAAACAATTTTCACAAAATAAAAAAAACCGGCGATTACAGCAGATCGAGAAGCAAGGGGAGGGTGGTAACCGCACAAAACACAGCATCAGCAGTAGAGGTGGCGGCGTGATGCCCCCTCTCTCTCACTCCGCCATAGGGAAGCGAGGCTAAGCCTCCCTGCTACCCCACCCCCATCCTCATCCTCCTCCTCGCTCACTCTGCAGCACGGGCAGAGGAGTAGCAGTCGTGGTTGTGCGTGCTTGCTGCAAGAACCGCGAAGAAGGAGGTGGAGGAGTGGAGGCTGTACCGAGGATGAGAATGTTATTGTGAAGAGGAGGTAGAGTGTTGAGAGGCTGGGTGGGAAGAGGAAGAGGAGGAGTGGGGACTGCGAAGAGGAGGAGTTGAAACAGTGAAGAGGAGAGAGGGGAAAAGGATTTCAGCCGCGTGAACAGCCGTGGAAGCAACCAAGCGATCCCGTCCACGACGTGGAACGGGGGATTATGCCGGTTCGAGTTCGGGGTCGTGCACGGGCAGTTTGACGGAGCGGTGGCTGGGCTCTGAGCCCGGCTCCATCCCCGGAGGAATCATCGCTTCTCAGGGCATCGGCCACGGGCGGCGGGGAAACATGAAGAAGCAATTCAACCGCATGCGACAACTGGCGAGCCAGACTGTCGGAAGGTGAGTGACTCAGTGGCTTGGGCGGTGTGCGGTCGTGGCCGGGTTTTGGTGAACACGGCCGGCGTTCGGTGCGGTCGGGGTGGATCAGTGGAGATGTGATCTGGTCTGAATGGAATGTTGTGATATTGGGGCAAGTGGAGATGGAGTGAGCTCTGATCTGGTCTGAATGAATGTTGTGATATTGGGGCAAGTGGAGATGGAGTGAGCTCTAGTCCTGAATGGAATGTTGTGATATTGGGACAAGTGGAGATGGAGTGAGCTCTAGTCTGAATTGGAATGTTGTGATATTGGGGCAAGTGGAGATGGAGTGAGCTCTGATCTGGTCTGAATGGAATGTTGTGATATTGGGGCAAGTGGAGATGGACTGAGCTCTAGTCTGGTCTGAATGGAATGTTGTGATATCGGGTCCAGGAAAGATCGATTGAGCTCTGATCTGGTCTGAATGGAATGTTGTGTTATTGGGACGAGTGGAGATGGAGTGAGCTCTGGTCTTAATGGAATGTTGTGTTATCGGATCCAGTGGAGATGGAGTGAGCTCTGATCTGGTCTAAATGGAATGTTGTGATATCGGGTCCAGGAGAGATCGATTGAGCTCAGATCTGGTCTGAATGGAATGTTGTGATATTGGGACGAGTGGAGATGGAGCGAGCTCTAGTCTGAATGGAATGTTGTGATATTGGGACAAGTGGAGATGGAGTGAGCTCTGATCTGGGCTGAATGGAATGTTGTGATCGGGTCCAGGAGAGATCGATTGAGCTCTGATCTGGTCCGAATGGAATGTTGTGTTATTGGGACGAGTGGAGATGGAGTGAGCTCTGGTCTGAATGGAATGTTGTGATATCGGGTCCAGGAGAGATCGAGTTGAGCTCTGATCTGGTCCGAATGGAATGTTGTGTTATTGGGACGAGTGGAGATGGAGTGAGCTCTGGTCTTAATGGAATGTTGTGTTATCGGATCCAGTGGAGATGGAGTGAGCTCTGATCTGGTCTGAATGGAATGTTGTGATATCGGGTCCAGGAGAGATCGATTGAGCTCAGATCTGGTCTGAATAAAATGTGTAATATCGGATCCAGTGGAGATGGAGTGAATTCTGATCTGTATGGAATGTGTAATACCGGATCCAGTAGACATGGAGTGAGCTCTGATCTAGGCTGAATGGAATGTATTCGAGATCGAGTCCAATCGAGTTGAAGAAAGCTCCGATCTGGTCTGTACGGATTCCATGAGATTGGGTGCAATAGAGTTGGAGTGAGGTCTCATCTGGTCTGTGTGGAATTGCAGGGTCCGGGTCCGTATGGGACAAGTGGGATCTTGTGTTTTTTAGGACCTGGATGGGTCGGATCCGATATCGGGTCAGGATGGAGTCGGGTGGATTTTTGAGGATATGGAGATGGATCCGATCGAGACGAATCGGATTCGTATGGCACAGAGGGAGTCCCGAGCATTTTGGGGTATGGTTCAGGTTCAGGTCCTGGCTCTGCTCGAGGCCCCGTCTTGCCCCCAGCTGTTGATTACATCCTTGTGATGAGTAAAACCTGTTCATATCCAACCCCACCCTCTCCCCCAGTGCTCCCTCTGGTATTGTTCTGCGGGGGTGTAGTGGGTGCCACTGGGAAGGTTGGGATTGATGAGTTGTGTATTAATGCGTGGTGCACGGTGGTGGATGGACAGGAGCCCAGACAGCTAGAGTCGTGGTCGGGGTGGGACATGATGATGGGATGGGAGAGTAGGGATGTGTATGGAGTTGATGCACGGGGGGTATGGGGATGATGTTCTGGTTGTATAGGAATGTTTAATGTCATGGGATTGGTGTAACACAGACGTGGGTCCGATGGGAGGAGCGTTGGGATGTGTGTAGGATGTGAGGATTGTTTATGGATTTCATTGCGATTGGGTTGATTTATAGTTACGTGCGTGCATTGGCATTGATGTATGTGATGGTGTGGGATGTACAGGGAGCAGGAGTGTAGTGGTTAGCGCGCTCTGCTACGAACCCAGTGACCCGAGTTAGATTCCCGCACACGGCCAACACCGGTGACGATTATCTGAACCGGTCCTCGGCCTCCCCTAGGTCGACTCAGCCTCAATTGAATACCTGATGCGGTGCGTAAAACATCGCTACTGGGGAGACAAAAGCGGTCGGGCGTGGTGCTGGTCACCCACCCCCTCGTGTGACGTGCCGGCCTTCATAGGCGCTCGCTAACAACACTTGCCCCAATATTCTTTCAAGGCTACACGGGGGGTCTTTGTCTTGTCTTTGTACAGGGATGTGATGATAGGATAGATGTATAGAAATGTGTGTGTGTCATGAGAAGGATGTACACGGATGTGCATGGGATGAGCTGGATTGTAGAGAACTGTATATGTAATGGAATGGGGAGTGCAGGGATGTTCATGGGATGTAATGAACGTACAAGCATATGGTGATAATAAGATGGTTGTATAGGGGTTGTTGATGCAATCGAAAATATGCAACAAAGTAGGGACGTGATGGGATGACCATGGAAATGTGATGCATGTGCAGATTTGTCGGTGTCATTTGATGTAGCAGTTTGGCAGCACCCTGCTCTTCAGAGAGCAGCGGACGGGCTGTTTTATCTGCGGCTGCGCGCTCCGCTCCATAATGGCACGGCGTGCGTTGCGCGGTGGCTGGGTTCATGCCGGGTGTCGCGTGATTAATACATTGTAAATGCATCGTAAGCATGAGGCTCCCTCTTTGTATCGGTGGCTCAGGGCATTAGTACGGTAACCATTGGGGGTTTAACCGCTTCCCGCGGCGGCAGCGGCGAGGTACGTGTGCGCCCGCGCGGTCATTTCCGAGCAGCGATGTGAATTAACGCGCCTGCCTGCTGATGGGCACAGGCGGCTTCCATCCCCACCACATCCTCCATCCCCACCACGTCCCCCATCCCCACCACGTCCCCCATCCCCACCACGTCCCCCAACCCCGCTGTCAATGACGTGCTCTGCGCACCACAACACACACACGCGCGCACCGCACACACACACACACGCGCTCACACACTGCACCACCACAGTCATTAGATTTTTACGTCCATCGTGATTCACGACGAGGTAATGATGTCACACCGTTTCAGGGGCACTCTATTCCCGACACCATTGAGCTTGTGGGGGTTTAAGGGTTTTTTTTTCGTTCCCTGGGTCTCTCAGGCCAGACCACGGTGACATTTGTTGTGGCGTTCATGATGGGGGTCTCCCCAGGAAGAGGACATTGCATGATCCTTGGAGAGGAGATGACCCCCCCCACCACCTCTATCTCTCTCGTCTGTAATGGCTGAGCGTGGAGTGCACGTGTGATGCTGTTGGCTGAGTGGGGCCACACGGCCTTGGGGTCGATTTTTGCATCGAGATCGCCGCTGCTGCTGCGGTGAATACATGCGCCTTGCGTAACACCTGTGATGGTGCGCCCATGTCCTTTGTACACTCAACACGCGTGTTCGGTATAATATCACTGATGCAGAGTACAAGATTCAGCCTTTGCCAATCCGCTGCTGGATGAGTTGGCACACCGTGCAAGTAGCGGAGGCTGCTTGACCATACTTTACCATGCTGGTCAGTGCGGCCTGGTTAAGGGGAAGCCCAGGACCGGTTAAGATATTATCCACCACTTTCGTTAGCCGTGGCTGTGAATCTAACTCGGGTGGCTGGGTTCATAGCGCAGTACGCGAATGCATTAACCGAGCGGTATCAGTGTAATAATCCCCCGTACTAAACAACAATAATTAGCGCTTGTGGGAGAATCAAGGTGTCATCATGGCCATCAATGCGACCACACTGCCACCCCCTGCTTTCTTGTGTGCGGTCCGTCAGCTGCTGTTGCACCGTTGACACCAGTCCTCAAATCTTCCTCCGGTGTCACGCCATCAGCTCGTTTTCAGAAGCGACCTGGCCAGAAATAACAGCTCGGTAAACTGGCTTATCCCGTTGGAATTCTCCCCTCGGTTCTGCATGGGTATTCTCCGAGCTCTCCAATTTCCTCCCATAGCAAACAAAAACATCATACAATGTACCTAATATTGACCTAAATATCCAATTGCTGAAAAATTTACTGAATTTGGATGATTGAATTGGATGAACAATTGCAGAGGAAGGGATATTCTGGAGGTGACGTCCACGTGTTCCATTGATCGACCCTGACCGAGTCTCCCAGAATAGAGTTTCCCTTCACAAACCAACCAGGTTGGTCAATCCTGCACGGATGTCTCCGATTCCCTGCCATAGCGCCAAGATAATGTAAACAGTGCTCTTCATTGCAAGGCCCGTGGGCCATTGGAGGCCCCTGGTGGCCTTGAGTGCGGCTCCAAAAGTGCGTAAATGGTCAAATGTGAAAACACCCCCCCACCATGCTGTCAAAGCCAATGGTTTCAAATGTGTGGCGGCCCTCACACTGATGTCTTATCGGCGAAAGTGGTCCCCATTCTGAAAATTAGTGAAGAACTCGGTTGTAAACGCGCATTTCGAAATGTGGAGGCAAAATCGGAGGACTCGGAGAAAAATCCACGCCACCACGGGGAGAAAACGCAAACTCTAAATATACAATCTTGATACAGCAGGCGTCAGGGTCGGGATGTAACCCACGACCTCATGTATACCAGGCGAGAGATGTCTTGTTCGCCGACCTCTGGGTGCCAGTCGTTTGGCCGATCTCTCTCTTGCCTCTCCTCTGTGGCATGTTAGTGTAGCGTCTTTTAATTGAAATACTGCACACTGGGTGTTTCCTGCGAGGCAGCAGTTATTGTTTTCGAGCGACGCAGCTGTGCCGACGCTTGGGATTGTCGAGCTGGCTACAGCGCTTCCTCTTCCCCTCCCGACTCGTTTCATTTCACTCTTCCCCTCGCCTGGCTTCGGCAAGACGAGGGGTTGTTTGCCCAGCAGCAGCAGCAGCGTTCCCACTCGTGAGACTTAGAGCAGCGTTGTTTGTACACGGGGGCGCGCGCACACACACACACAGGTGCAATGGACAAGTGCTGGAGGCGGTG